AATAAATTCGAAAGGACATTGCAAGTTTCAAAAACAAAACAAAGCGTTATATGCAAAGCGAAAAATCATATAAAAAAAAAAAAAAAAAAAAAAAAAAAACTCCTACCAAAAGCCGGTGCACTAGTGAGTTTTGTCAAAAGATATAACGCGGCTGCTCTACTAACAAGACACACATAAAATGTACAGACGTTGCTTTCAACGAGTCTTTCAACGCGTTCAACTACTAAATATCAACGAAATTGTCAAACAAAATCTCGCAAAAATGATAAAAGTTGCGAGAGTTTACGCAGTCTCGTTGCGTAAATATAAATTACATGTAACGAAGCGCTAAAAATCTCAACAAAAAAATTTGTAAGATTATCTTAAAAAAGAAGAAGAAGAAGAAGAAGAAGAAGAAGAAGAAGTAGAAGAAGAATGTGCGAAACTTCCTCTGCGTGTAAATGAGGTGCATCGTCAAATGCGAGAACCTGTAGAGTAGAATCGTATACCCATTGTTTAAGAAAACTTTTCGAAAAATTATGTACATGTACATGCTTTATCCCAAAATGTAGCACAGAAAGTCAGATATTATGTATGTACTTGAGATATATAAATTTTTTTAAACGTTAATTAAACAATCCTCATTTAAGGCGAATCTCAAAAAAAAAAAAAAGAATTCTCGTACTACCAATTTCTGCACTTTTGGACGCACCCTGTAGACGTAAGCAGGTAAGTTTACGGCACGCATAAATGTTGTATCCAAACTGTTTGAAGGACGCTTCCGTCCGACGCTTTCGTGTACGTAATAATCGTCGTGATAATAATTGACTTCCCTATCCGGCATGCACACACGCCTATATTTTAGTACAATATCAATATAAAAAATTAAGTAAAAAATTCAAAGATGAAACTATAAAGCTGAATGTTCTCAAACGCGATGGATTTGTTAAGTACAAATTTAACTCTAAATCTAGTACTTGGATAAACCAGATTCGTGAAATCATAGCACATTTGTCGATATTAAGAAAATCACACAAAGCCTGAATGAATGTGCACACAAGTGAGCATTAATTTGTTGTAACGAGAGACGAACAGAGATTTCCTTTCTACGCGTCTTGGATTTATCTTCTGGGAAGTCGTTGATCACAACCAAACACCGTCGATAAGACAAGGGAATCTAATTTCTAGATATACATATTGCAATAGCGAAAAAGAAATGTGATCGCTGTCCGGAATTTTATCTACGAAGCTGGCCTATCGTTATTTGCCCTTCGTCATTTGACGTAGATTCTTTTGATCCTGTTTTATAAATCCTCTCTCTCTCTTTCTCTTTCTTTTTCTCTCTTTCTCGTTCCCAATTTGACTGAGCGCAAAACTATTATCTTGCTTACTACTTTTATCGTTTTCTTATGGCAAAAAGCCATGAAGGAAAAATTTACTTTGAACACGAGGTCAACAGTGATGCCGACGATAGATCAGCTTCGCGATCAGTATTTCTGCTAAATATATGTTTTACTTTCTAAGCACAAGAGTTTTTTTTTTAACAGAAAGAAATAAGAATAATAATAAAATAAATAAAATAATTATAAAAACTGGATACACATTAAAAACACATTGAAACTGGAAACAGATTATTAGATTCGACGCAATGTACAAAAATGCATTTAAATCGGCGCAACATTGGTTAGCGAACGTAAGTTGGAAACAACTCGTATCACATTGTCGCCGCAAAAAAGTGATACAACACGTGTTACGAACACAATGTTGCGCCCAGTCCAGAGCACGCAGCTTAACACGGAACGGATGAGCGAGATAAAAGAAGAAGCATGTTCGTTTCGCTTGCGAAGCAACTGCGGAAAATCATGTTGAGATACGCGTTCCAAGATACATTTCACGTTGCGTTGCGCCTAATATTTGTGGTCAGCTCGAATCTTTGAAAATCGGCTTGTGCTCTTTCCATCAGCTTTATTTTATCAACAGCATATTTTGTACCGGCGTTCTGTAACTAAAAGAGCTGTTCGATCAAGTCCGATTGCTAACCGGTCGAAGAATAAAAGTCTAAGGTACATAGAGAAAAAAAACCTCTGTTCTTTTCCTACAAAACGATTATTGCTCGCCTGTGTACGTAATACATGTGTTTTTTTTTTAACATTCTCGTTAAAGCGTATTCAATGGCAAGTGTCTTAGAAAATCATAATAGCACGGTAAACGCAATAACAACTTTTTACAAAAAAAAAACCGATTACGTTAACAGGAGCCATTCTCTGTACATGTTTGTCAAATCATAGAAATAGATAGAAAAAAAAATTAGTTTTACTAATGTTTTTTTTTTTATCGTTGTTTGAAGATATTTATAGCAGTTAAGAGAGAAAATACACACACAGCGCTTTGATTTTTTATTCTTTGAATCTTGCGTATGACACATATCAAGATATCATATGCTGTGTCTGCAAATGTCTATATATTACACACGTCTATAGGTCTATAGGTTGCACGATTACATATTAATAATCAAATATACAGACATTTTGCATTGATTTGCTTCTTTTTTTTTTTTCTAATGGCCATTGTGGATATTCACAAACCAGTTTGGCATTTGTGTACATTAGATAATATCTGAGATATGTATATATATATATATATATATTGTGCTATTTCTGTACATCAGACGATATGTGTATATATATATATATATATATATATATATATATGTGTGTGTGACAGCTGTTAACCAGACTACTTTTTAGCAAAGAGTGACATACATATGAAAAGAATGCTGTCATCATGCACATAACCTAATCCTAAATCTAGCCACAAGGAACGGCAGAGAACAGCTCCATATTGCATTCTGACGTGTCTCTACATCTTGTTTTGTCTCTCAACGAAATGATGACGTTGACCATCCGCCGTCGTAAAAACGAGATCTTGGAGAGTATATATCTCGCGGCATGTAGATCTCTCTCTCGTCGGCGTGACGAAATCGACAAAGTGAAAGTTTTGACGTAGAGACGCGCTTTTGCGTTATACAATAATAAAAATTTTCGTGGCAGCGCTAGAACTATCTCGTTCGACTACACGTAGTAAATTACCTGTAATACGAGAGCAGGCCGTTTGACAGGACAAACCATCTTCGTTGATAACCTTTTAAGTAGTTCGTCCATTTAAACAACCAGCCTTTCATGTCCTGCGTGTTGTGCTGACTCTTTGGGTCGCCCATGATGTTGACTTTGCGTTAACAACGCTCGCGTAATTCGCGTATCTTCTCGAAACGTTGATAGCGATGCGAGCCGATGTCTGTCTGCACATTACCCGCGTTGTGCAAAATCCACCATTTTGCTGGTTCCCCGAAGAAAGGAGCCTCTGACCAGTCTAGCCACGCGCAGACACGCGTCGACTTTCTGTTCTGCTGCGCGTACATACGTAAAGGTAGGACACTTATGTATGTACGTATATATATATGTATATATATATATATATATATATGTGTACGTACAACTTAACTGAGTGGAATCAGATTTGAGAACACGACGATACAACAAACAGCAAACGATGACACGACGATAGCAATTTTGCGTGCGCAGTAATTTGTGCTGAATAGCGTAGAATCACTCGAGAAAATATTGTTTCATTCTTCGCAGCGTGCAATTCGACATCCCCGTGCTCGCCACGTTTCTCACCGATCGCATTACCTAACCCTAACCTTCGTTACCTTCGTTACCATCGTCTGCTGCGTCATCGGTCAAGTTGCCAATAAACTGTAGCAAAACTACTCTACTTGTATGTATACAGAGAGTTGCGTTTCAGGAAGCGCGTTATTACAGCGCTAGAGTGCAAAGTTAAATGAATCAAAATGATATTAAAAAAGATTCGAACGCGCGGTATCTGCTACATGTTACTTGCTAGTTGCTGGCTATTGTTTTGTTTGTAAAAACTTCGTTTGTAGACTTGTAAAGTGTGATATTTGAATTCACTCAAGTGTATGTAAACAGAACAAAATATACAAGTATATATATGAGTGTGTGTTTTGTGACACAAAATACTGATATTGTCCTGCGATAACAGTATATTTGCAATACCGAGATATTTTGGTTATTTTACTCTTTTTTTATGTAGTTATATATATATATATGAAGAAGATATATTTTACGATAAACTTTCATCAAGAGAATTATTAAAATTTGATTCAACTATAATAACAAAGCGTGCTATTGGTATGTAAAATTAGTTATTGTATTTTTATTGCATTATATGTATATATATGTACTTTGTGTTTTATATAAATTGTATTGTATACTTTATAGAAGAAGCCTTCACCATGAGTGATTCAGAAGACTCTGATATTCTGGCTGACATCAAGGCATTGGATGAAGCTTTGAGTTTAAAGACACAGAATGCAACACAACGTGCTAATAGTTCTTTGCGATCTAACAGTCTCTCTTCAATAAGATCAACCGATTCCGAGAGCAGTGACGATGAATGTTTTGATTATCTGAGTACAGTTCAGTGTACTGATACAAACACTCTGAACGCTTATGAGATTAATATAAAGCTGACTGTAGGTCTCAAGTTGGTTCAAAAGAAGTTACTTAATCTGTTGGACAAATGTGAGAAGAAGATAAAACAATTAGATGACAAAATAGCTAATGGCAGCGCAGGTACCAATGTTGATTGCAGTTTATACTCTAAACTAGCTATGACCAATGCTGGTATGCCATATTTCAAGGATAAGGATTTATTTTATTGCCCTAAAAACTATGACACAAAACAGAAAGAATCTCGAGGCGAATTGTCTGTTCTGTCTTTGAGCAAACCAAGTCGTTGGTCAGCAAAAGACAAAGAGACTCTTCTGAAAGCTATACAAAATGAAGCCAGTGAAGCAATATTAGCAAACAAGTTTAATCAAGACACTGGAAAAATCAGGAAGAAAACATCGGATGATCAACCCAACGAATCAACATTTGTGCTTCCAATGAATTTCAAACAAATGGTAGGACCACTGGGAGAGAGAGAGTTCGATTGGTACAAAATTTCTGTCATGCATTTCGAAAATAAGCATTCACCAGTCGAATGTCGAGCTATGTGGAATGTCTATTTGCATCCAGACATCAGAAAAAGTGGATGGACCAATCGAGAGAATAATTTATTGCTACAGTGTGCCAGGAATAATAACTATCAAGATTGGGATACTATTGCTAAGAACTTGAATTCAAATCGTAGTGCTTATCAATGTTTTGTCAGATATAATACCATTAAGAAAGTTCCAACCGGAAGTTTTTGGAGCAAGACGGAAGATAGACATCTCTCACACATCATAGATACTCTTAAAACAGGTGATTACATTCCCTGGTCTGAAGTCGCGTTTTATCTTCCACACAGAACTAAACAACAGATTTACACGCGATGGATATACAGAAAATTGCCGCATTTGAAAAAGGGCAGGTTTACTTATTCAGAAACCGATACTCTTTTAAAAGCAGTAAAAATCTATGGCACTGACTTTGCCAAAATTTCGAATAAAGTGATGCCTAATCGATGTTCTTCGCAACTTATCGATCATTACAATAGGGTAATGGAAAGATTGGTAGGCAATAACACATGGACGTTCGATGACGACGTGAAATTGATTCATTTGCGTCAAACGTTGGGTAATACTTGGGTCAAAATAGCCGAGTATTTTCCTGGAAAATCAAGAACGCAAGTGAGACATCGATACTCCTCACTATTAAGATATACAAGGCGAGATATCAGTCTTGAGAATATACCTAGAGCACGTGGAAAAACTAAGACTACAAGAAAAACGAGTAAAGATACACCTTCGTCCGTGAAACAGAATGTCTTTGGTGTGGGTTTCGAGTCTGATTTTGGGGACATTAACGATATTCATCTAAGACTGTACGAAAACCTTTCTTTCCCGCCTTCGAAGGAACCTTTTACGGTACAAGAAGAATGCTATGATTTCGAAAAACTTGTACGCGACACCAAAAGGTCATACAATGTGTTACACATGTTAGACGCTCGTCTTTATCTCCCGGGAGGTGATTTTTTGGATTACGTGCATTTAAATAAAAGAGACAAACAACTTTTTATTTCTCTGATAGAATATATTAATAGCGCAGGAGACAATCACAAGCAGAAAAACGCGTTGGTGGAACAATGCAGAACGCGAATGTTCGGTAGTGTTTCAAAAGTTAGTGAAGAATCTCATTTCATACCGCCACTCCCATTTAACGGTCATATGAGGATAGGCAAATCAAAAAAATCAAGTATCACAGATACAATAGACTGCGATTTAAATTGCGAGGAAAAGTATCTCATTGATGTGCCTGAATATTTCTTCGTGTCTTCTCATACACTTCCTGTTGTCAGTTGGGAAGAAGAAATTGAGTTCGACAGACTTAGTGAATATTTGATAAAACAAACTTTTAACGGAACTTTGAACGAAAAAACGACAAATCTGTTGAGATCGTTGCCGTGTACTTTGTTTTTTGCTAAGAAAGAAAGAGAGACCGCAGACGATTTAGAGATTACAAACAAACGTAAAAACTTACAGTACTTGTATGATTCGCGCAATTTTGATTACTTTGATGAAGCGGAAGAAGCAAATATGTTTAATAATTTGGTTCTTCCAAATCAGGCGACCTTGTTAGGTTGCAAAAATTTACTTCTATGGAAATTGTTATACGAATATCAAAATCACGACGTTGTTGCGTCTCTAGAAAATGAGGAATTAGAAACAGAAAGTGTTGACTATCAACTTCTGCGAATGCGCCTGGTACGATTGTTTAAAATACCAGTAGGTTTGTCAAACATTAAATTGCGAATTACTGACTTGGATCTAAACGTATTTCATGAACAAAAATACGCTTCGATCCAGGAAGATCCAAATATTACAAAAAAAAGAAAATCTCTAGAAAATGAGAATCTTTCTATATGTTTGCATAAAAAACGTAAGTGTAATAACGTTTTCAATGATGAAGTAGCTTAATTTTCAACAAGTTAATAAATAATTCTCTCTGAGTCTGTAATAAATAATTGCAATAATTTTAATCACAATTCGTTTACAAGTACGTAATTTTTAATTATTCAGTATCTTGAAATAGAAATTAATATGCATTTCTTCGTTCTTAACAGTGTGTTTTGCGTGTTCAACGGAAGTATTTTTGTTTTGGAATAATTTTTGTAACAATTTACTATGTATCAAATTACACGTCAAAGGTTTTATAAGTATCAAACTTTTGTTTTTTGTAATGATATTAAAAGTAACCAAAAAAAAAAAGAGGAAGCACTAAACAGTTTTATTTGTTTATCCATATGTATAAACATGTTACATAGTTTAAAGTTTTATAATAAAGAAGATATACATACATATATATATATATATATATATATATAAGACTAGCTCTTATTACAAATATATAGTCTTCTGAAAATAAATTTCGTATAATGCAGGATGACTGTGATTGTAGTAATCTAAAGAACATGGAGAATATATATATACATGTGCATATTATCACATACACAGATGTATGTCGCACATTATCAACAGCATTGTTGATAATAGGTTCTGCATGTAAATAGAGAACATTGAAAAGTTATAAGAGTAGTAAGAGTAGTAAGAGTGAGTGTATATGTGTGGTAGAACACACCCGCGCAAGTTTGTGTACAAAGTATATCAAAATTAATTCAATCGTACAAACTTATATGTAAATAATATCAGAAGCAAAACGATACAGACAAACATGATTCATAAATGATGAATTATGCAAGACAACGTTATATATCTTAAAGTATACGTAAGTACCTTCTTTTCTGACATTATCTATATATGTACTTGTGCGTGTATATTATATATGTTGTATAACGTCTTACGAATTAATGAGATAATGCTCGATAAAAAATGACATTTTTTGAAAAAAAACAGAGGATTTTACACAAAATAGTAATAAAAAAAAAACAAATAATAATTATCATCTTTGCATAAATAAAAAATATTAAATATCTTGACAGTGTAGATAAGATACAAAAAGTCTAGTTCGATTATATTATGTTCATTGTACACATTTATCAATACCGAGAGTAAATGTTAATTTGTATGAGGTGTTACACGCCTCTTTTTCTTCAGTTTGAAAAATAATATGTTTATACAATGATTCACATTGCACATAAATGATCTGTTAAATGGAAAAAATATAATATTTTACACATTCAATACATGTATGTTATGTAATTTTATAAGCAGTTAGTATATGTATGTTTTAATCTTTTGGATTCTATTTTATTAACATTCGATTTTAATGGTTTAACAATGAAAGAAACTTACTTTTTTTTAGTTAATGGTTTAATGTTTTGTAATAAATTTCTTGTTTAAATAATTATACGTTACCCGATAACTATTTCTTTTTCGATACCGAACTGTTGAAACTTGTTACAATTATCACCCATCCGGCTGTAAAAACGCTCCACAAGAATAAACTTGCTTCCATCTTACTGGCCAAGGATCGAAGACTATTTAGAATTAATTTGAGTGGTTCATTTGTGACCTTAAAACTTGATTTTTCGTTAAGAATTTTCATTTTCGCTAAGTATTCGATGAGCGGATGATGATCTTGAGTAAATATAGGAAAGTATTCTTTCACTTTTTCTCTAGTCCACCAAGCGTGAGTGTTATGTCTGTATGCAAGAAATATTATATCAGTGCCATGATATTGGATAAAACAGAGAACCGGCGTTATTTTGTATTTTAACGTTCACGCTTACTTCACGGTTAAAGAAAACAGTAGGTGTAAACGTCAAAATATATTCTAATGTGAAAAATCACGCCGACTCTTTTCTAACATATTAAGTGTATTACAAACGCACTTGAAACAAACACATATGTAAAATCATACTTACGTTTGGCTCCACGGCGTATAATGATAGATAAATAAACTAGCCTTGATATATTTAGGCGGTCTATTTCGAAATGGATTCTCAACAGTATTCATGAGAGCCAACACCTCGGGTTGTCCGTTTAACAAACGGTAAGCTAGCGACATTAACCACGGATTTTGATGATATGTGCCCAAAGCGGCAAACCACATTTGCCAGTCGAGACGAGGTTGATGAGGCGCTGAGAACAGATTTATTTCTATATAATAATTTTTCTACAAATGTTAGTTTATACATCAATGAGTAGCAAATGTAATATTTTATATAAAAATTGTCAATAAAAATCATCTCACCAACAAATGGTAACGAGTTATTAACATTTCCTGGCTTGTACAAAAATTCATATTCCTTCCATGGTCCATCGATATCGTCGCTGCCTTCTATTATAACTTCCGGTCTACCATCGACACCTGTCATACGACGAAATAGCCCGTAACTGTTTACTATATGAAGATGATTTACCTTTTCGTACATCTGTTTTATTTCGTTGTTCACTGTTGCATTGTAAGACGAATGCAAACTGGAAAGCGGTACCTGTAAACATTCAGTCACACTTGACACATGTACTATTTCTTTCAATCTCTTTACGAAGTTTTAATAACAAATCGTAATACGCGAACGAAACTGTTTCTATTTACCAAGCTCAAAACAAAAATCAACCATATAGCTACAGAATAAAAGACTGTAATCAGTGTTGTTGTTATTTTGTTACGAATTCCCTTAGTAAAAATGGTAGAGTCGGATAATGCATCTATCACCGCAATTCCAAGAGACGATGCGCCAACATATGTGGAAAATGCTAATGCGCGATAAAGAACGTGATCGAATTGTTCTTGTGTAAATGCTGCAAACAATAAAATCACGATTAATATAAATGTCAAGTTTTTTGTTTTACTAACGGTCATTGAAATACAACAATACCAATATTAGATTCAATGGTCCAATTTTCCGTTAACTTGAGATCATAATAAATGTACGTCCCGTATAATACTCCTCCATAAACTAATATATTTACTAACGTAGAGAGATGGTTCAAAACGCGAGACTTCGTGTCAATTTTAGATTTTCGCTTGTAAAAAAATTGGTCGTCTAACAAAGACACACATAAACAAATAGTGAGGAAATTGAAAAAATTGTAGTTTCCAGTGGCAATAATGCAAACTTGCAGAAACACCTAAAACAATAATATTAAAGTGTCATAATACTAACCAATACAAACCAATCAAATACGCGATTCTGTGGATGATTTAAATATATACCTGCAAGTAAAATGCAACCAGTCTCACTTTCTTATTTGGGAAGAAAAATAAGAATGGTACGGCAAGTTCAATAACATTTGCACCAACGGTTGACAGTCGTAGAAACCATGTTGGTAAATGGTGTGCGTACCAAGCCAGAGCAGTGGGAATACATTGTGATTCAAAGTGAATATTTAAAGCTGCAAAATAATTAAGATCGCGATCAACGCGTGAATAACATTAGCTTCGCATAATGAATTCCTGAGAAATCATTTTACCATCCAATTTCCACCACACTGGACATCCCGAAGTGAGTTTAACTACACCGCTGGAAAACATAAGTCGAAAAAGCAGCCAACGCACACTCCAGAATGTCACGGAATCGCTTGAAGTACTCAGCTTTTTACGACGATACCAGAACGGAGCCACAAGCATACACAGGAATCCAGCCTCTAACAATAATATGTCCCTGTATATGTAAACAATTAAATTATATTAGTCAATACATAATTAACTTTCATTGATAGTATTCTTTGTTATATTCTCTTTTTTCTTAATATTTTAATTTCGAGACAATTGAAAAAACTTGTAAATCTTTAATTATTTCATATGTAAGAAAGTTACAAAATATTAACCATTGGAACCACATAAACGTCTGGCCAATTTGATATAAAGAATAATATAGAGACCATAATCCTGCAAATACTGGCACAATGCAGAACTTTTGCGAAACAAATCTGCAATCAGACAATAAATATTAATATCTCAATTAGTTTTATTCAATTATTTTAATATAACAAAGTCTAAACATTTACATGTTACAAGCATTTTTTTTTTTTAATGGCAAACAGAGTTTATTGTGTTGTTGTAACATACCCTGCAAAGGACAAAACAATTCCAAGAAGAGACAATACATCCAACATATACTCCACGTTTAAACCTAAATACGGAGCAAACCATAACAATGTAGGTTTCTGCTTCAATTTATTTGATAATGTTGCGCGTGCTTTGAGATCTATCTGGCCTTTGGCTGGTAGAATTCCATTATCGCCATATAATCCTGTTTCACAAAAATATTTAATGATATATCAGCTGTGTCCGAAAACAACGCTATCTGCTTCATTGCATCATTTTATCTTTTTCACTGATTAGATGTAAAAACAAAGATAGAAATAATGCAATAGCAGTCTGTAAACATCATTATAATATTATTCAGTATTGTACATCTGTATATATGTGTGAGAAATAAAATTTTATATAAATAAACATTTTTCACAAAATCTCTAAAAGTATGTACACACACACTGAAGTGTATTCAACCGTAAATCTTATAGTGTTGTTTTTTTTTTTTTTGTACAGCAAGTGTCGGACTTTCTCTAAATTTATCTAAAAATTATTTACGAAAAAATATAAACACGTTACGGTTAATGTTATTTCGTACATATGTGTGTACATCTACATCACAATACTCACCTGGAATTTGTATGTAAAAGCTGAGGAATGCGAAGAGATATATAATGCAGATCCCACGTAGAAACAAATTACGGGTGTAACGTACTTGCGCCATGATCATCGCCTGATATAACCCGCGTTTTATGTTAAAAAGTTCACATTTATTAATCGCGATAACGCGCGACAAAACACTAGCCGGCAAATACGCAACACACACACACGCACACACGAGGGCAACGATAAGTTATATGTATAGCAATTATATAGCAAAGTGCCTAATCTACCTAAACTGGATAAGGGAGAAAAATTGTAGCGCCATCTGTGAAAGAGACTAATAAGGGGATGAGAAGGGATGTGTTCGGCCGAATCTGCACAATATATCGTATATATATGTATACAATGAAATCACACATCACAAAAAACGACCAATCACGCGCGGCGACTTTTCATTCGGAGATTAGATTGGCCGCTTTCTCCGCTTGCGTCATGCGTTACGCGCAGGATAAATAAATTTGCGATTCTTTAATGTGTACGTGCTCTAAGGACGCATTTACACGCATGCGCGCAGAGTTTTTCCTCCGGCGGACCAAACGTAAACCGCCGTGAATGATTTGGGAAATCCGAGAGCGATTCGGAACGTAAGTAGATTTCCACGTGCCATATTGTTAAGTGATATCTGGTAATAGATCAGATCGGAAGTAAATTGACAAAGAGACGGAGATCCGAACGGACGAAATTAATTTTTTGTTGGACCGTTCGACGTCAAGTGGCGAGAATAGATTTGATCGTCGAATTGGGTCAATAGGTTTGTATGTACGTTATTGCGAGTCGACGGCACGCGACGCTAAAATATTTTCTATTTCCGGGATAACGAGGAAAGATTTCGTTGGACAAGCGAGATAAAAACGGCTGGCTATCGTTAGCTTCTAGTTTCTCGCAATTTGACGCGAAATATTTCATTTCGCGACGATTTTTACATCGAGCAGCTGTTAGCGGCTGATACGATCATACGTGTGATGCTTACGCTGATGCTTTATTGTAGATTTGTTCTTTTCTTCTTCAATGGCTGCCCTAATTCAAGAGGTGCGAGAAGTTCACGCTTATAATCATTGAAGCGTTCGAGCGTTCATCTTTGTATGTAACATGTTCAAGTATATCACATATTTTAAATAATAGAACTTCTTCAGATAGTAAATGCATCTAAAATCTTCAAATTTTTTTTTAACCAGAACTCACAAAAAACTTCTCCTTTAGTTTGTCCAACTTTTGCTCAAAGACATTGTTCTATCTTTTGTTCACATTTGTCATAGAACAAACAACAATGCTTTTAACACAAGAGTAAAGAAGACTTGCTGTGTTTTTCAGTGGGAGACAGATTTTTCTTGAAACAAGAAAAAAAGAAAAAGAAGCTACAAGATGCAGGGTATTGATGTGACTGAACAACTTGGTTTGGATCGTTTTTCTGAGGCTCGTGAACTCAAGTTTGGTCCCAGCCTTACAAGTAGCAGTTCAAAATTTCATACCGTAAAGTGTAAGTGTGCTGAAACCTATTGAACATTCATAAAAAAAAGAATCTATCTTGCTTCATTCTACTTTAACTGATATTCTTATCAATTATTTACTGTTGAAAAATACACATAAATATAATTTCTTTTTAAATATGTTGAGAAAGAGAGAAAAGAAGAATTTTATGATATTTGTGTTTCCAGAATAAAAAATTGTTTATCTTTTCAGATGATTTCAAACCTGCAAGTGTTGACAGTTCTAAAGTTGGTAAAGTTGATGTGGGATCAGATAACAGTGTAACTGTTACAGTTCCAAATTTAGATGGTGCTGAAACTTCCCATTGTGTATTTAAAGGCTCTCAAAGACCTTATAACAAAGAATATGTTCTGATCATTGATCAAGTTACTGGAGAAATTACATTGGAGAGGTTAAGTGCAAATATCCAAGTTAAGAAAACACGAGAAGAACCTAAACGAAATGTTAATGCTACTTCCATGCCAGTTGATATTAAAAAGAGCCCACCACCAAGTAGGACAAATGGAAGAACCAAAGTTATCAGTGGGAAAAAGAGGGAACCCTCGGTTCAATTACATCCCAAACAAAATAGTCCACAGCAGGCATCACCACATGACAAAAGAAACACAACTAATGTGCCTATTAACAGGTATGTGTTTTGTTAACAAACTCAAAAATGGAGAAATAAGCGAATAATTTAATTATGGAATATGATTGTAGTTATTCGCCTGCGCAACCATCAAGTCAGCCTTCAACTCTGGCCAGTTTGCCAATGATTGGGTCTGATAATGATGACTTTGCACTATCAACTCCAATAATGCCCATATCTTCCTCCAACCAGTTTTCAAATACTTCCATGTTACTTACAGCGCCAAATACTAACTCGTCAACCTTAGAAAGTGACTCTAGTTCAAGCGGTTCGACTTCCGATAGTTCAAGCAGCGATTCGGAAGCGGATAATGTTGCAGTGCCGACGAGTAACGGTAAATAACAAATATTAATTATAAGAAACGTATGTACGGTATATGTTCGGACTTACAAATTTATTGACAATTTTTTTTTCTCTGAATAAAAAACTAAATTAACATTGCAAAATATAGTTTCAGGGCACCTGAATGGTACAAGTGCATCGTTCTCGTTATCCATGCCGAATACTCTCTTAAACGACGATCTGAAATTATCGGAATCGGAATCTGACAGTGACTAACGTTACATATAGTTCTGCTTCTGAGGAATAATATAAAGGTATTAGGGATTTTGATATTATCGATTACTCAAGTCAAGTCTGATAATGCACAGGCTTTGTAATTTCAAATGTCGTTCATTTGTCAGAACTTTTATACAATTGCTTTAGCAATAATTTTATCAATTATAAAAATTGTTTTCTTTTGTTTTTGGAAGATAACTTTTTTTCCAAAAAAAAAAACTTACGTTTTTGTAAGATTTCAACATCAGACTTGAGGTTGTATGTAGAGTGAGCGTTAGACGTTACGTTTGTAAATCCATATCTTGTGTATATTTTTTAAATTGCATTGTAAATATATAAATATCTTTCTATTTGCAAACTATATTATTTTATTAACGAACGTTTTACACACAACTCCTGTTTTAAACTTTTACGAAAGTATAAAACACAAAAAGTCTTTATATCATCAAAGCATGAAGTTCTAGATCCTCCATAAGGAACATAAAAATTGCATAACTAAATTTAAAATAGAATAGGATAAATTAATAAAATACGTACAATTATACACATAGTTCACGCGCATAAATTACATGGAGAAAATTTTAAAAAAATTACACGAAAATATCTAATAAATCTTTCATTACATTTTTCATTCTGCATTTTGTATAAATATGTTTATAAAAATATTGTCTTTGAAATATCTCTTTAAAGATGTTTCTCTGTTATTTTTATTCTAAAAAATATATAAAAGCTCTATTTGGTGCAAAAAAAAAACAGCATATAAATAACGATAAATAAATAGAGATTCTCTTTATAGATTGCGATGTAATATTGTTTTGTCCCTAAGCTCGTTGGTTCTGATAATCTAATATAAGTCTAGCTAATTGACTACGTTTGCCCAAGTGATTATTCCTGAGTTTAAGGCAGCTCTTATACATATTGTCATTGGGAATATTGCAACTAATGTCTTTGTATCTAATCTTTAGCGTCGGTTCTATTCCGCGAAACACGTGCATATCGCTGAAAGTCACAAACATGTCGAGTAAAGAAGTTACAGGACTGTGTTGCGAAAGTTTCAATAGTGTAGCAATGTCCTTGTCGGATCGCGCTAACGGAATGCTCGCCTCGACTGTTTGTCGCACTGAAACACATTTCACAATACATATAATTTGTATATATACACACACACACACACGTCTATAATGAATTTAACGTGCATTCCGTACTTGCGTTGTAATCTTTGATGTAGAATGCAATGTTATTATAATTCTGTTCGTCATATTTTCCGTAATTGCTATTAATATCCACTTCATCGTGAGCCGCTTCACCCACGTAAATTATGTCAGGATGATACTCGATGAAAGGAATCGGGCTGAATATCTGATAACCACTAATGGTGTTCATGCGAACCTGAGACGTAATATCAACTCTCTTAGGTGTGTTTATTTAAATAAAATAATTTGTTAAAGCGTATTGAGATAAATGTGCGGTGTATTTACTCTGTTTAAAAAATCTATTTTCAGTTTCGTCCCCGTCTCTGCGAGAAGAATTAAACTCTCTGGTGAGAATTTTTTCGCATACAAATCGGTCACGGCGATCTTCAACATCGGATCAAAATCTACGGAAGTTACGTTGGCTGGCAATCGTATCGAGAGCCAAGTAATTCTGGATTGATCCTTTTTGTATTTTTCGTTCAGCGTTAATATGTATCTCTTTATTTCGTAAAAGACGTCGCCTCTGCCTTTTGACGGCAAATCGAAGTTGTACAAGAGAACCTATATAGAAATATACGCGATATATGTGAGATATTTTAATAATTTACGAGATAATAACTAATTAATGTAGCATTATTTAACGTGCTATTTTTTTTTTTTTTTTTTTTTTTTTTAACTCACCATCATAAGAAAGGTTTTGCATTTCTTCTCCATACAATCTTGCGCGTAATAATCCATAAAGTTTAACGCTTCTTGTTTTTTGTTCAGATCAATGGTAACAATTATATTGACTCTTGTGTTTTCGGTTACGTACGGCATGGGTATGATTTCTACTTTTCCCAAAGGTTTACAGACCTCGATTCGTTTTCTCACTTCTCTGCCTGTAAACGCGTCGTCGAAGGCCATGTCGAGTACGTAGTCCATTCCTCTGGACGCGTCGAATTTTTGATACCCGTTCAGCAACCTGTTGAAACTCAATTTGTTTTTGTATTTATTTATAATATTGTTAGCCGCAAAGTTGATCACATATTCTATATCGGATTTTCTGTCGCCCTTTAATTCTTGAATATTGACGAAGTCGGTTTCGAAGAAAACGTGAGATTCGTTGAAATATGACCAGCGCAAGACGTCGAAGCGTCCCAACGGCTTGTTGCCGGGTTGATTCCCAATAGGCCACGATATGTTACGTTGATTCGCCGGTCCCAAATACGCGGTGGTAGAGATCATTTTGCGTATGTCGGCAATCGACTTGTGAACCTTGATGGACTTGATCTGAAATTAACACCACGCACATACATACAATAGCTTGAACCAAACACATTTATAACTTCGCGAGAGACACTTACTGCGATGAAGTACATATTAAATTTATAAATGAGCATGTGATCATAGACAGGGTGCAGAGATATGGAATTTTCGAATCCATCTTTCTCGGTTAGCAGAGCAAAATCTTTTTCAAAATCAAATGCCGGGGGTAGCTGCGTGAATATGAAATCTCGTCCCTGCATTCGGTTGGCGCATGGCAGGGAAGTCGAATGGAGTATACAACGACCGAAATTAACATCGTCCGAATCTGAATACGTGTTCTTCACGCACCAGTCTAGATTATTTTTGATTTCTTGAATCACAGAATTGCTCAGGAGAACACCAGACTCTGAAAGTAATTTCGGAAATCAATGTAATTTGCATTCATAACTTATTTGGATTACATAGGGTTCAAATAAGTATCTCCTTACCCAGAGAACAGTAGGTATCGATTTCACTTTGAACACCTATGTGAACATTTTGGCTCACGCTTATCTTACTTACAAATTCCACGAGACCTCTCGCGTTTATGTAACTTACATCTTTGCTTAGAAAATAATAATCATAACTTTCTAAATAATTGTCGATTATGTATTTCATCGCGTGGAAAGGCTTGAAGATGCTTCTCGTGTCGGTAAATCCCACTATTCCGGGAAATGAAACGTTCGGTTTGGTCCCTTCTGGTATGGAAATAAAATAGCGAATTTTATCAACTATGTGAGCAACCGTTTTGTTCAGCGCCGCGCCTCTGCTGTGTAGATGTTCACGGCTCGTTATGATTCCTACGAACAATTTCTCTCTGATACCGAGTTCTGTAGAATAATATCTAGGACGCACGAACGGTTTCCTCGCTTTCTGTACTGGTTGTTGCGGTTTGTTGTCGGTATCTATTCTCGGCTGGTATGGATCTGTGTCTTCCAAGATATTCGAGGAATGTTCGTAAGACTCTGCGACGTCGTGCTGACTACCATTATCAAGTGGTATCAACAACAAACTGAAACTCAGACCCATGCATATTCCTATTATCAAGTACGCGTTGCTCCAACAGAGCGAGTAGATTATTTTGAGTAGTGGTTTCATTTTCTGTCTGTTTTTAAAGTCTCTCTCTCTCTCTCTCTTTCTCCTTTTGCTTTTTCTCTCAACTTATCCCAGTCTCTTGATTTAATTAATAATACTCTTTGATTGTTATTTGAAATACAGTTCCGCGCTTCTCTTCAATCATGGTTCAAAATTGCTGTTTGGAAATATTTACGTTTTAAAATTGTGTGACACATTCCGAAGTTTGACAAAATCTATAAACAAGAGTAAAATATATAATTACATACATCATCCTCTCCATAGTACAACAAAATGCGATATCTATATATAATATAAAATAATGTAACGTGTCACGCACACATTTCATCGCATTTATACTCTTGCACGCAAAGTTTTAACACTTCTTAGATAATTGTAGATAATCTTAATTTCACGACGAAGTTCGGAAGATTCCCGGTGGTGGCGCGCGAGTAGCTCCTAGATCAGCAAGTCGGTCGTTTTGAAAAATTGAACTGAAATGTGTGTGTGTGTACGTGAGAAGATTCTGCCTGGTCGAGAGGTAATAAGAATTGCAGAATTGCAATGTTATTAAAAAAATCCCAATCTTCTCTACCAACTATTTTCCTAATAATTCTATACGCGTTGTTCTTATTGCGAATCTCGATTCGCAATTTGCGATCAGAGTGAAATTCGCGTCAATGGTAAAGAGGAAAAATTCGTCGATTTGATATCTTTGAATTTTCCCGCTTCCCGTCCAGAAACATAAAAAATTCAAGTATAAACAATATCGGAGAGCAAATGGAAATTCTAATAAAGAAATTTTTACTATTATCCGCATTCTCTTACAATATCCCCCCAGATAGTCAAATGTGAAAACTCAATATAAAGCGAATCATTGTATAGATTAAGTTGCTCGCCAATTGCTGTTGTGTTGTTTTTATTTAACGCAACGAAAATGTTTTTGTCAATCCAGTATCAATATGCTGAGTTTTATTATCAATCAATTGTTGTAGCGCCAATGTTTATGACATGTGAGTCGGCAATATGTGAGCAATATATGAGCAATAATTTTTATTCACAAGTTGAGAAAAATAATATAAGTTTATTGGCGATGAGTTGTTGAGAACTTGCTGTTATTATATTTTGAAAACTGTTGCTGGCAAGAACATAATGAAAAGAAGATACACCCTTTTGTTACATTGCTGAAAACATACGAGTAATATTTGTGGCAAGTTGCCAACAACTTGCACTCAGTTGGCTATCTAGGATAATAATGAAATATATTGTACACACAACAAAAAATGATTATTAGCGTTAATAGCATGTGTGAACATAGATATGAAGTTCTTCTTTGATCACATTTGTTAATTTATCGATATTGCTTTTGTCAATCCTCGCGAATTTCACACGCAAACTTTGGTATATTATTGATACTGCTTTTCGATGACAGTATACGCGTCTCTGTGACATATCGTACAAAATGCCTCATGGAAGATTCCTGTGAGACAACAATACGCACGATTAGCGAGTCCACAATCGCTTCTAAGAATGCCCGTGATATGACGCTATGCGAATTATCTTCCTCGTTGTGTTTTACATCATTGTGGCAAAAATTGCAGATGGGGGCGGAAGTACCGCCACGAAGAGTTTAGGTAATTACGTGACACACACACATAGAGTAGATTAATTTTCCAACTCTTCTCGCGCGTGTTCATGTTCTTCTCCAAACGCTGCAATAATTTTTTCTCTTTTAAACATTTTAATAGGAAACAGCATGAAACAGTTTGTTAGACAGAAAGGTAGAACAGCTGACGGAATATCTGTCGACGATGAAATGGCTCGAACGACAAATAGGCGCAACAGACAATTGTTACTGGCGAATCGAATCGGTGACTGGTCGCGAATTAGAAAACTGTCAACGAGTAATCTGAGACGAGACAAGCGAGGTCTGCGAACAAGTCGAAAAAGTGTCAAGGATTCGAACGACGAGATTGGGCGACGTCAGAATTACTTCGACAATGATGGCGATAACGAGGACGTTTACACGAGGAAATCAGAATACCGTTCAGTTTGGGAAGATCCGGAGTCGATTGACACAGCATTTAATGTGAATCCTACGAGGGATTCGATGATCACACAAGAGGCAGTAAGCATCAATCGATCGTTGTTGAAGAGACCTTCGGGAAGTAACTTAATGAGTCCGAGTAAAAGATACTTTTTGATACCGGTGTCCAAAGATTTGTACGTTCTGAACAACGTTCGAGATAGTTCGCGATCGGACGAAAGAATCAGTTCAAGGCCACATAAATTCACAGAAAGAAATCAACAATTGCCTGATCACAATGCGAATTATTTGTCTTCTCGTCTTGATCCTCGTCTGTACTCCGAAAGAGGAAGTGCGACCATTGCGGTAAATTCAACGCCGTTGTATCTTCTTAACTTCTTGCATCCGCATATCGCCTTTCGAACGCGTTCTGATGTAATCAATGTTACCGAAAAATCCGATCTCACTCTCTATGATTACGATAGTATTTATTCCATAGATAAAAATACTGATTCAAACTCCGAAATCACATCTGAGAATTTATATCTATCGACGTCTTCTTTTAAAATGTCCAATTATGATGAAATGTCTTTCGCGAAAGACTCAACGAAATTGGACGAAACAAGTCAGTTTCAGTCAGGCAGCTGGAATTACAAAAATTCTTTGGAACGCGACGAGTTTGACAAATTAACAACCGCGAGTTTCCAAAACATTTTCGATGATGACAATTTAGACGCGCCAGTTTCATTAGAAAGTGACGGAATGTATTCGACCGAAGATGATGAGAAAATATTTGTCGACCTACCGCAAACCCCGCGGAACAGTTTGGAACTTTCAGTCGAAAATAAAAATACGATAGACTTTATGGACACCACTTCGATTCGATACACATCCAATTCCGCATCCGTAAGTACTTACTCTTTGGTTGGTGATATCGAGAAGAAAGAGCAGTCTGATGGAAAAAATCCACAAAGTTTACTGACGGCAATTAAACCATTGTCTTCGGAGCTAGAAAAATTGCTGAACGCTGTTAAATTGGTCAACCAGAGCATCAGAAACGTGCAGAACAGACTGTGCAACGAAAATAACGTCGTCAGAGCAGCAAGGATCGAGCGAGGTAATGATGAAAGAAAAACTACGGATATTCTAAAATTGAGTGACAACGTGGATCGTTATAACAACTCGCTCTTTAGAAAAAGACTGAACAGTCAGCCTTGGAGAAAGAAACGTATTAAAAACAAAAGTGTTACAAATCAAACGATTAATGACACAAAGTTCAAGAACAAACTTAATGGTTCTCTGTTTTTAAACAAATTGAAGAAACATTTGCCCAAACAAAGAAAGTTTAGTAACGCAAAAATTGACAGAAGTGATAGAAATTTTCACAAAAAAAGAAAGATAAACGCGAAAAAGTTTCGTAACTTCAATGACGTCAAAAATCACAGATCACCTCATTTGAGATTGAATAGAAACTTAAAGTCTTTGGCGAGAAATGACAAACGATATTCGGCGCTACACAATGCGAAGAGAGCAATGCTGGGAGAAGTGCAACGTTCCGGTGAAGAAAATGAACATTCTACGATGGATCCGCAACTTCAAAAAGAAATATCCGCTTACATGAACGTACTCGAAATGTTGAGGACTTCAGATTTTGCGCAAACTACACAGAATGTAACGGAGTTATTGTATACATCTATGACTACGGAAAGTAGTCCTGCGACTACATTTCTGCCGTATTTTATCGAGGAACCAACAACTACTGCTTCAAGCGTGACAACTGCGGGGAGAGAAGAATTTCCCGAATCAACCTTATACGAATATGCAACGGGAACTGAATTTGAGTATTACGATGAACGAAATTATACAGAACCGTATGAAGATTACGAGTACGAGGATCACGAAGCCGCCACATCCTGGTACGATTACACGGAAACTACGATAGCAATACTAACCGTCGAGATTACTGTTGAGAAAATGAATACAACATTAACCGTCGCTATTGAAGCAGTAACTGAAGCTCCCATCACGATTCCGACGATAGAAGAATTTACAACCAAATCTACGATGCTTTTAACACCAACTTTGGAAGGTATGACAGATATCACTTTGAAAATTACAATTCCTCCAGTTGTCGAAACTTCAATCGAGGAAACTGTTGAAAAAATCACCGAAAGTACAACTACGACAACGGAAATGACATCAAGTCTTTTCACAAGTACGTCTCCGTATGGATTTTCGATAACGCCATTATTCATAACTTCAGAAACAGAGTGGATTCCAATTACAACTGTCAGCGTGTCAATTGTAACTCCTTTGATAACTACTCAAACTACGGAGACAACTATTTCTGTGACTCAAAAGACAATTGCGGTAACAACCATAAGTATGACCGTAATAACGACAAAATTCACAGAAAAAGAAATGGAATATACCACTCCGTTTACGACACAAAGTTTAGCAACTCGCGGTCCAACACGTGCTACAACATCTACGGAAAAGACAAGTGAATATACTTCAGTTGCAACAACTCCAATTACTGTTAGTGAAATTATACATGTTATTACTACAATCACAGGCTTGCCTACAACATCAAAAACAATTTTAACTACACCGACAGAAACTGTTATGACGACTTTAACTCCAACAGAGGAAAGTACAGTAACGCAGATTGAAAAAACCATAACTGCGGAAGAAATTACAACTACGGAAACCCCACCTACTGAAACTCCAACATCTGTCGAAAAAGTAACAATTTCAACAACTACAGAAAGTAAAACTGAGACAGGCACCAAATCTATAACACCTACAGAAATCTTAACAACTACAACAATTCCCACGATTATCGGGAATTCAACAACTGCTCTTTCAACAATTACGAAACCTACTATCGAAACAACTACGGTTTCAAAAACTTTGATACCTGGCAAAATAACTACAGAAACGAGTATCGAAACGTCAATACCTACTGAAAGTTTGGCAACTACCAAAATTACAACACCTGTCAAGAAAGTAACAACTACTACAATTTCAACAACTACAGAAGGTACTACACCTACTGAAACGAGCACCGAATCTATAACACCTACAGAAACTTTAACAACTACTAAAATTCCTACAATTATTGAGACTTTAACAACTGCTCTTTCAACAATTACAAAACCTACAATAACTGTTGAAACAATTACGGTTTCAAAAACTTTGATTCCTGGCAAAACGACTACAGAAACAAGTAGCGAAACGCCTACTGAAAGTTTAGCAACTACCAAGCTTACAACACCTGTCAAGAAAGTAACAACTACTACAATTTCGACAACTACAGAAGGTACTACACCTACTGAAACGAGCACCGAATCTATAACACCTACAGAAACTTTAACAACTACTAAAGTTCCCACAATTATCGAGACTTCAACAATTACAAAACCTACAATAACTGTTGAAACAACTACGGTTTCAAAAACTTTGATACCTGGTAAAACCACTACAGAAACAAGTATCGAAACGTCAACACCTACTGAAAGTTTGGCAACTACCAAACTTACAACACCTGTCAAGAAAGTAACAACTACTACATTTTCGACAACTACAGAAGGTACTACACCTACTGAAACGAGCACCGAATCTATAACACCTACAGAAATTTTAACAACTACTAAAGTTCCTACGACTATCGAGACTTCAACTGCTCTTTCAACAATTACAAAATCTACAATAACTGTTGAAACAACTACGGTTTCGAAAACTTTGATTCCTGGCAAAACGATTACAGAAACGAGTAGCGGAACGCCTACTGAAAGTTTAGCAACTACCAAACTTACATCTGTCAAGAAAGTAACAACTACTACAATTTCGACAACTACAGAAGGTACTACACTTACTGAAACGAGCACCGAATCTATAACACCTACAGAAACTTTAACAACTACTAAAGTTCCTACAATTATCGAGACTTCAACAACTGCTCTTCCAAGAATTACAAAACCTGCAATAACTGTTGAAACAACTACGGTTTCGAAAATTTTGATTCCTGGCAAAACGATTACAGAAACGAGTAGCGAAACGCCTACTGAAAGTTTAGCAACTACCAAGCTTACAACACCTGTCAAGAAAGTAACAACTACTACAATTTCGACAACTACAGAAGGTACTACACCTACTGAAATGAGCACTGAATCTATAACACCTACAGAAACTACATTAACCACCGAAACAAGTACTCAAATTTCTTTGATTGCATCTACTACAATAACTTCAATTACTACCACAGTTCCGACTACATTATTAATAACATCAACTTTATCATCACTAATTACAAATATAACGTTGAGTGAAACACCATGTACAACAGTTTCATTTTCAACAACGACAGAAGAATTGCCAATTTCCACAACAATTTCTACTATCGGAACGACAATCAGCGAAGAAATCTCAACAACTACAGAAAGCACTACTGTCACCTTTACTACAATAACTGAAGAATTGACTGAAGAGATCACCAATGTTACTTCCACACCAGTTACTGAAGGCACATTGACATCTGAGGACGTTACATTGATTTCTACTGAAAGCACTATATTTGTTACAGAAACGAATATCACAAGTGTGCCAACAACGACTCCTTTCACTCCTTTTTTTACTTCCTTACCTACTTTATTTACAACAGAATCGCCTGCAATCACGTCAGAAAGTATCTCCACGTTGCCGAGAACCACGTTGACAGAAGAGTTTACAATCACAACATCAACCACCGAGAGCGTATCGATATCATATACAGAGAGCTCTTCAATAATATTTACTAAAAAAACTGCCTGTCCTACTATTTCAACAGCAGCCAAAGTGGCAAAAGCCGAAACAGAGTATTACGTAGCCAAAGGACCTATGTACGAAGAAGAAGAATACGAAGAATACGATACTGAAATACCAACTGACAGATGGTACGATTACGAGACCTACGAAGTCACGGAAAAGAAAAAAACAATCGTGACACTAAGCACAATAAAACATACGAAACCGTCCAAGATAACAAGCACATTTTTTGAAGAAACAACAACGTCTCCGTACAGAACCGAAACTTCAGAATTCACAGTATACTCATTATTATTTACTTTACCAACCATGTCAACATCGTCTTACGCATACACCGAGGAGGAATATACTTCATCCACCATTGCGGAAACGTCGACCATTGTCAAAAACTTAACGACAATTGAGATGGAAACTGAGTCATTTACCGAAGAGAAATCAACTACGATGGAGATAACTTTTGGTTCTACTGAAGAATACACTCTTCCGTCTTCGACGGTTTTTGAAATTAAAACGAAACCTCTGCCACTTGAATACCCGACGATTTCTCCCGATTACACGGAAACAGAATCCACGTCAGAAGTTTCGGAAACAATGAGGATTGCAATATCCGAACGAGGTCTTACGGAGACCAAAATTATCGGAGAAACTTCTGTCTTCGTCTCGTCGCTGCTAACGACATTGTCGGAGAAAGAGGCTGTTGAAAAATACACAACAACCACCGCGTTCTTAGAAATGGAAACTGCTACCGAAACCGTTTATGCGATCGTTACTTTGGCGACGGAATTGATTACGGAAGAAGAAACTGTTCCGTATGTCACGCCGTTTTTCACGCGGACAAGAACTGAATTTGAAATTACGGAGACCGTCGGCCGAGAACAACAGAAAGACCAGTTGTTGCAACAACTCGAACGTCTCGGGGAACACGAGAAAGAACTGACGGAGAAAGAAAAACGGCTGAGGGAAAAAGAGCGGCGGTGGCACAGAGAAAAGGAGGAACGCGAGAAAATACTGCGTGAAAAAGAGGCGGCAAAGAGAACCACTGCCAGTACAACCGCGAGTTACGTTGCGACTGAAGTCGTTCCCATTTTTGTTCCAACTTCAATTACGACTTTGAGATCTGGCCTGACTGAAGTTACTTTACGCACGAAGGAGATGGAAACAATTACAGAAGGTACGTCGATGACATACGATACGGAAGAAACGACACTTTATATTACGGAAGAAAGTACACTCACGACACAAAAAACACAAAAAATGTCTACTGCGGGATTACATGACACAAGTCTGTTTTCAGTATCAACCTCTACTGCTTCTACCGAAGAGATGCATGCTACAAGTTACGAAATCTTTTACTTGAGTGAACCTTCACTTACACCGACATTTACCAGCCCGATCGCATTGATCAGCGAGGAGTTTACTACCACTCCTTACACTATTGAAGAACTGTACACTACCGAAGAAGTAGTTTACACCACCACAGAATACGTACCTGTTTATAGCGAGCTTCTGTTCACTTCGTCTACAACGGTGATCATTAGCCCGTTCGTTGGCGAGTTTACTGCTTCGCCTGTTACTTTCAGCGAGATATTTGAAGAAACTGGCGTCACTTTGCTTGCAACTTCTACCACGGAAGAAGCGTACACCGCAGCTTATGAAGATATTTTAGGCACACCTTCCTTCGCTTCTTCGCCAACATTGATATTTACCGTCTCATTGGTCGGTAGCACAACTGAGACCATTGGTACAACGACGGGGATAAGATATGACAAAGAATTAGAAGAACTGAGAGAGAAATTGCGCGAGAAAGAACGGGAATTGGAGGAAAGAGAAAAGATATTGTTAGAGAGAGAAGAGAGACTAAGGAAGGATATACTGGAGTTCGAGAGGTATGTGAGAGAGTTTGAAAAAGATGAAACGGAAGAAACGTTGATCGCGTTGCTCACAGAACCGACCGTGTCGACGAGTTTTTCAACGCCGGTGCCGCCGATTGAAAAGACCACGAAGCTAAACGAAGCAACAACGCAAGTTAAAAAGATAACCACCGGGAAGAAGACAGAGTATATTTTTGAAGAAACCGTTACGCGGAAAGAAGAAAAGATCGCGACGAAACGAATTTGCTTGAACGTTCTGGAAAACACTACCATTCCGGCGGATAAAACGAGACGAGATGTTGTAGCCAAGGAGATTTGTTTGCCATATTTTCCCGAAGAGAAAAGATCGCTCGGTCGAGCGAACAGAAAGCTGCTCGTTTTTCAAAGCGCGAAAGAAATGGAAAAGTCGAAGCGAAGTTATTTGTCGGATCTCCGATACAGAAGAAGATCAAGAACGACAGCAGCTACGTATAAGATCAATAATTTGCAGCTGTTCCATCACGAATGGCTGAGCAACGAAACCACAAAATCACCGCAACATTTTAAAGGTTTTACAAGACTCTATAAAAAACTACGAAGACCTGTTTTACGAAATGGTATAACTAACGGACAACATGAAAATGTCGCTGATCATTCTCTCGGAACGTCTATCTGCGAACGCTGTGTTTTTGATCGTCACGAAAATTTCATTCGGTCGACTACGTCTGTGTTGAAAGAGAACAGGAAGAGAAACGCTTTTTTCGAACACGATTTGAATTCGGAAAATAAGAATTTCTTCAACGACGACGAAGGGAAGGAGAAAAATAATTTGACAATAGAGGAAAATCAATTTTTGTCGACAGAAAATAATGTGATAGATAGTTTGAAACATAAATCGACAACGGTGATCGAGGAGGAGGAGGAGGAGCGAGATGAAGACGAGAATGGATCTTTCACAGTGAATGTGCTGCGTCTCGGTTACAACAAGAACGAAGAGACGCACGAATTAATATCCGCCAAGCCAAGTCTGGACGAATTAACGGCAATTATTTCTGAGTCGTATGACGACTATGTAGTCAATAATAAAAATTATGTGGAAGAGGAACACGATAAACCGTTCGACACTGATAAGAAAACGCATCAGGCGGAAGAGAGCGACTACGCCGAAGGTATGACGGAAAGTAAGAAAAAACATTTCATCCTCTTGTTCTCTTAAATGTGAATTTTTTAATTACGATATTGCGATATGTGTGCGTGAGCATCTTCCGCTTTAATATGTTTTTCGATATATTGTAGATTATATTGATTACGAAAAAGAGCCGCGCGGAGAAGCGGTAACGGAATTCTTGAACCAAATGTGGCCCACGGAAAAGAGCACGACGTATCACTTGGGCGGTACCAGATTTTGGACGCTGGATTTCGAAATGACGGAACCACCGCCAGCTGTATTTAGCGTCACACCTGAAAACAAACCCGTCGATATGTTGGCAACGACATGTCTTTACGTCATCGTCAAAAATGATAATCGCGCGGCGATTACGAAGCGAAACTTGTACAGTAACGAAACGCGGAAACACAATAGTTCCGTCGAAAAGCGAGATGTTAGCTTTCCAGACGCAATCGAAAGAATCTCGAATCAATCTGGTGCGACGATGAAAGATCCAAATCTCAAATCGCGAAAAATGCACAAAACAAAATATCGCGGAGAGAAAAATACGAGACGTAGCGAGTTGTCCTCAGCGCGAATTGTTCCTATCACTGACGATGGAGATTCGGTAATAGCGAAGAGTCGCAAATTGTGCGGTGTTAACGAGAACAAATCGAAACATCAAATTGTTAAACGCAAAGACACCGCAAAGACCACGCGAAAGAGTAAAAAGAAGAAACAACTGGCACAATTGCAAACTCAACGGAACGTCGATTCTTCAAAAGTTTACACAAACAGTTGTGTCTTGAATAAAAAAAAATCAAATAATTATCACAAAACAATGACTGTTGAGACAAACCGTCATTTATCTCAATTACGAACAAGTGGCAAGAAAAATGTAGCAAAAGTATTGACGCATCCTAACAATATCGCCAACCGCAATGATAAATCAAAACCTGTATCGCAAGAAAAAGAAATCCACGATTGCTCGTATTGTATTTGCGACGTCGCGAATGTGATCGACAACATAAGATCTATATTGGACAAAGTAAATTCTCCACTAGACGAGATCAGGACTCTCAACTGCAGCAGATACAAAGACACTCAGGACAAAATAATAATCTCAATGGACTCGAACGTGGAAGAAACTAAGTTGGAGTTTCCGCAGCTGCGTTACAACACCGAATCGCTGAAGGGTCAAAAATATATCAAACTGGACGAGTTGGAGGACAGTTTCAAGAGCGATTTCGAATTCGCCAACGGTTGCAAATTTTCTTCGTCGTGATAAATCCCCTCGCGAATAAATTAAAATAAATGTTTTTTTATCTTATTTCAGATCACGATATTTTTTCACTGCCCGGTCTTAGTCTCAACTTACCCTGCAATCAAGAAGGCGATGGTATCACCTGGCTGTCGAGTATCAGTAGACCGAGATACACCTGGAGAAGAACGGATGGCATTGCGCTTTTCGGTACGTCATTTGGAATTGAAAAAAAAAAAAAAAAAAAAAACCATAGCGCGATAATGAAATTTAAAAAAATCACGTCTCGAAGGTTTCGTGTCGGAGAACGGCGACTTGGAGTTGCGAAATGTAAACGCGAAGGACACGGGGAATTACACGTGCGTCATGACGTACATGAGTCCCGACAATGAGGAACCTGTGGAAGCTACTTACGAAGTTCACTTGCAAGGTAAGTTGTTTTTTTTTGTTTTAGATTAGAATATTTAATTTCGTCGCAAGTTAAAAAAGACAGAAAAGTTTTCAACAGTTATCACGTTGCCGAGATACACCGTGCACGGCGAGAATCGTTATCACACACGTTCGTGCGACGAAAGGGATCTTGACGTGCTAGTGACGTATCTTCCATTGAAACTGAATAGTGTTATATGCGAAACGGACATTTGCAACGCTTACGTCTTAACGCCCACGTGCTCCCGAAACCAGGTATACTTAGTTTCACATAACAAAAAAAAAAATAAGAACATTATGTTTTGAGCTACTGTTTTTTTTTTACAGATCGCAGTGAATGTGCTGTTGGTGCCGTCGCGTATCGTCAAACTGATGACGGTCGATCCCAAACACTGCAATGTTTTCTGTCTCAAAGCCATTCAGGATAAACTCTCGCTGATACTGGGTAGAAATTTGCAAATCTTTCTTGGAAAAACTAGTTAGTTGACGCACACGCATACTTGTCTTGCAACTTTTTCGCAACATGTCCTCCCCTCCGTTTCATTATTTCAAAATCAACTTTTTAATACACAAGAATTAAAAATAGAGAAAAGTAAGATATTTTTCCAAATGCAATTGTTTTTGTTTAAAAGAAATAATATACAAGAATAAAAAAAAAATCATGTAATTGATCTCAATTGATTTTTTATATCTTATTAAAGGAGGAACGTTGCGGTTTGTAATAAAATTCACAATAGCATCTCTATAGAGTTCTTTAACTACAGTTATTTTCAGATTGCCTCATTACGAGCAGAGATTGGTGCCGGTCGCCGAAAAATCGTCATTTGGAAGATGGAAAAGAGGAAAGACCAACGGGAACACATTTCGCGAAGGATTCGGCAATATCGGCCTGTTCTCGAGCTGTCCGGCTGGTTACGGTCTTCGCGGTACACGTTGCGGTACGTAAAATTATTGCATATTAATCGCCCGCACTTAAAAATAATAAAACAAACGATTACTCCTTACGATGAATTTCCAGTTCCTTGCAATACGGGCACTTACAGCGAGGACGGAATATCGCACTGCAAAAAGTGTCCGCCTGGTACATACCAGCCGAATCACGGTGCCAGAGTTTGTCGCTCGTGCACCAATCCACTCACGGAAGGGTGTTCTAATATGGTATCTCTTAATGATCCATTTTTTTTATATTCAAAATCCTTTAATTTCACAAAAGAAAGACGCATTATTTAATAGAAATTGCTCCTTTTTACAGCTATGGAATTCTTTCTCCGCTGTTATGATAACTCTAGCAAGTTTTAGCGTGATGATATTTACATTTTTGTTGCTGCTGTGGATATGTTGCTACTTCAAGAAGAAATTTTGCATTAAAAAAATAGCTACTGCGATGTCCAAAGAAAAGGTGTGTTCAAACAAGATATAAAATTGTAATTTGAACACATGTACAAGATGGAGTAAACTGAATTGGTGGTGTTTCATTCACTTTTTAGGAATATGTAGAGGAGCGACCGTTAACGAAGGACGTGAGTGAAAACGAAGATCAACAATGGGACAGCGAGCACAGAATCAAAAACAAGAAGGGAAAGTTTTATGTAAATAAAAAGCGTCGGAAGCAAAACGAAAAGAGAAAATACGAAAAGATGAACGTTCGTAAAAATCGAAGAAAACAAATTTATATTTTTTTATCATATAAATTTCCCATCCATATAATAATTCTTATCTAGACAAAAACTTTTAAATTTAACAGAAGTAAAAAATTCTTACCGTTCAAGATAAAAATTTTTTATTATCGATCATTCCAGACGGAATGTGAATGGGAATCGCATCGTCTTAAGAATAAGTCAATTGTTTGTCCGGATTCTTATCGGTCTCACGAAGAATTTAATAACCGTAAGTCTAAATTTCCAACAAAAGAAACTTGTTTTCTAATTTCTCACGCGTAAATTACGTCGCGTGTTTTTATATATAAGTTCAATTTTATGTACAGATTATCCGAAACACTCTTATCGTAAGGGACCTCAGTTGCCGGAATGTGATTTTGATACATAATATAAAACGTGATTTACGTTAGAAAGCACATTATGAACAGTACGTAAGAATAATATTTTGTGTGTGTATGAGAAGTTTGTACAAATAGATTTAACTCTCTCTTAGCTGAGAAAATATATGTAACAATTACAAGAGTATGTTCAATTTTGACAGCTCTAATTATATCTGTTAAGTAATTTATACCGATTATCAAATGTGTACTATATTCGTGAGAATACAAGTGTTGTAGATAACTGTGTTTTAAAAACAAATACACAAGCAACACACTTGATAATTTATCAACAATTTCTAATTTATATATAATCAATTTTATTAGAAACACACGTTTCTTCTACATTTTATTTGGAATAAAGTATTGTGTAATTTCAAATGACACATATTTAACACTTGAAACTATACTTAGTACAGCTGAAGTACAGGTTTAACCTGAAAACAACATTTAGCGCTTTAAGCATCTTCTTTTGTAATTAAACATTCAAATTGCGAAATATAATTGTCTCGAATTCTAAAACAAATTTGCAAAATATCAAACCCTTGAAACTCCTGAAGATGTGTATCCTCTAATATACAAATTTATTTCTTCAACTGATGACGGACAATTAAGAACGGTATGGAAAATCCACTGCCAAAGAACAACATAAAATAGAGCAAAAGTTTGTGCCTATTTTGTGTACTGAATGGAAAGTTCTGTAACAAAAATAACAAATTATTTGTAAACGGCAATGTGTATTAAATACTTCATGTTGCGACGTTATGCAATCGCAAATTGTCACTTACATGTCCAGGAACACCATCGTAGGGGTCGTGATGACCGCTCCTGCGAACGGAGCTCGTTGTAAACTTCCTCACCGTTTGGCGAATAAACAAGCTCGCGGGATTGACCATTTTTCTATTGTGAAACAAGGAAAATAGCTTTTATATTTTTTTACACAAATTTCACAAAACGATGGTCTGTCGCGTCTGTCGTCTGCTAAGTCCGACTGTGATCAGAATAGCCACATGTAGCCATCCTAGAGCGTTGTGCGTCGCATCGTTGACCGCAAATACCCTAGACATCTTTGACCAATCCGACATGTGTACTACCGGCATATATTGCGTAGTGAGACATCCGTCACACATCCGTATCGTACAGTTAGGCCTGGTTTATGCGGGCCTAAGATTTTAATATTTCTGTTTATTAACAGAAGCATAACGGAATATAACAGAAGCATTGAAATCCTATAGTTGAACTGTACTAATTCTGGCATAAATTAACAGTTATTACCCGCATAAACAAGACCGAAACAAAGCCTTATTTGCCCGCACAAACCAGGCCTTACTACCAGGAAGATGCCCGAGGACGGTCAATCTGAATTAGTCAATATTTCCATTTTTTTTTTATTTGAATCTTTGCTACATCAGAGTATGTTTAGCAAAAGCTTGAAACTCCACTTACGAGGATTCTAACTCTCTTGTAAACCTCTTGTCACATTCTACGTTCCCGCTAATAAGAGTTAAAGGTTGCGTCATTCCGTCTTCTTGTAAAAATATAACGTCACTTACTTCAACTTATAGTTTTTTAATACGGGTAAGTTATCGACCGAGACAGTTCACTTCTCTCTCCCCGGCAAAGCTCTTGTCACTTTCTGCGATCCTGATACGAGAGGCGAATTTTTTCGCCAAAATTTATCAATACGTATTATACCTGGCAGATATTTAGACCATAGACGTATAAGAAATAGACTGCGCGTGTGAGAGGAGAAGTGAGTCAAACTTCGGAGTGAGACAGATGCTTTCACCCGAGTCTCTGTCTCTGTCTTTCAGCATCTGGAGTGGGGACTCCCCACTCGGGAGACAACTCCATAGAATGTCTATGCTGTCAATCGCCTACTGTCGCCCCTTCATCGCTCGATGCTCCTCTATTGCCCCACTACGCTATTTCTCATTCCTACTACTTTTCTTGTCCGCCAATCACCGCGTCACTAAACAAGGATAGTGACTCGGGTGAAAGCATCTATCCTCGTCCGAAGTTTGACCATTCTTTCTGCACAGAAAAGATACGGGACGCGCAGTCTATTTCTTATATGTCTATGATTTAGACCCGGTTTCACAATTCGCGGTTAACTCGTATTAACCGAAGTTCGACTTGCTGAGCTCGGTTTAACGCGTTCAATCATCTTTGTCAAATCTTCGCTAACCAATCACAGTTCATGTTTAGGAAGAAAAGATGCGTTACGCCGAGTTCAGCAAGTTGGGCTTCCGTTAATTCGAGTTAACCGGTCAATTGTGAAACCGGGTCTTGGTGCCACTTTCTGCAACTTATACTTTTCTAATACAGCGACGTTATCGACAGAGTCAGTTCGGACTCTCAGTTCACCTCTTCTCTCTGTTTCCCTGATAAGAGAGCTCTTGTCACTTTCTGCGATCCTGGTAACACGTTTGAAATTTAGCCCGGCCATAGCGGTCGATTTCTCGTTTAAACTTTCAGCGAAAAATGCTTACGTCTCTTTTTATTAATCATAGAAAATAAACGAAATTTTGCGTACAAAGATCTTAGAGCCTTTGCTACAAAATTAGAATAAAAAAAAATTCCGAAAGTAATAAAAATGTTAACGTTGTTAAAAGTTTTGCCATAGAAAACCGCCTGGAATTAAATGATATTTATCCGTATTCTTTTTGTCGTCTCAATACTTGAGGCAACTCTTCGATTGGTCAAAACATTGTCTCAAAAACAAAGTCTCGCTGCAAATGTTTCGAAGCGTCGTTTTATCTTTATCGTACATTTAACGAGGAATAAAGATAGAATGATGCTTCGAAACATTCGTAGTACAACTTCGACCGCATCCCTCGTCCTCTTACATCACGAGTAGTGAGTAAGCGAGCGAGAGGAGAGGAGAGACATTCCGTCTCGGTCGGACAATGATTAGAGAAGAGTGGTAATTAGATGGGAAGATAAAACAGCAATATTTTGGTTGCACACAAAGCAAACTGCGACTCGAGATGTGATTGATGTAAATATTCCGAATACAAGAAGTGCGCTAAGTTGTGTCCCGCCCGATAAAATGACGATGACATGGAAAAAAATTAAGGAGCAATTAGGAGTAGGTGAGAAATCAATTTTGTCATTTAATAACCCTACTACTGTGAACGACAAAATTTCAACATCCTGGGAGGTGCCCTCGGAGTTTGAGATAAATGTTCATTACATTTTTTATCTTTGAACGAACTGTGCAGTATTTTCTACGCCTCGGCAACGCATATTATTACATTGACAGTGTGTTTTTTATGCATGACATTTCGCGTATCGAAAAACATTCGTGATTAATAATATGAGTAATGTGTAAAATGGCGATTTATTTCATTGTAAATGCTACGCTTTACTTTTTTGATACTATGATTTTCTTTCAATATTTGATTTAGAACGAACAAATAAACAAATTTGATATTTTTAGTTAAATTTTTAGATTGTTTACTCGATTACACTTAAGTTAAATCTTAAGATAAAAGAAAAATAAATTTTAATGATTTTGTCGATATGTGCGCATAAGTTTAATTGTAACGAAAGTAACATATAAAAGAGAATGTTTTTGTAATTTTATAAATTATATTGTTATTAGGAGATAACTATGTAAAGAATTTATAAAAATTTTCAAAATAATGATACATGTTTGTTATTTTGTACAGCTATCTATAATTTTGCACAATCAACTCCTTATGCAATAAGCTTAACAGTTGGAGAGGTAGTACAGATAAATGGAGAATCTGTAAACTGGTATTATGGCCGCAGTAAGCTTAAAAATGTGTGTGGAATCTTTCCAAAATCTTATATACATATCCTACAGAAATCAATGACATTAGATAATTTAGTACATGAGATTACTAATGTATTAAGAGAATGGGAACATCACTGGAAGCATTTATATGTTGTATGTATTCAATGTTTTTTTTTTTTTTTTTTACTTTTACATGTGTACACACAATTTCTCTTTTTTTATTATATTAATTTAAATTCAGAAATTAATATTTTATGTTGTCCATATGTTTGTAGATACATTCGGAACACTTCAGTACAATGCAGCAACATATTCTAGATGCAATAGAATACAGAAGCAAGATTTTAAGTGGCACTTTGACAGTAGACGAGTTAAAAGATATGAAAAGATTAGCAACTGCAAAGATAGACACAGGAAATCAATTGTTAGGCTTAGATATGGTGGTTCGGGATGATCATGGAAATGTTTTAAATCCCGAGGAGACAAGCGCTCTTCAATTGTATTATCATCACGAAACCGCCGCTGAAACAATAAGAAAGGCCTATAACGACACCAAGAAAAAGTGCCATAAGCCACAAGTACCTGTATACTCGCATATCTTTTTTGTCAGTGTGAGAAATTTTGTATGTAAAATGGCGGAGGACGTGGAACTGCTGTTGACTTTGTACGACGGCAGGGAGATGAAAGCTATCACTGAGAATTACGTGGTATCGTGGAGCAAGGAAGGACTTGCAAGAGACATCGATCAGCTGCATAATCTTAGAGTATTGTTTACGGATCTTGGTTCCAGAGATTTGACGAGAGACAAAGTTTATTTAGCCTGTTATGTAATTAGAGTAGGCGGCATGGAAGCCAAAGAACTGGATCATCGTCGTTCGAGCGTCGCGCAAATCAATCAGACCAAGCCGAAGAGCATGGAAAATATGAGAAGACCGTTTGGCGTGGCTGCAATGGACATTACCTTGTTCATTACCGGCAAGCTTGAGGGAGATGTTGAACAACATCATTTTATACCTTTTATACAGTAAGTACAGATTTATGCAATTCTCAGATTTATTTAAAATTCAATTTATTCAATTTCAGAAATCATAATTTATTGTTAGAGTATTGAAGGGAATCACATTAAAGTGATCTTGCAAAAAAATTGAGATAGGATTGTTTTGTCGGTTTCGTATCTTTGTTTCAGATGTTGTGAGAAAGATAGTCTTGATGGAGTATTGCGTAGAATCATCTCGCAGAAAGAGACAAATATTCAGAGGCATGTCAATGGCAATACTGCCAATGTGACAGGTGGACAAGGATTGTGGACCAGTTTGAAACTGTTGAGAGGTGATCCAAAGCAAGTGAGTGTCAAAAAACAATAGTTATTTTACTATTACAGTCATACTATTAAAGAGACGCGATTTACTTATAATTTTATACACTTAATATAGGTACGTGATGAGAATCCGCATCTGGTACTTGGTAATGTAGCTATTGCCCGTAAAATGGGATTTCCGGAAGTTATTTTGCCGGGTGACGTACGCAATGATCTATATTTAACTTTAATCAGTGGCGAATTTAGCAAAGGTTCAAAATCCACGGACAAAAATGTGGAAGTAACGGTCAGTGAGAAAATTTACGTGAAAAAAAATAATAAAATAAGTACGCGTGATTATATGCTTAATTTTTTATTTTAACAGGTTAAAGTGTGTAATGAACAAGGTGTAGCAATTCCTGGAGTCATAACGTTAGGCGGAGGCGCGCCTCAAATCGATGAATATCATAGTGTTATTTATTACCACGAGGACAAGCCTAGGTGGTGCGAAACGTTTAAGATAGCCATACCTATAGAGGAATTCCGACAGGCTCATTTAAAATTCACATTCAAGCATCGCAGTTCGAACGAGGCAAAAGACAGATGCGAAAAACCGTTCGCATTAAGTTACGTTCGATTAATGCAACGCAATGGAACAACCTTGCAAGACATACAACACGAACTGTTGGTTTACAAATTGGAGCAGAAGAGATACGACGAGAACGATATATCGTACTTCAAATTGCCGTCAACGCGTGGAGAATTGGTATGTTAATTCAAAAAATAAAAAGATTTTAAAATAAAAATTTTTCGATTTTTTTAAACTTGTGTAGTAAATTTATTCTTTTTATTTTTATCTACTTTAGGCTGAATTAAACATGGAGAAGAAGCCGAGTTACGGGACACTAACATTAAGCAGTAAAGATAGCTTTTTAATAGCGACCAACATTTGCTCAACTAAATTAACGCAAAATGTAGATTTGTTAGGTTTACTTAATTGGGCATCGCACAATACTGACTTAAAAGAGTCCTTAGCTGCTTTGATGAAGGTCGACGGAGAGGAAATCGTTAAGTTCCTGCAGGTAATTTATATAACATTTGTGTGAGAACAGAGAGAACAATCAAATTGAGCGAGAATGGTTTTCAGGATGTTTTAGACGCATTGTTTAACATTTTGATGAGTAATTCAGACAGCGACGTTTACGACGACATGGTCTTCGAGTGCCTTTTACACATTATCGGACTTGTGTCTGATAGAAAGTATCAGCACTTTCAACCAGTATTAGATTTATACATTTCTGAGAGTTTTTCCGCAACTCTCGCTTATAAGAAATTAATTGCGGTATTGCGCAAACGTATTGACAACGTCGGCAATTGCGACGGTCAAGAACGCGATTTACTGCTCAAGACGATGAAGAGTCTGCAATATTGCATGAGATTCATCGTCGAATCTCGTCTTTTATTTACTGAGTATGTTTTATTTACGTTTTTTTTTTTTTTTTTATTAATGCATTAATTATCTCTATGACAAACAATATTTTATAAACCTGATAATGTTTAAAGGTTAAATCAGGACGAAGAAGAATTCTCACAAACTTTGACCGATCTGTTACAATCAATTGTTAATCTTATGAGTCACGAAACGGACGGGACTCTGTTAGTTCAAGGAGCTTGTCTAAAATATCTGCCAACGACGATACCTCACCTGTTGAGGGTTTATAGCGGCAAACAATTGAGCACAATTTTAACCGATTTACTTGTGACCCTACCAACAGGTAGATTAACCAAGCAAAAAATGATGACGGTCAATGACATCGTTCACAGTCCACTTTTCTTGAATGTGGAGTGTCGAGCAATTTTATTGCCGAGAATTACCGTACTTGTAAGAGATTTACTGGAAGCCAAAGAAGAGGTAAGATGTGATTAGAAAGCGTACGCTAAAAATTCTTAATGCTATACATAATTTTTCTTAACTTTTCTTTACTTCAAAGTAAAGAAAATGGAATGTCACTTGTCTATACCTCACGTAAAATAAATCCAGTCATACACTTATATATATATATATATATATATTCTCGACACTTCACACACATCTGCATATAACTAAAGTTTTTGTCAAAAAAACTGTTTTACTTGCATTTAATATCGTGTTAAACGTGACATGTGATAAATGTCCTCGTGCTTTCCATGCAGCCTGTGATCCTCCTGCCACGCATCTTTCTTTAAACTCTTATTAAATTTTTTTTTTCTTCGGAGAATGTCTTCATTTCTTTTTTTTTAAAGCGGACAGTGCCTTGCTTATTGTAGTTGTGTTTTTTATTTAATAAACTTTTTTTACGAACCGGGAGAAAGTGTAGCTTTGTAAAAGTGAAATTAGTAGAGCGAAAAGTAAATAACAATTACTCACAACTTCAGAAAATTGACAGTAATAATAATAAAATAATACATGAATTTAGTGAATTGCGTAATTAGTTTTGTTATTTCGAGTAAAATGAAAGACATCCTTCACAAGTAATTTTGGTAGTGCATGTGAGCAAAATATCTACTTATCTCTTTTTTTTTTTTTTTAGAAAGATAGAATGTGGCATGTGTTTGTTGATGACATGTTGTTGCATAATGTTTGTTTTGCATCTTACGGTACCTCTTTTAGAGATATAGTCGTCTGATTTTGTATCTTTGACTGAAGAATTTTATTTTGATTATTATCAAAGAAAAAACATGTTGAACATTTATAGTTTATGTAATTTATTTTTATATAACTTGCGTATGTTTCTTTCGTACTGATAGCGTATGTACTATTCTGCTTAGTAAAACTGCATCTTTTTTTTTGCATTGGTGTCGGGAAATGTTCGAAAACGTGACGTTCTTGTTTTTTTTTTTTTTTTCCTTACTAACAAGGTTTATTTTACTTTTTTTTGTGTACGGTTTGGTTTTGGTTAATGGCGTTTAAAGGGACTATCGAGTACGCCTGGAAAGAGCGTGGCGAAGGTTGCCAGGCTGCTTGGCGAAAATCGACACCGACTGAACCAGCATCGCGGCTACTCCGAAGAGGTAATTTTTGCTAATCAATGCAAGAAATTCCAAACAGATAAATACGACGCGTTTCTCGTGGAGTTATGATAAAAAGTTTTGAGTATGTTGAGATATACTTTGATGTCTATGCCTGGTTGTGTTGCATTAGATTTTTAAGGTCGATGATTCGCACCCACTACGTGAGTTACTTTTTTTGTGAGTGTATAGATTGCAGGATGATATCGTGTGTATTATGCATCAATTTAGACGTATAGGTGTAATATGCATATTATATTTATTTATAATATAATCTTTAAATTTAACGGGGCTAAGTATATAAATTTTATATAAAATTTGTAAGAAGAGTCATATTGTGATTCTCATGTAAAAATTGTACACACATAAAATTTCGTCGTTGTTGTTGTCTGCACAGGTGGAATTGTGCGTTAAGATATTATCCGATATACTGGAACTGACTTTCAGAAAGGACATAGGTAGTACGGTTTTAGACGTCAAAGAGATAATGTTAACGGCCTTACGTACTATTATACAGACTGTTATATCGATGGACAGGGAAAATCCCTTGATCGGAAATTTGGTTTCGGTCATGTTGGCGATATTCAGGTATCATCAGGGACTTGAAAATATATATATATGGAGCATCGTTTGTATTAAACAATTAGATAACTACTTTTATTCTTTATTATAATTTTTGTTTCAGACAAATGACGCAACATCATTACGAAGTGTACATCAATCATTTCGGAACGAAAATTGACCTACTGGATTTTCTTATGGAGATACTGTTGGTCTTCAAGGATTTAGTTTCCAGAAATGTATTTCCCGGAGATTGGTGTGAGATGATTATGCTTCAAAATAGCGTCATTTTGAAATCCTTGCGATATTTCTCGGGCACAATTAGAGATTACTTTTTCACCGAGTTCGAACATCAGGCATGGTCTAATTTCTTTCATTGCGCTATTGCGTTTCTAACTCAACCGGCCTTACAGTTGGAAATGTTCACACCCGCGAAACGGAATCGCATCATTGCACGTTACAACGACATGCGCAGGTGCGGATCTCTCATATAATATAATTAAAAGAAATAAATTACGTGAAACGTGAAATTATCACAGATAATAACGCGCAAATTCAAGTAAAAAGAACAAAGAATCAAATATTGTGTTAAACAAAAACAAACGAGTTTAAAAATTAACACAACTTGTGTTACAGAGAAACCGCGTTTGAAATTCGATCAATGTGGTTCAACTTGGGACAACACAAAATACTCTTTGTACCTGGTTTAGTTGGCGCGATTCTTGAAATGGCACTAATACCTGAAACCGAATTGAGAAAAGCCACCATACCTATCTTTTTCGACATGATGCAATGTGAATATTACAGTTCACGTATAGTGGAAGGATACGGCGATACGAAACGTGATCCCGCCCATATCAAAGCTAATTTCACGGAATATGAAAATGAAATGATTGCGAAATTGGATATCTTGGTACTTTGGTCTTTGTTTTCACTTTGTGCAAAGAATTGTTTTAGAATTTAACGAAAAGAGAGAGAGAGAGAGAGAGAGAGAGAGAGAGAGAGAGAGAGAAAAGTTTATTTAAATACTTTGTTTTATTTAGGTGGAAGGAGGCAGAGGTGACGAACAATTTCGTTTGCTCTGGTCTCAAGTTATGGGTTCCCTGTGCGAGAAACATTCTACGATGCGAGAACAAGGTTTGCGCTTCGTAGACATTATTGCTAAACTTATGGAACGTTTATTGCAATATCGCGATATTATCCACGCCGAATCCCAAGAACATCGTATGCTCTGCACTGTTAATTTATTGGAATTCTATTCTGAAATTAATAGGAAAGAAATGTATATCAGGTAATTTATTAAACATCATGTGAAGGTTTACATTTATATTATCGGCAATTCTCGTGACAATCTCAATTACCTAAAAATAAACAAAAAAGTGTAATTATTAATGTGTTTTGTCATCTTTTTTTTTTATATAGATATGTGAACAAACTGTGTGAATTGCATTTGGAATGCGATAATTACACGGAAGCGGCTTATTCTCTCAAACTTCACAGCCAGTTATTAGCATGGAGCGATCAACCCTTATCACCCTTGTTAATATCGCACAGGTAAATTCGATTGAGATAATTAAATGATTGTTATAGAACGTTATTCAAGAGAGTTTTTACATCTCATTACACTATTCTTCGTTAGATATCCATTGTGTCAAACGCATCGCGAACTGAAAGAAGCATTGTACAATGATATCATTGATTATTTTGACAAGGGAAGAATGTGGGAATGCGCTCTCGCAGTTTGCAAGGAACTGGTATCGCAATACGAGGAAGAAACGTTTGATTACTTGCAACTATCTGTTTTGTTGAGACGTATGGCTAAATTCTATGACTGCATAGTGAAACAGCTCAGACCTGAACCGGAATATTTCAGAGTCGCGTATTACGGCAGAGGACACCCTATTTTTCTTCAGAATAAGGTATTTCAGATTTACTTCGCGCGAAAATAAAATAAGTTATTTTTTTCATCCCAATCGCGTTTCAAAAATGGAAACATCAGCTTTACAATAACGCACTTGCGACAGGTATTTGTTTATCGTGGAAAAGAATACGAACGACTTAGCGACTTTTGCACAAGAACGCTGAATCAATTGCCTAACGCGGAGCAAATGAACAAATTGTCACCGCCCACCGCGGAAATATTGGAATCCAATCATCAGTATGTACAAATTAACAAGGTAGAGCCATTGATGGATGAGAAGAGGCATCGCCTAAGCGGTAAACCGGTTACTGCAGAAGCAGTCTTGAGGTATGTGAGGTATTTGACGTCAGATGAAAGTAAACACAACATATGCGGGATTTTATCTGACTGACTCGTTCTAGATATCATCGCGTGAATGATGTGCAACGCTTCAGATTTTCGAGACCCGCGCCAAGAAAAGAGATCGTTGCACCGGTTAACGACAAAGAAAAAGAAACAAATGCTAGCAGTAATAATAGTAGCAATGAGTTCGCCTCGTTGTGGCTAGAGAGAACCGTGCTCGTTACAAGTTATCCATTGCCGGGAATCCTTCGATGGTTTCCCGTAACGTCCAGCGAGACGTACTTGGTCAGTCCCTTGAGAAACGCGATTGAAACTATGGAAGCTACGAATACAGCATTGAGAGATCTCATTGTTGCTCACAGGTTGGACAGTAATTTATTATCATAAATGATGAGATGTTTTTAATTCAATATTTTTAATTTGCCACTGTTTTGGTTTCTCATACACAGAAGTGACCCCAGTCTTCCGTTAAATCCTTTGAGCATGAAATTAAATGGGATATTGGATCCAGCTGTTATGGGCGGCATCGATAATTACGAAAAGGCTTTTCTCAATACCGAGTACAGAGAAAGTCATCCGGAAGACAGTTCGGATCTTCTCAAGCTAGAAGGACTTATCGCAGAACAAATTCCTCTACTCAGTATAGGTCTACAATTGCACAAAGTGCGAGCGCCCACCGAGTTAGCGCCATTTCATCAACGTTTAGAACAATGTTTCGTGTCAATGCGCAGTCAAGTGGAAGCCAAATATGGGAAAAGAGTAAATTTCTATTTGTTTCAAAATTGATTTTTATATACACAAGCATTTTCTTAACTATCTGAATGATTATTTTTTGTAACAGACATGTGATTTGCAAATCGAGAGCTTAACGCAAACTGTAACTATGCGAAGACCACCAATTTCAAGGGGAGATCAGTGCCTGTCTGACGTAAACATGAATCATTCGGAGTAAGTTTGTTTTCTATTAATGTGTTTATATTTTGTTTTTACTTTTTATATTTTGTTTTTTAGAGAGCATGATTTTTATATTTTATTAACAAGTTTATGGACAATGCGTGACTAACGTAAGAATAATGCTGCATTGCATGTCATTTTTTTTGCAAGTCATTTGTTATTAAAAAATCAAACGATTTTTAAGAACGTGTTGCTAATCTATTCATGTGAAAAGCAAACGTCAAGCATTTTTGATTTTATACTTTTGGGATTTTTTTTTAAAGCAGAATTAATATGTGAACATATCTTACAAATGCATGTTTCTGAATAATATTTGTCATAAGAAAGTATAAGTGGGTATATGTGCGCGTTGTACAGAATGTCTGAGATCAAACAATTGATCTGGAACAATTCTGTACGGTAAGATAGTTCATATGGCTGTTTCGTAATTACCCCTCGTTCAGCTGTGCAACTCACTCCAGGGTATCCTCACTTACAAGATCCCAAGTTGCAACGTTCAAGTCGCTTGCGTCGTTCAATTTTAACAACAGCACACCCTCGAGTGGTGCTCAAACCGTCAGTTTGTCAAGGTAAAGTCATGCCATTGTTCATCTTAATTAAAACGTTCTTTCTACGAGTTGTTTCTTTCCATGCGGGTGAGTTAACTGTTGCGTGACTAATACTAACAATCCTTCAACAAAGTAATCACTACGTAGCTTTTGTAAATATGTGAAAAAAATGTCTCCCTGTATTTTTTTTTATGAAGTAGAGACGATTATTATTTAATCGCTAGATGCGTAGATTTATCTTATTAAGAATCACATGATAGAAACAAACTGCAATGTGATTTCAGGAATATTGCTGTCGGACCTGACAAGCTCTCGCATAATACCTTGTTATCCTTTCTTCGCACTTAGCTCTTTTACATACGTTTTGTTATAGCTTACAGTTTTCAATCAAAGTATAAATATTTTTTATAATATTTAGTTTTATAACTTATTTCTTTTTTAATTTTTAACTAAAATAAACATCAATATATATTTTGTTTTTATGTTTCTGACGGCATAAAATATATTCACAGCAATATAACGCAAATTAACTAAATAAGAAAGTTTTTATGTCGCGTAAGTAGCTTAAAAAAAAAAAAACAAAAAAAAAACAAATAGAACTTTAATTTTCTTATATTAAAAACGTACAATAAAATGTTTGAACGCTGCATAGCTCTACATCTTTTACGTGCGATAAGGATTGAAATGCATAATATGCTCGAAAAATGTATTTTTGTTTGTTATATTTTTATTGGCATATTTGATCTTTTCTGTATTTCTGATTATTTTGCTTTTAATTTGCATGATTTTGTGTTTGCATTTTTATTCAAACTATTATCACAAATATCCTTAAGGAATTTTTCTTCCTCTCCTTCAACTGGTAATCTGCTAAACTTCTTAAGTCTACAATAACTACGATAGGTACGATTGCTAAACATTAATCTATTACTGCAAAATAGATAAAAATTGATTTATTCCGTCCTTTATCAATTGTGCATTATTTACCACGTTGAAGTGCTTAGTAGTTTTCTTAATCATCCATCCGATTTCACTAAAAGCTTTTCCTACTTTTGACAATCACATTATTTTAAAAACTGCAAATATGTTAATCTGTAGAAACAATTCCGTACGTTCACACATCCTATCTACGGCCTCTTTGCAAAAAGCACTGGGAAGTCCAAGTCCAGGAACGTACAAAAAGAAAGATTCGAAGCGCAGAAGCGCACGGAAGAGCGATTCTATCACCGTAACGAAAACCGAACAGCCAACCAGTCAATGGTACACCACTACCGATATATCACATAGTTCAACATCGTCCATTACATCGTTAATATCTAATCTACATACGACACCTGTCTTCGAGCTTCGGCAAGAGGTAAGAATTATATGAGTCGTACAATATATGAGTCGAAAAATTGTCTTTAATATGTGGTTGTGATTGTTTATACAGAACGCTCGCAATAAATAATTCCTTTGCACAGCTCACACCGAAACGTCCCCTGAGATCGGAGGTGGAAAAAGAGCGGAGAATGAGTAATCGTTGGTCCGGTCAGTCTCAGCATTACTTAAGAAACAACAACGGAATGGATTCGAACTACTTGGGAAAGGGAAATCGAGACAGCATCGGTACGACCGACAGCACCGCGTCCGAAGATGATCCCCCTCCGCCTTTACCAATTAAAATGCGCGAAGCCGATTATTGCAATCTTCCAGAGGAGTTGTCCACCAATCAATGCAAAGTAGACAACATGAACAATCTGAACAAGTCTCCAGGACAGTGGAAGGAAAAATTGCCTACGCCCACCGACGACGATCTAGATAATCATTCGAAACCGCCAACACCTCCACCGAAACCGAGAAGACCGATTAACAATTTGGTTAAGATCGTGCTCTCTTCGCCTAACAACGATGAAAACTCGCACGTCGAAGATTCGTCAACTGCGTAAAGCAAAAAATTTTATTCACGCTCTTCCCTCGTCTTGCCGTGAGAAACAAAATAAGTGTCCATCCGCGGTAGCAAATCTTCCGTTTAAAATTTTTGTCGTTTCTCTTCACAAGAGTTACCATTCTCTTAGAGCGGTCTAGTATTTTTTTGTGCCTTTTTTTCGCGCTTTAGGATAAGCATACATATATACATATATATATCTATACATAGTATTTATATAATTATATAAATACTTAAGCGTACATTGCTGCGAAAATTTTGTAACAGAATACTCTGTAAAAAATAGAAGATATTGTTCCGTCTGTGCGCGCTGAGCAATAATGACACAAAGTGAAAAGTCTCAGCACGAATTTCGAAACATTTTATCATTTACGGCGCGCATGTGATACAGAAGATAACAAACAATGCACAAATTCTGACATTTATATAACAAAAATATACATTTTTTGTTTTTTTTTTGCTCTTATATATCTTCGTGCAACAAAGGACAGAAATAACTTCACGCACTTTTTGTATCACGATCAAAACTGGATCATTGCATTTCACGCGCTTGATGTAATATTTAAACTACAACGCGTAGCGCGCTATAACTTTAGTAATCTTCTCTCTATTTCTTTCGAGATTGAAGACTTCATTTCAATGACGTGACTTTGGACATATATATTCGCGACAAATGCATATTTTTATAAATTTTTATACGACCTACACATGAGTAGGTTTAATTGTAATGAAAACTTTTGGAAATCTTTTACATTTTATACACTGGGTGGTTTTAAACAAATCTGATAATGCAAGAGAGATATGCGGTAAAAACATAATCAAAGTAGATAACTTTTTATATCTGTTGTGGTATTTTGACTTGTTTCACACATACTCGATTTTTAGAAAAAAATAATTGACAGTAGTTGTGTTATATATATATATATATATATATATTATATATAGTTTACTTGCAATATATATAAGTACTATTTAAATTTAAATATTACTAAGCCATTGTGATCTAGTGGTAAAAAACTTTATATGAGTTGATGTTTATATAAAAAGTCATTCATACCTTGTTAACACAACGAGACTGTAGTCTTATATGTTAACTTATTTTACAAATATAGACAAAGGAGATCTCTCTCTCTCTCAATTGTTTATAATATATTTAACAAGAATGGGAGGAAGGGGGGAGTGTGATGCTTATTATACGCGTGCAGACCAAGTGATACTGGATATAAATTTTGCATGTTTTGCCACACAAATAAATTATTTACTTATAATACTAATGATATATATATACACACACACAGTCACAATAGAGAAACACGATATCATGACATGCTACTTCTTGATTAAGCGGATTAGAACATAGAAAATTAAGTAAGAGAGCATGTATAATCGCACAAAATAGGGCCGACACATGACCCTTTCTTTTCGTGCTAGATTGTATGCGAGCATCAAAATTGATCAAGCAAATTTTGAAAATCAAAAAGTTGTCAAATCATCTGGTATTTCTATGTCGTACGCGATGTCTGGTACAAAAAAAGCATCATGTGTCACAGGCTGAAGATTTTATACTCAATCAGTGTGTCAATTGCATTGTTTTTCAATCATAATACGCGCAAATTCTAGAAACTCGAGATATCGAAAGTAGATATTTGTTGTTGTGTTAAGATATCAATTTATTTATTACGATTTTTCATCATCCATTGAATTTCATACCAAAGAGATTAGTGCTTTATTTATCAAAAGCGTTAAAAAATTTGTGTATCAATACAAAAAACTATATCGTCATCATATATATAATCATTTGTATTTAATGCACGGTGAAAAAAACGAAAACTTGATAGATTACACATTTTTATTCATAATGACAATTGATGTAGCAAAGATCTGTAATTCAAAATTATCATTCTCACGCATAACTTTTTTGTTTACGAAATTGTTCTCCAAAAACCTATATAAAAATATATATATATGTATATTTTTCGGCAGAACATTTATACGAATGCAGTTTTAGCTAATATCGTCAGCTCTTTTATGTATACGAAAAAGAAAATTGACAATACATCGAGCCTAAAGAGTTTAATTAATTGTGCCATTTACTGTTCTAATATTATAAATTGATTACTCTTTAATTAGGGACCAATGTGTTATCTTGTATCTAAATTGAAGCATCGATCTTTTTCCTTATCTTTTATGCACATTAATACACGAGATGACATTTCTATACACACAAATCCAAATATTTATTTTACTGTAATTACATTCATATATCGACAAATCTCACATTATAAATAAAAGTATCAAGTAATAAATCCATACATACTGTACTCACGTATAATCCAAACACTTATACGTGCTATATAAAAAAAAACTCAATTTTTATTTATAAAATATAAAATAATTTCATATAAATACAAATATCGCCTTATCTTTTAATGTTTACGATCATATATGTATATATATACACATACATATATATATATATAAATTTTACGAGCTTACAATTTTATATATTTATATCTTTTATATACATACAGTCTAACTTCTCTAGCTCGAATGTCAAAGAAAAACAATAATTTGAATAACACGTAGAAGTTTTACCGCTCAAACTTCGAGATATTTTTTTAATTAATCTTCTATTTTTCTTCAGCTTATGGAGATTGTCTGCAAGAAACAAAAAAAAAAAAATTTTGTATTGGAGATGGTTTTTTCGAGTTGGCGAGATTTGACTGTATATGTGAATGCATGTTATATTATAAAAATATATTTTAATACCGCTCGTTTTTAACAAAAAAGAATTTTAACGACATCACAAACTACAACACTGACTGATATTTAGAAATTTTATTGTACAGATAAAAAAAAAATATTCATTAACACTGATGAAACTTACTCTAAATTACTATTTATCTTTCAATTAACATGGAATTAGGCTCAGCGAAACATGTAACAGATATCACGAATCTACAGACAGATGTTACCTTTCATTGTGTTAATACAATAGACAACATCTTATTACTACAGAGAATAATTGATAGTATAAAATATAGCACTTATTTTTAAACCTGCTCTATTTAACTTTGGTTGGAAGTGTGAGAAAATATGTCTTTTAATATCTATTTCTATATATCTCTTCCGTTCTTTAGCGTAATCTGTCGAGTAAAATTCATAAATGTTTATTGATACATCAGTATTTCGTTTTTTTTTGTTTTATTTTTATTTTAATTTATATCTGCGTATATTGTATTTATTGCTATATTGACATGCATTGTGCAATATAGAGCGCTAAAAAGTCCACATTCTACACATATGTATAAAATACAAAAGTAGAAAATTATATGTCGAGATGCTATTATATATATATTCGATTTTACAAGATAGAAAAATAACAATGTAATTGTGTATCTCTAAAGAATAGAAAATCTCTGAAGTGCTGCACTGCCATTCTCCGTGTTAAAAACAAAACAAAAAAATGAATAAATATTTATTCACCTTATAGCTGTACAGCAGAAACTATATATCTTCCTTTACTAATCCTATAAGAGAATATTAATGTGTTGTCTGAATTGTCCAATTGAATTTGTTCAATTGTTCGGAAATTCCGACTACATGTGCTGAGAATATATAACTAGGAAAGTTCTCCGTGCTACATACACTCCATACATACACACACGTTAACATATTACACATTTCACATATAAATAATAAATTCTTAATGTCTTCATTAATCCTTAGTATTAAAACCTAGCAAACATCACGCTTGCACTTCTTCGTCTCGATTGTTCGTTCAAAAATTATATAGATATTATACACTATAGTATAAATTATAATATAATGTAAATATCTTCAATAAGTCGTGATTCGCGCGGAAAGCGATCAAAAAAGTGCAAGCTATCATATCTGCACAAATATTTACACATCTACAACGTAATGTGAACCAACGCGACATCAACTTTCTTTTTTTTATAGCGATATATAATATGAAAAAACATGTGAAGGGCCACAATTCGAATGAAATGACTTGGACAAACACCATCGAGACAAACTATATATCACGCAATTATGTGCATTATGAAGACATGACTAGAAACGATGAATTTGTTTACTCGACTTTCAATCTTTTACTAAATTCTTCTTGCTGCTTTTCCCTCCATTCCTTCTTCGGCTTCATTCTTTTCAATTGACCGTCCCTATTCATTTCAACAAAAAAATAAAACAACCGTTAATACACTTGCGTGTTATTTTCATTTTACGTAAAAAAAAAAAAAAAAAAAACAATAATCCTATTAAATCATTCGTCGTACCACTGCAGATCGACTAGGCCGCCACGCCGCGCTATCACAGCTTTCACTCGGTTCGCAAAATCGATGGCACTCTCTCCTGCTTTCCTATACATCGGAGGAAGATACCACACCTCGCAAACTATCGCCCAGCTCGACATCATCATGTACAAGTATTGTAACATCGAATATCGACTGCTGTTCCAAAATGCATCTCCAAACCTTGGATCGTACTATATGTGCAAAAACAAAAAAAAAAAAAACATTTACGCGGATGCGCACACACACATTTGAGATGTATATCAAAATTTTTGGAAAAAAATTACTTTTATGGCCACAGGATAGATAATGCTGTCGACTTCAAAACTGCCTTTTTTGAATTGCATTACTGATGTGTTATTGATACACGTACCCTCCGGAAATATAAGTATGGGTGGATTCGTGGGATCTGATACGTGTTGCTTTAATCTGCGTAAAACATTAAAACATGTTAACACACATCTACAATCTATATATTTTAAAACACTACAGACACATGTATACAAGAGACTGCACCTTTTTGCAACGGCCTCTCTATCTTTAACCTCAGACCGTTCGAACCAAATGTGTGGAGAGGCACGAGCAAGAGCTCTTTGTAATATTCCTAAGAAACCGCCATGCCTCTGACCTATCTATAAGAAGAAATGCAAATAAAGCAACCATACGTACATTTAGTAACTTCGATAGAAATGTACTACTCAGAAATCGTACATTTCTTTCTTGAATTATCGTAATTACTTTTAAATATGTAAAAGATATAAATCATTAAGAAATGTACGATTTCTGAAATATATAAAGCCTCTTGCACAATGCGAGGGAATAGTGATAGCGATAAGCAATAGACACAGAATTCCAACTCGTCGGAAAATTTATCGCTATTGCTTATTCCGTTTTCTGATCTGCATTGATACATGTGTATTTTTGCATGTTAGATTCCGCTGTTCCTATCGTTATTTATGAATATAAACTCTTTAAAACTGGTGTTATTTCTATCGCTATCGCTATTCCGTCCATTGTGCAAGGGGCTTAAAGCGGAAGATAATTACAAAATAATGAGATAAAAAGCACATGTCTTTGATTTCGAAATAACATTTCAAGGATGTTGTTTCTAAGATTGTGATAGCGTATGAAGAATGTCGTAACAATTTGATCATACAAGTGTTAAGAAGCAACCATAAAAAAAAACAAAATCCAGAAGTAGAATTAAGAAGCCGATCGAGAACGTACCAAGGAATAACAATTATCGCACATGAGCACGAGCACGTCAATAGGAGATGTGTGATTAGCTACACATATGCCTCTGACAGGTCGATTCTCTGAATTGTGGTAGGTGATGACTGAGGATAGAGCACTGGATAAGACAGCAAAGCACATTATGGAGACTTTGTAGTTCAGCCACCGCTTGAAGCTACCCTCAGGAACGTAGCCCACTACTGCAGTGCACACTGTCAGCCACATCACCTGTAAACCACAAGCTTTGCACCTGAGAAACGTGGCATTCCCTCTCGTTGCTGAGTAGATACTACCTGTAAACCAAAGTTACAGGATATGTTACCTGTAACATTTACCAGTAATATACGCAACAACTTCTGTACTAATAATAATGCTAATAACAAAATGTCTGGCGAATCTTGCGAATGTGCACGAAAATGAAACTTTAGAAAGTCACAATTTTGTATCGTATATAACGTGTAATATGAATCTAAAAATTTGTATTTGTTACGTTAAAAAAAAAAAAAAAAAAAAAAAAAAACAAACAAACAAACAAACAAACGTCACCATCTGCTTCGATTATGAAATGCATAAAACCAAATGTTAGATATAAGTATAATAACAAATACACCAACATGTTACAATACCACTCTTTCCCCAATGCCATTCTTGTGTACGCAAGTAAAATAATAATCCTGGGAAAAAAGCTGTGGATATGTCAATAAGTATCGAATGTAAGTATGTAGAAAGCTGAAAACATTTCGTGAAAACTCACTTTTGGCTTCACTTCGATAGTTCCAGTTTCTTGCGCGATTCTAAAACCTATTCTGTTCAAATTTTGTTGTTTTAACATTAACAATTGTTTGTTTTGTCTATCAAGAGCTATCGAAAACAAAACCAAACTCCTTTTACTTGACATGTAAACTCCGCTCACGACTCAGATATGTTTGGTCACGATAACAATGTGAGACAATCACAACAATAATGTAACAACGACATGCTTGAATCTTATAGCTTATATATACATATTGTTATCCCGTCCACAATGTATTACCAAACAAAATATCGTTTGTGTGGATAAGATCAGGACATCGATGGTGGACGTGTGATTCGCCACGCATATGCCTCCGGGTTTTGGTTTGTATTCTGGATTGTGGATCGTGACCACACTCGAGATAGAACGAGATATTATCCTGAACGCAATAAGTGAGCCCTGGTTGTTTGCCCAACGTTTTACGCGGCCATTCGGCAGAAAGCCGATCAAGTACGTTACGGTTACAAGATAGAACACCTATGGAGCTTTAATATTAGTACATACATTTTTGTAAATTAACGCGTTTTTATCTTAATATTAACTTCACTTACGGTGTCTAAATCTGCGGCAAATAAACTTCAATATTTTTTCTCGCATCACATTATACACCACAGTTTTATTACATTACATTTATTACATACAAAGTGTCTGAAAATTTCTGAGACTATTCGGCTAAGATCAATTCAATCTACTTTCGCACTTCGACTTGATCAAAATTTTTCAGACACCCTGTACTTATTCACTGTTGCGCGTTAGATACGCGTAATATGCAAAATGGTGTTTGCACACTTACCCCTACGAAGCAAATAAATATCCTCAGAGGAAGAAGAAAACCATATCGCAGTGCGAACCCGAACATCCAAATGAAGGTCAACTTCCAGGAAATAAATTCGTAGTATCTATTTGTTCGCGTTAGCAAGTTCCAATTCTATACACATACACAAGTATTTTTACTCAGATAATGAAGTAAAATTGTTCGCGCGCGCATTAATCATATTGTCGTCGAGATATGAAAACGTTACCTTGAGTTCTTCGGCTTCAAAACGCGATGTCACCTCGTCTTCTATGATAGCTTCGACCCCCGCTCTGATGTAGTCCAGACTTGATGGCGCAAATCCAGTTTTGAGCGTTTCAAAAGAGTTCTTCTGATTGAGACAATCCTAACAATACGATAATAATCGCAGTAATTAAAAAAGAAGAATCAGATATAGACACGCAAAACAATCAAACGCACACTTGAAAAATCTATCAAACTGATATACTCAGATGATCTACCTCTTTATCGTCGATCGTTGTCGAATCTTTGCGATCAGTTTTAAAATCCTCGTTAACGTGATTGTGCATTTCCGGCTCGGGAACAAGGATCAAATCCTTAGATCTGGCTATCACCGTGTTGCCCACACAGCCATTTTGCGTCTTGGCCGATGTCACCGTTGAATTCTTGTCCGTGATCGTTGACGACTCGCATTCCTCCTCCGTATTGTCGTCATCGTCCCGAGTGCCGTTTCTTTTTTTCACACTTTCGATGTTTTGCCTGCCGTACTGCAACACAGCGCGTAAACGTTGCCACTCGTTAAAAAAAACTACTACTAATCACGCGACGTATACGATTACTCGCGTCTTTGACCTCTTCTAAACGGAAAACTGTATAATTTTTGCTCGTAATTTCTTTAGTTTATTATGCAAGAAGATGTAAATTCTTCTTTTGTTTTTTCGAATCTTGAGGTTCTTATCCTTGAATTCTACGCGCGATGTGTCCGGAGAACTCCGATACCGTTATTGCTGAAATAAGTGCTGAAGAAACAAAGAAAAAATTGCTTGAAAGATTCAGACAAGCTTGAACATAGCAATGAAAGAGAGAGAGAGAGAGAAAGAGAGAGATTGATCGCCTATAAATATTTCTAGACATGAATATTCGTTTAAGGCATTTGCATATATAAAGTTGCGTCGACAATTTCTTAATAACGTCTCTACAACAAAAAATAACAACTTTATGTGTATAGACATCAACGTCCTTGTCTGTGCACATTGAATTCTACTGCGTGTACATAAATTATAATAAATTGTCTGCAATTTTTATTCAAGGAAAAATGATAAGCCGATTGCGCATAATACAAAAATACTTCGTGTTCAGACGGACAGAGAAAATGAGAGAAAAAAATATACGCACGCAAAGCTGTTTGCGCACCTGAGATCTGACGTATTGTCATTAACGATCGAGTATTGTTGAAGCAACACGAGGATGTTTAATCCTCCGCCGGGAAACCGGCGCTTATAATATGTAACAATCTTTTCGTACCGAGACTTTGATCCTCGTTCACCGGTCGCGGTGGTGATCGAGTGTTCGACCAGATTACAGCGACTGATGAGTCACGAGGCATTTAGAAGATCAAACTCCACAAAAAAAAGTAGTCCACCGCGTGGACAATGCGTGTCACAACGATCGCCGATACGGTTATTAGAGATCAGAAACACTCTTCGGATTACCGTAATCGAGATATTCCGGCCGGTCTTGTTGATACGAGTTTTTATCGCACAGAAAGAAGAGTTACAATCATTAACGAGCGATTACTTGGAGATCAAGTTAATTTTTTCGCCAAGTTGTTTTGCGAGATTGATGATTTTATGAAACTAATAATCAACAGTTAGGTGGTTTCAATAGAAAAAAACAACAGTACAGATGTTTAAGGAATTTTCACTGAATATTCTTTAAAATCCAGTAGATATCTTGGGATTTGGAAAATAATTGAAATACTCTCGCGTTCGCACACAGAAAACATATCTTCTGTAATTCTCTTTTGCGTTGAAAATAGCATTAAGTCTCAATTCTTTGGTAAATTAAACAAATAAAATATATTAACGCGTTTTGTATATGAGACATGCGAGTGTCTCTGGCACGAACGCGCTCAAGCGCATTAATCTGTTTGGCAACGGCACACTGGCTGAAATCATTTTTGCCACCTACGTTCAGTGAACTGGTGCTTCCTCGGTGCATTTGCACCGCAAGCACTAAAATGCAGTTTCTTTTTTATCCGTGTTTCGTCGCATCTATCCGATAATTAATAATTTTTTTCAAAATATTTTATAACAAGTTGCATTTTAAGTTGCGTTCTGTTTTTAGGAAATTTGCACAAAATCTGACTACAAATTTTTTGTTCCAAAACAAAAAGCTACACAGATAATTGCGCGCTATCAATTTTTCGCACGCTTTAATGAGCGCACATCACAATTTGCATATCGTGTCTGATGACAGACACGTGACATCAGCGTGTGAAAGAGCATCCAGATTACGTAGCGATATCTATTCGCGGACTTTCTCCTGAGAGAAACTGTCCTCTCACGGCAATCAAAAATTTCAACGCACTAGGATTCATATGTGACACTTATTTAAGAGATACTTAGGTTTTATAAGTATTATCGTAAAAACTATTGTTTCTGTTAAAATAAATTGCAAACCCCCAAGGCATTTTCATAGCGACAGAAAAATTGTCATAAACAAATCTGTTTGCAAAAGTATAAAATTGTAAACTTAAAGAACTGATTATTTATAGAACAATTCGAGCTATTGATTGTGTTTGACATCATCAACTTATTCAACGCCAAACATTTTTTCGATCGATCGACTCGCTGCGATCGCAGATAATTAAATCTCATATTTCTCTTTGAATCGAACTTTGAACTGGTCATTATCACTGTCACAAGCGCGTATCAGATACTGACTGCTTATCTCTATTAAAACAAAAACGGTCACAAAAGTATGGAATCGATGAAACATTTTTTAAATAAAATTTACTTGTCAATAAATTTTTTACTCGAATCAATGATATCGTACGATTGTTTAACAAAACAAGGAGTGTCTCTGTTGCACAATTGTTTCAATTAAGAAAAAGCAAAAAAGAACACTAAATATCACATCACTGACGCCATCGGAGGCGCGTATGTAAATAAAATTATAATTATTTTTTTGCAACATACGTTCGCAAAAAACGTAATTGGCAGAAAACGCGTTAATTATGTATATATCGCTATATACATATACATAATTAACGCGTTTTTTACCTCATTTACAACAGTAATAAATTTTTATCAGAGATTTGAATAACGAGCGGTACCGAAGATGCCGCTCATTGATCAGTGATAGAAAACACAGGAATTCAGCGAATGTAGGTTACACACATACACACACAAATCATTAAATACATACAGATCAAAACAGAGGGTTTGTGCTTGTAGATTTATAGCATAGATATTACCGACCAAAATAGTCGCAACTGCGCGCAATGTGCATTTTTTGGTTACAAGTAATAAACCGGAAAACAGTCACGTTTCATACATTATTCATAAAAGACCGATCGAGAACCCGTTTGAATTTTAAGCCATCGTCACAGATTGTGCACGCGCTTTGCATTTAAATAAGAATATCAAAATAATCGTTGCTTGATGAAAAAAACGATTCACTTGATTCAGCTGGTGTTAAATTGATTTTAGGGAAACTTCAACAACCGAGTTAACAATAAGTTGCGAGTTTGAATCGCGCGAAAAATCACACACGTACACACACAACACATGGAATAATCGAAGAAGACTCGCTAATTAAACACACGCGCCACATGCGCGAACAAACATCGAAGATAACAATCGTACGACTGTTTTGCGCGAAAACAAGAAACACGCGGTCCGATAACGAGATGAGATCTTGCAAAATCAAACTGAAAATAAACGGAATGTTGCGCTCCGATTGTCGCAAGGCGCGACGTTAAGAAGCAATATCTCTCGAAGGAGAGAACTTGCATTCGTTTTTTTCTCCAATTATCGGCAGAACTCTTGGCGAATCTTTCTCTTGGCAATGAATCACATTTTTTTTTCATTAAAAAAAAAAAGTATCAGTTCCATTTCATAACGCAGCTGATTACAACGAAGTCGCTCCTCAATTCTTCGGCCCGTCGTTTCTTATTGACTTTTCGATTAAGAAACTAAAGAAATTTAATTCGCGAAAGATATAAAAGAAGGAGAACATTTTTCTCCGGTATAAAATAACATTTAATTTAAATATAAAATCAACATTTTAATGTTTCATACAAAACCAAGTTTTTTTTCGGGGCACCCGAGACGTTGATCAGCGCGTGTGATTTGCATGCACCAAATCGTATTTCATAACTGCGCAATAATTCAATTAAGATTCACGACTTGAACGACGAGTTTTCTAAGATAACGGCGAATTCAAAACGCTAGTCTTCACGAAGATTTGATCGCCGTGTATGGCGCGATCTAACAAAATCGCGGAGAGACACGCGACATACAGGAAATATTACGTTCGAAATTGCAAAGTTTTTCAATACGCGCGTCTCTTTCGAGCGTTGTGCGCAGCAATATCGCATTTGAATAAACGTTCAAAATGGATATCTTAATAATGGATTTTTTTCTGCTTTAATGTGAAAATATCTGTATAACATTAAAACATATTAAAAGACAAAACTAAAGAAAATGCGTGAATAAATACATACATGTGTGCATATTTATGAATAATTAATTCTCACGTAGACGTCAATTTTTTCGACGAATATCGCAATTCCTGCAACAAGAAATTTTTTACGCGTCCGACGAACATTTCCATATCGCGATCGTATAAATCTCTTATTGTCAAATGTATTGTTCCGCAAGTCCGTATTACGGTCGAACTAAAAAATTTCCCTCCCACCGACGATGACAACGTGCATTTGTCGTCGCGCACATGTTCCGCGCGCGCAATCGCGCGTATTATAATAGCGGAAATCTGTTTCACATTTTCCGCGAGAACAAAACAACGATTATCGCCGATAACGAAGATACAGAATCGATATCTGTTTAATTTGTTTTTTTTTTTTTTTTTTTGTTCAAGACCGACGACGGCACGGTACAAATGGTCACATGTAGTCCGAAGTTCAAGAAACTCTCATTGAACCGAGTATTACTCGAATTAAAAGATACGAAATTGTTGATAAGTGCCGTTTTTTTTTTTCTTCAATGTTCTCAAAGAAACGTCACGTCGTTTATCAAAGTTACGTTTATCAAAGCGTTGAATGAATCGGGACGTATACAACGCGGGCTATAACGTGTCGCGTTTTCTTATGCCAAGTGTTGAAAACATTTCGATTGGACTTAGCGGAACGGAATACGCGATGATGACTCAGTAAGTTTCTTGACTGTGATGTTTGCGTCTTCAGTAAGTCGAGTGTTTCTATTACTTCGTCGTCATCGTCGTCGATTCGTCTTTTTCTCAGAGAGAGACGCATCTGTTCGCTAATATTTCACGCACTTTCTATTCAAGCGATCTCGCACACGTCCGATACGTGTTTTACAGTTAAAAATATATTTGCTGAACGAATCGGCAAATGTTCGAGAGAGAGAGAGAGAAAGAGATTACGAATGTGCGCGCGTCTGAAGGATTGAGAACGCAAATTCAATTTTTTAAGCCAAATTAAACTCAAAACTTTAAACATTCTCTCTCCCTCTCTCTCTCTCAAGTTCATTTGGCAATCACTTAGAAAGTTATCTAACGTTGTCAACAACAAGTTATTTCTGATTTTACGTAGTTGTTTAAGGGCACATCTCGCGCAACGATCTATTTTTATCAATTATCGGAAAATTATTACAGACTCGCGATGGAAACGCACACCATTTACATACCGATACACACTAATTACCTTTACGGGAAAAACAGCTCGTTTTACTTGAATTTTTACTTTTTACTGCCTTTGTTAACATTAAAAGATATCAATAACAAATAACGCCGTTGATGTATACGAGCAATTTAGTAACATATTCAGACAATGCGTGGAGATATCAATCAGATGTATATCGATGAACTACTTTTTACGCACACACATTAGAATGCTGTGCTAACAACTTTTTGTTTTGTAATTTGCTGTTATCTCTTTATAAATTTACAACAAAACGATATATTTTACTTTCACTTTGCAACGTGTTATCACAAATATTCTCACCTCATGGGTTCTAATTGCATTTACTGTGTGTTTATCGAGAAATCATTCATGAATATCGGAACTATCGTGTATATATTTATCAAGAAAAATCGTTCGCGTATAGTGGAACCACACGAGACTGAAATAAACACGCGACAAGAAAGTAATTTTGCATTGCGTGGTAATTGCGAAAGTGATCGATAAGTTAATGAGAAACACCGCTCGCGTCTAACGACAAACGATTAAAAAAAAACGCATGACAAATGTCTGTGCTTCAAGATAAGTAGAATTCGTGCACGAATTTTATACGTTCGATTAAAATAAACAGTTACGTTATATCGTCACTCCCTACGTATAATCCCGTAACTCCAAAACGCAAATTTTAGAGGAGAGCAGTTTAAAAGCTCAAAGCTTCATATAGTTTCCCTAGTTGAGGGATCTTTCGGTTTTAATTTTTTACCTTACTTATGAATATTTTTTTTAAATACTTGGTGACCACAAAGAACATGACTTTCTAAGCGTCGCTATGCAATAAACTGAAAATCCCATATGTGACACTTATGTAATTATACGTAGGGAGTGACGATATCGAAACTCTAAATTATACGAAGCGATCTGTGTCACATGCTTAGTTTTTTTTGTATGTAGAATATAAAATTTCGCGCGGTGTCAGAAGCGTCGAAAAACTGCAAAATCGATTTTCAGATATTCTCGGTTATCGACGACGGACAACAAACGCCTACGTACGTATATGTATGTTTATATATACATATATGTGCGCACATGCGATCAAAAGTTAATTATTCAGACATGTAAAAGACCCTCTTTTCAACGGCAATTTGCAAGTTCTAAAAATAAACCGAGGTCACGTTAATGAAAAAGCGAAGCACGTTAAGTTTCTGCCGAAAATGAGGGACCTTTTAAAAAAAGTTAAAGCTTCGAAGACATATGATATGTGCGAGGACACCGACTGTCTCGCATCTTAATTAAATCGAACGGAACTCATTTTACTTACATATCTACTACTACTACTACTACTACTTACATCTAGTACTGAGTGTGTGATGATGTATATATATTCGTACACACGAAAAATTCATTCCGCGCTGTTTGCACGTTCAAAAAAAAAGGAGACAGAACATCTTTGCAAAACAAAATTGTCAGTTGGAAACTTGTTGCGTGTCGATTGCGCGTGTTAATTGTATTTCGTGGCAATAATCTTTTATTCAGCGAAACACGAAAAACGATCGCGTTACGACGTTTTTTTGCACGAGGGATCGTCCAATTTTCCGACGCGGATACAGGAAACGCTCCTTCCTGCAAGAAACGAGACGCGAATCACGTGACATTGACGAGACGACGTGTTTCTCGGAGCAGCAAAAAAAAAAACGTGATTTGCATCTCATTGATACACGCACGCGGATGCCGGGCGAGTGGTTCTTTTTTTTTTTTTTTATTTAGATACGTACCGGTTAGATGGTGCGCGTATTTCGCATCAAACAACCGCAAGGTGTTCGCTCGGCGTTCACTCACCTCGAAGAGAGCCAGGAGCAATTTGATGTACAATCTTCGCACGCCAAGAGATTTGCCGATGGACGCGAGGAATATGATCGCCAGCAGTAGCATCAGGAAAGGTGTCAGCATCAGAGAGAACGCGAACGACATCACCGCGCACAACGACGCCATTTTGCTAACTGCTGTTAACTGTCACGAGCTGCGAAGTGCCGACCAACTGGGGATCTCTGCCCCGTTCAACTTTTCAACAACTACGCCGTCGTCCTGAAGCAAAGAGAGAGGGAGAGGCGCATGCTTGCGAATCAAAAGACTCCCCACGCGAGTTCTCCACGAGTACGTTGCACCATCTGTACGATCGTTAGCAAACTTGCATGTAATCTCCTCCTATGATAACATCCACAATGAGTAAAGAAGAAAATGTTGCACATTTACAAGTGCGCACACACAATCGTTATTACACACACACACACATATACGAATCATTGACGAACCTTCTCTTTCAGAGACGGGCGATTTTCTTGATTTATCCGCAAAATGTCGTCCGCTACGCTAGATCCGAGACCTCTGCGAGTTTCTCCTTTCATTAAAGTAAGAACATTCGGTAGTTTTGTATTATTGCGCTACTGTATTTTTCCGTCTTCTCTTTGTGTGTTTTATCTCACGAAAAACTAGTTTTCCCACCCAGCTGTCTGATCCCAGCGGCTCCCATCAGTTGTGTGTGCGCTTCATTACATAATTTTTTAAATTATTTTTTCCGTGAAACTGAAAGAATGTGAAGATCAACAAATGTGCGCTATAAAAAAAATGAGCGGCGGTGTTTCCATTGTCACGTCGAATTAAAAAAAAAAATATTCGAAGAGATGTTATTTGACATTGTTGTTCCACGACCTTCTAACCTTCAATAAATTAGTAAAGTGTTGTTTTGTATCAAGAGAGAGAATACTCAAAAGGATTTGGAAGAACGTTAATATCATAAACTTGTTCAAAACTGTTTTGTTCAACGACATTAGAATGTTCGAAAGTCATGATAATAATCTTCGACAAAATATACAAAATATTTCAAATAGAATATTGCTAATTCGTACAAGAAACTTTGAAGGCAATCGCAATAATCTTTTAATATATTTTAAAACTACATACTACAAAAATAAGATGTTTTCTAATGAAACATATATTTTTAATTGATTACACTTACAGTTTTGCCGCTGGAGTTTGCTTCTTACTGGAATTGTTTACGGTGCGTTCCATCATCGAAGATTCTCTAAAATTGAAAATGCTCGCAGAGAAGAAGAGTTGAGAACCAAACCCGAGCGTGATGCTAAGCTAGCGGAAGAGAGAAGACTCGCTCTAATAGGTAAAAGACTTCCAATTCTGTAATTATTTTCAGTACACAAGTTAATACATCGGTATAAAAATTGTAGGATATTATTATTCTTTCTGTTGTATATTTTATTACCAAAGTCCTGCAAATATGAAAATATAATTTGTAAATGTTATACAGATTACATAAAAAACTGTGTCTTAAAATTTTTTCTTTTTTTTCAGCTGAGCAAAAAATGATAGACGAATTAATAACTCCAACTCCTAAATAATGCGCCATCTTAATGCGTTTGTTTATTGTGCATATGAAATATTAACACTTTGTATCTATAAAACTAGTCGAACACATACTTGTTGGAATGTCACATTATTACATTAACAGATAATAAATCTGTATTGTACAAAAACCTCAAATAAAAAGATCTGTGACGATTATGTAACATGAGATTTATATATTTGAGAGATCTTGTTAGACAAGCACATGTTATAATTATATATACTTAAAATTACGTGATGAAAATGTATTTATCACTGTTTAATGAATTCTTAAAAAAAAAAAAAAAAAAATTGATCGCCCGAACAGGGACTTGAACCCTGGACCCTCAGATTAAAAGTCTGATGCTCTACCGACTGAGCTATCCGGGCTCTTACGTGAGCTCTCCTACAAATTTGAATTGTGTTAGAAACATTTACACGCACAAACATATACATGTAAATTTTTAATTATTATAAAAACTTTTAATATTCTAACATGATCGTAAGTACTAAAAATTTTGTGACTCCATTAAATTTAAAATCAATGCTTTTAAATGCATAATGTGTTTGAATGCAAAATTTCTACAAGTTTATAAAAAACTATTATTTTATGAAGATTAGTCTTTTTCCTAAAGAAAGAGTATAATAAATTTATTACATATTTGCATGTGTTAGAATAGAAAAGTTTGGAAATGATCAGCTGTTGTTTTTGCAACATTCAATATAATTTGTATATATATTACATCGATATAACAAAACAAATTACAAAATATACACATATATATTATGTATGTAATGTAAAAATTATTTGCTTTTTTCAAATAAGTAAATGATGTTGACACAACATTGTATATAAAAATAAAGATTATTTCATATAAGTCTCTGAACAAATATATGGATCTCTTTAGGTAACAATAAGAACAAGATATACATCTTTACATTTATTATATTGTCATGAATGTTTGTTCCCATGGTCGTTGTTCGTTTTACATTTTGGAAGCCTGAATCACTTGCGTCTTGTTGTCCTTGGTAATGAGTTGCAGAAGAGAACCATTAGCAGGTCGATCTTGATTCTGCGACCACTCCCAGAACAAACTACAGAAAAAATATAAAAACAAAAAAACAAATGCGTAAAACAGCAAATCATAAAATCAAATATTAGTTTCATGTGCGAAAGTGGTATCTTACTTTGACACAAAGTCAAGTGGAGTCCAGGTGCTCGTATCAGCATTGGGCATCCACTTTCTATTCATTGGCGTATCCAAAGTAACAGGTAGTATAGCGACTACCAAACTATCTTCTGGAAGTCCGCTGTTTTTGGCAGCTAAAGAACTTGTCAGCTGATGAACCGCCGCCTTTGCCATACCGTAGCCGATCATACCTAATCGAGTAAAATCATTATTTTTTTAGCAAATATCGAAAACTGTTTGTGTGTGTGTGTGTGTGAAAGTGATTGTATTTTTCTTCGACAAGAGACCTGGTGTTCCTTCCAGTGCCGCTTTGGCACCGGTCAATGTAAGGAAGCCTCCCTTCTTCAAGCATTCGGCCGCGATGTTAGCTGCTAAAACCGAACTCCAAACGCTCTGTTTCCACATGAGATCGCAATTCTTTATGAAATCTTTGTGGATTGCATTGCCACCCGCCCAACCTCCGGCTACGCAAATAATACCGTCAACCTTCTCATCTTTCAATGTGTCCTTGATTTGGGCCAAAACTTCTACTTGCTAAAGATAATTTAAAAACTGTAGTTTTTTTTTTTTTTTTTTTTTTTAAATTTAAATCGCACAAAAAATTATAAAGTTCTAAAAAAATATTATACCTGCTGTTGCCAATTACTCTCCGGATTTACTATGATATTTGCATCCGCTTGTTCATTTGATTTCATATCAATGGAACCAACCCACTAAAAATCACAATGCAATAATCCAACCAATGCAAAATAACTATAATTTGTGTCAATTTAGATGTTTTTCTTATAATAACAAAAAATCAACAAAATACAGAAAAATATTAATTATACGTACATATAAATATCTTTAATAAACAATTCCTTAATCCGAAATTAAATAAAGTATTAAATATCATAGTGTAATAATTTTATGAGAAACATGATAAAAATAATTTTTATCAACAAAATGATTACTAATAAAACAAATATTCGCATTTTGGAGAGCAACGTTGATAATTTTAATATTTAATGTTAGAAAACAGAACATTTAAACAGACATTTGTGAAAGGATTTGCTTAGTTGCACTAGCAACCTTGAAATACATAGTTTTTATGCAATGTCCTTCAGATTGTTGACTACTATCTGTATGCGTATCTAACTAAAGCAATGCGTTACGTCTTATTTAAAGAGAAAAAAATGGAAAATTATATTGATTGCGAAAAAGACATACTGAAGCATCGCTTTCTGAAACTGATAAAAAAATATATTCTGATCTTTAAGGCTTTAATTAATGTTAAAAACGCTAACGTCGAGATTTCGACAAATCTGTGACTTACAAACAAAAACTCGATTACTTAATATAGTCAACCGATTATTATATCACGTTTAACGAAGTACAACACGGTTTCAAAACAAGTCACACTGATAACGATTGAGATAAATCCAGCAAGATTCAAGTTGAATCTTGGTGTTTGAAAAATGGCAAAACGTCTTTTAAAAAACCGCTGTTTTGACAGTTTTGACAGTTTAGCATCAGGGTGCCCAACATTTCGTAAACGATTCTAATTCTAACACGTGTAATTTCGAATCGTCCCGCGAAGTGTGGCACGATTCGCCGTAGCAAACCGGGAAAATCGAGAAGAGGAAAAAGTTGACCGTTGCCGTTTCGATCGAATCATATGCTACGGCACTCCCACGAAAGACATTTTTGTGTAGCGTGACAAATTGCATGTTGTAACAAAAAAAAAAACAGTATATTCGCGTTGTTTCAACGTTATTTAACTGCTTGAAGGAAATTTTCGAGACGAAACATGTGACAATCAAGTTTTTGGCAATATGCCGATATGAGGTCCGCCAGCGATAAGACCAGCGCGCGATTAATCGAACCAAAACGTCGTATTCAAAACTTGCAACGAGTGAATTTTCTGTTACTCACCCAATTTCGCGATTTAAATTGGGAGACGCAGGCCGAGCCAAGAGCGCCCTTGCCCCCGTACACAATTACACGTCCGAGTACGGTGCTCATTGTTCGATAAATGCAACGAGAGCGAACAATTCTCGGAGCTCCGCGATCACCGACAGGACTGACGACTCCGGTCGGTCGAGATGCTGGATGCTTCGGAAAGAGATTCCGGGAAACAAGTGTCGCACACAGCTAGATTGTCAAATCTCGCCGTGTGAATTGTTGGCGCGTTTTTCTCGCATGCCCGCCAGACGGCGCGGCAATCGACCAATGACGATCGCTCGCCTGAAACTTAAAGCCGGAAACGCACGACGATCGGTCGATTTCAAAATTGATCTTTACTGATTGCTTCGGGAGCGAGATTCAATTTCAATAACAATAAATTTTGAAAGTTTATTGAAAAAAAATCACTGCCAGTGACGTGAACTATAGATTTTTGATACCGGCAGCGAATTTTGGAACACGGGGTCATGGTAGTTCTGGGAACGCAGCCTTAATCCTTTCACCGTCTCTCGGGGGGGGGGGAGGGACAACAGAGGGTGGGTAGCCGTGGCAACATCGCGACCCGCGATTGCGCCGACTACCCAGCAGGCGGCACGCGATATCGCGAAATAATTTGCTCGCATTCAATCGGGAGGAGCGTAGGTCGGTCTAGCGTGACGTCACGTTCATCATCAGCCTAGTTGGGTTAGGTTTTACGCTGGAAATTCTAACGACAAATTTTTTGTTTGACGATTGATGTTTTCCCCGTGTCGTGTTCCGCCGTAATTGAGCGACGCCGAGGTGCACACCTTCAGTGACAGCCAGCTGTCGCTTTCCACGGAGCGAAACGGTCGAGCGAGAAGCCCACGTAGCTCGACGTATATGAGATTTTAAACGGAAAATGAGTCGACATGAAGGTACGTACACTGCGTGCATTGCGCTTTCGTACCTTGACGAGTCAAGCCCGCGGGACACTCGTCCGGCGGATATGATCACGCGGGACGAAAAATTTTGTCGCCGCGGACCGTGCGAGAACGTTTCCCCAAAGATTCCAAACGATTCTCCGCGGGCTCGTCGAACAGCGGGAACACGTCCTTTTAACACGGACGATATTCCCGTGGCCCGTGTGCGGACCTAATGTCAGAGGCCAGATGGCAGCACGCGGTGAAAATTCACGCGAATTTCTGCGGATTTGCGATGTTTTTTCGAAAAAATCGCTCGAGTTTCACAACGACAACCGATTTTGGAAGCGTCCCGCCCCGCCATCCGATCGCTGACCACCCCATCTGATCAGCTGTCAGACGGTCTTTCTACCCTTCCTCAGCTGACTAACTTTTTTAGACCAGTCAGCCCCTTCTCTCCTGATGATGAGTCTTCTCTTTGCAGAACATATTGCATGCTTATTTTAATGTGTTATCACAATTTCCTGGCATGAAACCACTTATACAATTGATCAAAAAAAGTTTTTCACCATGACCTATGTCCTTTGTATGGTCTCCTTGTCTTATTCAGGGATAAAGTATCATTGTTTAATGTGTGTCATAAAAATAACACTTCTGTTCGTCGGAACATGTTGCTTTTAAGCAGTTGTAATTAATTTCTTTGAGATTTTTGTGAATAATATCAGATACTTGTGTGTAAATTTAATTGGAGTCGAAGAAAATCTGTACTTTGTATGTGTAAAACTTTATTTTTCCTGTTCACAATTATACATATTATATTTGTTATATAATTATCACTTGTCTCTAGTATAAAGATAATAGATAAGCACTTAGAAAGATATTTAGTATGTTTCCAAATATTTCACATGTGGAATTTATTCATATTAATATAAATCAAAGTTTTTTTGTTGGTAATAAATAAATGTAAATTTATGTAACAAACAGATTTATATAAAATATTTTTTCATAAAATTATTAAGCTCAGTCTTATTTTCAATATGTGTCTCTTTATGTTCAGGTAGCATATATTGTCTTAAATTCTTGCTTTTCATTGTTACTACAGGACTATGACTCGCTTTGTATTGCTATTTATAGTTACAGTCATCTGACTCTTATTTTAGTAGCAATTTTTCTTATTAGCAAGGCAAAAAAAAGTGTTTTAAATATCTTTTGTTGGTACTGTACAAACAGCCAACTCTGTTCAGAAGTGTTACACACAATACATGATGTGTTTTGTAATTAAAATTAAGTATTATATATTTTATTTTATTATCAAATTTCTAACAGTTGTAGTTATTTGACATTTATGAACATATTTTTACATGGAGATTCTTAAGGCATGATTTATAAATTGCATCATTAACTAATTCATTATGTTTCTTTGTATGAGTAGTTTTTGTCTCTTTCTTTCTTTTCTTCTTCTTTGTATATAAATAGAAGACACTTTGATGTTTTTTGACATTATTATACATAAGAAAGTACATGTTATAAGAAACGGAGCAACATGTAAATATATTTTAATATATTGTGTGCGTGAGAATGTCCTACAATATTTAACATTAAGTAGATTTCGATGTTTACAAACACACAGTCATTGATATTTTATTATTCAAATTTTTTGAACTGTTTTTTATCAGTTTTTAAAGAATAGTTTTTTTTTTACATCTATTTAATTTAATGTGTGTTTATTTTAGGCGTAAGCTGTGATTCCTGCTTAAAGGGAAATTTTCGGGGTCGTAGATACAAGTGCCTTGTATGCTACGATTATGATCTTTGTGCCAGCTGTTACGAGGGAGGCGCAAGTACTACACGCCACCTCGCAGAACATCCCATGCAGTGCATACTTACCAGATCTGACTTTGGTAAGTGCTTTATTTTTTTTATAAAAAACAATTGGAGAAGTGTATTCACCCCTTTTTGTTATATGTATATTTAGTGACAATAAAATTATATAAGTGTAGAAAATCTTGTATTATTACCTTGTCTTTGTTGTTTCTTATTTTTATACATTTATATTAAGTTTAAATCTGTTTCATGATCGATTTTTTTTTTAATAGAATTATACTATGGTGGTGAAGGAGTAAGTGTCGAACAGCCTCAATCCTTAACCTGTCCTTATTGTTCGAAAATGGGCTTCACTGAGGCTACGCTCCAAGAACATGTTGCTGCTGATCATCCCGATATATCATTCGAAGTTGTAAGTGAAACACAGTACAAAAGTACGTTTTTTGTACATGAGATGAAGTATGTACGACACGTATTGCATATATTTATAAAAATGCTATAAAACACACGTTTTTATATATATAAATTGTTGCACTGTACATACGTTAATTTTGAGTATTTTTGCAGGTTTGTCCAGTATGTGCAGCAGTGCCAGGTGGTGATCCGAATCATGTAACTGATGATTTTGCTGGCCACCTAACATTAGAGCATCGTAGTGGACCAAGGGACCTGATCTCTTTTCTAGATGAACCGTCTGCAAGTAGGCATGGCGTTAGACGGATACCACATCCGTCCAGGGCTGTTGGTGCGCCACGCACACGTAGGTATGTAACAAGGAGTTCCAGATTTTTGGTAAACAATTAAACTTGTTCATTAATGTTCAATATTCTATTTATAGGATATTTTTAATTACACAAACCCCAAATTTTATCTTTGTTACATTAAAATAAATTTATTATTAAATTTGTTAAATTTATTGTATATTTTTTTGTTATTGTCTTTGTTAATGATAATATAATTTTTAAAAACTTTAATTTACAAATTTTTTGTAATATTTTTTATGAATTCATGTGTATATATTCATATATTAACACAAGACTTGTCTTACAATAATTGTCTTGGTACATACTCTCAACAAGACATAAATTCATTCATTATATTGTTCAATAACAAGTAATCGGCTACAATTTCTTGTTGTCATTACCTCATCATGTCATCTTAGATAATGTTCATTGGAGTAATCATTGGACCTGCAGGTCCAACATGCATTTCAGTTCATCTGGAGGACTGAGCCCTAGTAATCGAGAAGGCATAGACCCAATTGCCGAATTATTATCTCAGTTGTCGGGAGTGCGTAGAAGTGGCGGAGGAAGTGGACAGAGTTCATCCGCTCCGTCACAACTACAACAGTTACAAATGCAACTGCAACTAGAACGACAACAAGTCCGGGTATAAATAAATCTTATTATGATAAAAAGAAGAACTAAATTATACATGTAATGCATTTTTTGCTCAATTTTTTTCTTAAATAACTGAAGACTACTCTTCACATTCAAGATATGCTGCTTATATACATTTTATAAGCAATATTAAAACCACTGAAATAAAATTATTATTTTTAGGCTACTAGACAACAACTCGAACGATTACCGAGGAGACAGACACAAGTGATCGGTTCGGTAAGTGGTGGAGGTAGCGGAGGTGGTAGTGGCAGCAGTGGTGGTCATTCTACTACTTTGGCGGCATCAAATAACACAAGTAGTAACAATAATGTGACTAATACAGCCAATTCGTCCGGTGTATCTTCTACCAATTCGCAGAACGCTATGTTCCTGTTACCCAGGTGTGTTTTTCTTACATATATTAATTCACGTTTATATACGATGATATATCTTCTGTAAATGCCAAAACAAGATGGAGTTGTTAAATTGAAGAAATTTAATCAATTCCATAAGTGTATTTCGTGAAGTAGTTATTTAACCTTGAAATATCTTTTTGACACATCAGATCTAAATGTGTGATTTTTTTTTTCATCATGTTTGTACAGATGCATTACGACTACGCTGTCTGATTCACAACTGCAAAATATTGAACGTGAAAGTGCAAACAGGAGCCTTTTTGCACGTGAACTCATCGTCGGAATGCTCGCCTTCTCGTTCTCAGAATTGATGCAATATCAGTGCGTGGTACAAACTCCGGCGTCAAGTGCAACTACTGCTACAACCAGTCCTGAAACACCGAACGCTAACACTTCCATCGTTCCCATAAAAAAATTGAGTCTAACTCAAGAGACGAAGAGAGAACAAGCAACAAGTAAACACGTGACACCACAAGCGTCCGTGCAACAACAACAACAACAACAGCAACCACAACAAAAAGAACAACACAATCTACAGGCCACAGCTACTGTTGCTGCTGCTACTACTGGCAACGTGGGCTCAGGCCTGCAAAATCAGGGTTTACCTTCAAATCCTAATAGCATTGCGACTCAAAATCCACCTATAGTGCAAACATTGATGCATAGTGTGTTACCTCAGCCATTGGTAAGAATTTCTATTTAATTTTGAATTATTTTGAAATTACTATGTTTTTTTAGCAATTAAAGTTGTAAAAGCAAAAACTTATTTGAGACTTAACTTATTTGAGACTCATTTTAGTTATAACATAAAATTACGTTATTTCGAGATCCGTTCTAGACATAATATTTTTGATATGATAAAAAACAAATTGCACAATAATAAATTTAATATTAGCGACTTCAATAAAATTTCGTGTGATGTAGGTATTACAGCAACCACTGCCGCCACCAATTAGGAATACCGGCACTGGCACTATCAGAGAACCGATAGCAGCTCCTGCGCCTGCTTACCTAAGAGGCGGAGTGGGCTCGGTCGGAGTGACAGGTTCTTCGCGTAGGAAGCCGGTTAGGGCAGTAGATGGCAGAAATCAATCTACGGAACCGCCGCCCCCACACTAACCCCTCCTTAGCCCGTGTATCCCATCCACCCTGATTCCTTACACAGGACCCTCTAGCACTAGTCCTAGCACTGTTTAGAACACCTCATCATTATTGTTATTATAATAATATTATATATTAATAATTATATTCGAGACATCCTCTCCTTCCCTTCTTTTTCCCTCCTCCTCCTTCTCTTGGCTGCGTCTCTCCTCCATCTTCATCCTCTTGTGCCCTATTACTATTACTACTTTCCCGAACTTTAATCTCGCCATCTTTGCTGTTTACGTGACATGGAACAAGGGCAAGGGCTGATTTACCGGCCGCTGAAATATATTTGCGAATATAACACTGTACATAACTCACTTCTTGCAGTTATGCTCGGAATGTAGAGTTCGTTCGCGCGTGTACTACTTCTTCGAGCGAGTCTTGCCACGTTCTTCCACGCTGCCACCACATAGTATGGCGTTAACCTCCTATCCGCCGGAGCGCAAGTGTTGTGAACAAACGTAAAAAACAGGAACCAGCTTTAAAAAAGAAAATCCTCACGAGGACAGAGTGACATTAGCGTTTACTGTTCGGTTGTCGGAGTTATCGTCGGGACGGGCACGCATGTGTACTGCAGGATATATATATATACACATACTCATACACAAATACACACACACACACACACATACATATATATATACTGTATTGTGATCCAGTAAAGTTAGAGTGTATACAAGAGTGATGCTTTTCCAAATTCATTGTATACAATTACACACGTTTTGTTGCTACGATACGTGTGCGAAGTGCCAGACATCATTATCGGTTCATATGTGCGATGAAAAAAAAATTTACGTCGAACAATCAACCGCTAATAGTGCTAAGTACTTTAAAAAAACATACGCATTTTGCAAATAAAGGTACACCGATGCAAAATCATGCCTGGGTTGGTCCGTACAATAAACTCTTCAGCACTTTTTTTTTTTTTTTGACTTTTTTTGCTCCACCTTTTAGATGTAATTTGTTTTTTTTTTTTTTTTTGGTGCACTAGAAGTTGAAAACTGGTACACGCGAGACAACGGTAGAGATACATACTAATGTCACAAAGAATGTAACGGTATGAGAGAACAGAATTGTTGCAATTTTTGAGACATTCACTTAGATTACATTTCTCGTTATAATCCTGTACTATGCTTTATAATCAATAAATCATTGGTATGATGAAAAAGGAAGCAAATTATTTGTAGTTTATATAAACTTCCGTTCATTTTTTAACTCATTTTAAATAAACATATTTTTGTAACACGCTAAATCGAAGAAGAAGTTACAAAAAGAGAGGACAGAAGATGTAAAAAGTTTTAAATGCAAAAAAAAAAGACTTTTTCTTAAAACAGAAGACGCAGTTAAAATTTAATGCAATTTGAAAAGATTTCGGCACTGACGGACCATCCCTTGGCACGCGTGCATACAAAACACATAAAAATGTCATAAAGTGGAGAGATTACAACTAATGTAAAAAATTTATCATTTTACGGCAACTTTACGCCTCATACTGTTTGGTGCCTATTGATATATATATATATATTTTTAATGTTTCTCTAATATTTAAATATTTCATCTTATTTTTTCAAATACATGTATTATATATATAATTGTACATTATAACATGGGACTTTGGACATGGAGTTTTTGCGAAATAAATTGTTTCGTTGTAATTCAATTATTACTCCATTTTAAGGCATTCAATAACACTTGTAAAACAGTTTTGTTGTCTCTTAAAGCTTATATTTGGAAAATACATATATATATATATTATCTAAATATTTATGGAATAAAATAAAATTCATTATAAATTCAATTGTGGCAATGAGAAAGTTGTGTCTAATTTTTTTTTAACTTCAGACTAATATCTTTTCGAGTAGAAAAAAAAACAATATATCGACATATTTATTTTCTTTATATACACGGGCGCGAAGAAAATTGTCAAAAAATGTGCGAGAACGTGTGATTTTGTAAAATTTCTAAGACAATTTCAACACTGCTCATACAAATTTTTCAAGATCTATACTTCCTCTCCTCTCTTATGTCTTTTTTTTCCCCATACTTATTGTGTTTCCTCTAATCTATTTCATATATATATATATATTACGTTTATTGATTTAAATTATCTTTCGCCTGTTATCCCGTGCGAGCGTGCGTCTGTGTGCGAAGTGTGGTAGTTCTACAAACTGCGTTTCACATAAAAAAAAATGCGTAAAACTTTATATAAATCCACGAAGAAGAGAGAAAAAAAAAATATCGTTCGTACAACAATAGCATTTTCGGTCGTATCGGTCAAAAGTGCTGTGAAAAATGTACGTGTTAAGAATCAGAATCGATTCTCTCGATTTGTTGCTGCTTTCCGTGTCGCAACTTTGACACAGTTCGGGATTACGTGGTCACATTTACTTATACGGCTCGCTGAGGTAATTTTTCAAAAGAAAAAAAAAACAAAAAAAGGTGTGAAAACATGTACATATGTCACAATATCGATGGCGCGCACTTGTGGCTAATCACTCGCCTGTTGTGTTCTAGTAATTATAATAATTCTAGTAATTATAATAATTCTAGTAATTATAATACATATTTAGTGTGAGAATTTGTTATATGAACTTCGGAGCGCGTATATATATATATATAGCTGTTTTATTTTCCGTGCTCGAGGAAGAGATCGAGAAACTTTAACACTCTGAAGTAAAAAACAAAACAAAAAAAATAGTTTCTTTAACATTTTCCTTTGCTGTTTCTTCGATGTATTCCAATCTTCCTAAATGTTTTGCTCGTCTCTTTATCCGATGCACGTGCACGCAAGAATGCTTTTCGAGTAGCTCGTCACGATCCTGTGTAATTAGTTGCAGCTCATTAGATCAAAATTAACCTAAGCGGGAGTTCATTTAATTGCCTTAATTAATTAGATTCGGGAATGCCTAAAGCAATTCGTGAGATGAATATTTTGATTACTCTCTTTTTGAGAGGTGCGGATGTAATTGCGAAAGAGTCTTTAGCGCGCGAAGGAAGTTAATGATATATGTACTAAGTTGTAATCTTAATAAACACACATACGTATATACAAAATTATCAAACTGCGGACATTGTACGAACATGTTGCACTATCGTGCCACTGCTTTCTCTCTCGAATCATCAACACGCCTAATCCGGAAGTCTATGTTCAGGAACGAAGCAAGACTCCAAACAAAGTTTTTGCTCTAATCGGTTTTTTATCAATCTCCGGTTTTGTTAGATTTGTGTTCACAAGCGAGAGAAAAAAAAACTTCCATTTTTGGGTAATTAAGTTTCCCTTGTTTCCACGTCACTTTCGTCTTGCGGAAATTTTTCTTTCTCGAACGTTTTTTATTCGGATTGCGATGCGAGAATGAAACCATTTTCTTGGTCTGTTCAACGACTGTGCTTGAATAAATTGTAAATTAATTTAACAATTTTAAAATTAAAGTCGTGGATTAAAAATGGTTCAGAATTTTGTGATATAATTTGCATATTCAATTAATATTTTCGCAATTGGATTGGTGAACACGAGGGTTTCCCCGTTGAAGGTGATGATGTTTCTCGGTGCACATCTAGTGCAAAATGCGCGTGTAATTGCAGCAGGAGCGTAATGACGTTATTGAGATCCTCCAAAGGAAAAGCGTACGCGACATTTCCCTTCCTCATCCCGTTCCGTCATTTCATTGGGTAAAAAGAGTCGTCTCCTTCTCCTCACGCAATACATAAATAATATTTCAATTTGTATATTTTACGTATGTATGTGTGTGTGTGTTACCACGTAAGCGAATATAATATAAATTATATATATATACATATACATATATATATATATAATGACGAAAAGCTATATATATGTAGATAGATTACAATATACGAGAGCGAGTCACGTGCTTACGCACGTGATAGCGTATCGCATCCTGAATATGCGTCATATGATAATTATATGTGTTTGCGCACGAAACAAATTCGAAGTAACGCAGTTTTAAATGAGACAAAAGATGCGAGAGGTGTAAAACAAAAAAAAAACGAAAAAAAAAACTAGAGCTTAAAGATCGAACACGCTCGCGCGAAAACGTGAGAATTATAAAAAAAAAAAAAAAAAAAGGCAAAATTCTGTTGAGCCTGATTATTAACGATTGTATTATTATCACTTTCTTATTAACACTTATCGTTTCTTAACGTGTTATAATCGATTATTAATCTAATTCTTAAGGCTTATATAATCTAGAATTTTTTTTTTTGCGACCCCAGTACGGTGCCTGGTTGTAATATATTAGACAATTACCCATCGTTTTAAAACGAAGGGGGAATGTGTCGCCGGTTTTTTTTTTTTGTAAGCGGTTGCGTTGTCGATGTGTGTGTGTGCGTGTGCGTGTGTGTGTGTGTATGGCTGCCTTTAAAGCGAGGTGTGACTCGCGCACATACATACGCGCCCTTTAATGACTTCGTTAATTAGCGAAGAGCGCGCGCGAATGTGTGTCCGGCGCACGGAATATCGAAACGGATATGTACATAAGCGACTAATTGGATACAAGATGTCGTGTAAAAATGATGATGACGACGTGTAATCGTTATACAAAACCCAAGTGTAGTATAATGCGATGTATCATTGCCGGATTTCTTGTATTAACGTATTTTCGTCTGCGCTCTTTCATATTTTGTCTTTTGATTCATTTCAAGAGCGTAGTCAAAGTGCAGGGAGAGAGAGAGAGAGAAAGAGAAAGAAAGAAAGAAAGAGAGAGAGAGAGAGAGAGAGAGAGAGAAAAAATGCGAACGCGATGTGCGCGATACAAGAAAGGTCATAGAAGCCGTATGCAATAGTTGTATAAACAATAGAGAGACGATGCGCGCTGATTGTAGTGGTTCACATAGACTGACGCGATCCGACTTCTCTAAACAAAAACACAAAAAAAAGAAAACAAAAAAAAAAAAAAAAAGCAAACAAAAACATTCTAAACGCGAATTTGTCCTGCTCCTTGGTAGAAATCGGGATGCGATGTGTGGGACAAGCGAGTTGTTTACGAGATACAAAAGAAAGTCCCGGACGCTCGTCCGGCAAGTCCCTTTCCCCCGGAACGAATGAAAGAAACGTGCGAATTGTGAGAAATATACCGCGTTTAATTTACTCATTGATCGCGGGATGTTTTCCGCCGGGTGTCTGTCACGGCGTAGAAATCATGGGAATCGAATTTGTAAAATTTATCTTTTGGTGTTCTCACCAGGAGAAAGATGTAACAAGAGATAATATTAATCCGATTGGGAAACATTTTAAATTACCGATTCCTACACTTTGGCAGACACTTCTTGCGCAAAAGATAAGTAACTTTTGATATGCAGGAAACCGCGATATAAAGAGCTGAACTCGTCCCCGAAGTGCTTCCCACCTTGGAAAGCGGGTTACGCTCATCCCCTTTGTAATATTAACGCGTTTGCGTTGAGAGGAACCGATGAAGAATCTTATTTTATTCGCCAGTGAATTATATCCAGCCCCGGTTCGTGTACAACTCTCGATGTGAATAGATTTGTATTCTGATTAATGTATCCACGGAAGAAAGAAAATATTTATGTATGTATATATATGTCTGTCGGCACGGTCCGCAGTTAAGCTCGCCCGTTTAGATGGAGAGTAGCGGAAAATCACGATTATAGAGAGACCTATTGGCTTTTGTGCGAAAAGAATCACGGAAGGGATACGCGCGTATTACCCTTTCGCGTTTAAAGCGTAGATCCACACCTTAGAAAAAAAACGATTGTCATCACGCCAGAGTTACTTGCGCAATAGGTGACGTTAATTAGAGCGCATGATTGTCACACTTTACACGGCGCATCACCTTGACGTGCGACCGTGCCTGCGAAGTTCAAATCTTGATTGACGGCGTCAATTGACGGATTGTTTTGTTGTGACTAAGTTTTACGCTATTTTTTTTTTTTTTTTTTTTTGAAAAAAAAAAAAAAAAAGAAAATGCACAGATTGAACAGAAGAGTTTTGTGAGAAGAAAAATTCCTGAAAGAACATTGTTCACTGCTGACATTTGAAATTCGAATCAAGTGTTGAACTTCCTCAACTGTATCGAATTTATGCTATCTACATCCTCTCGAGGAACGTAAAAACTTCGATTTGAAGAAAAAGACTAATCGAGCGATCACGTTTTGCTAAGAGCTTTTTCTCTACGTCGATTTGTGTGTAATATCGCGCGAATTGAAAAAGGAAATAAAAAAAAATAAAAAAAAAATAAAAAAAGAAGTACTTCGCGGATTTTTACCTGACTTTTCGATGATCGACGATGATGCTATACAAACATGTATGAATTATATATACGAGCGCAATGAGAGAGAACGTGAGAGCGAATGAACACGTGCGAGAGAGAGAGAGAGAGAGAGAGAGAGAGAGAGAGTGAGAGAAAAAGAGAGAAAAAGTATGTTGATGATCGAGAATTATGCGTGACACAATACGATGAAGCGGAAAGTGTTGATACACACGTTAATCTGCTAAGTACTAATAGAGAGAATTTCAAGTGAAGTCTTATACATAATATATATATAATTATTGAAATATATATGTAAATTGTGTTTGGTTGTATTCTGTGTTATACGCCTCTCTGTGGATGCTGAATATAATGGAAATCCAAATCAAAATATCTGTCGTGCATCTACTGATTCTCTTTTACCGTTGTGCGTCATGATACCCGAAAAAAATGCTGGAATTGTTCGGGTTCGAACTTCGATCAACAATTTTCTTTCTCTGCGTTCTCTGCGAAATCATTTTGAAACAAGAGAGAATGTCCTCAGGGTTCAAAATGAAACACTCTTTATCATTTACTTTGGACATTTTAAAACGTTCTGCGCCTCGAAGAGGCGCGCATGTGCAGTGCTGAGCGGTAGTCCTGTGCGTACACTGTTCATCCGATTTACTTACACTTTCCGCACCTTTTGCAATTTTGAATTAAAATTATGTGCATTTATACTTTGGTAAAAAGAGAACGAAAAAGAAAAAAAAATAGAATAACAGCACAAGGAGTGCAAGACGTTGTTTGATTGTTTGACTTTCGATTTTTGAAGAATCGATCTAACGGAATCGAATGAATCAAAATAACGAGTTCACGGAGAAATCGATTTTTGAAAAATCGATTTCGAATCGAACAGTCATAAAAAAAAACATTTATGTACGTACTCCATTGGTGCGAGACGTTATTTTGGATCACATTCTTCACTATTCTCTTTCTCTCTCTTTCTCCTCCGTTCTATTCTTGTACGTATATTTTAAAACAGAGACAAATTTAGAAACATTTGTCGCCACATGTTCCATTCATCTGTTCAAATAGCCGCCAAATTCTTGCACGGTGTTCCGAGAAGTTTGCTAAAAATGGGTCCGCTCGAAAATGCGAAAAAAGCCGCGGCTTACAAAGCCGTGAACGAATATGTCCAGGCAAGTTAATTTTCTGTGAAAAATTCATGTTAAAAATTAACAAAATATCGTTTCGCACAAGTGCGCGAGGTTATATTATTGCTTATATCTTATTCGCATATTGTTTTCAGAATGACACTGTTATCGGGATCGGTAGCGGATCCACTATAATTTACGCTGTTGATAGACTCGGTAATAATATAATCTGTTATCTGGAATTATTTTCGAAGATAATCCGACAATTGCGTTTTGTACATTGTTACATATAAATGCTTTGTTCTCATATTTCAACATTTTTATCTGTTTCAAGATAAAACATATGACTGCATTAGTAAAGTTAAATTTTAATTTTTTTTATGTAGAATTATTTTTCTATATTTACATGTATTAAATTTTCATTTATGTGCGTCTGCAAAAATTGTTTGTACAGAAAAATTTCATTTTCTCGTGATAACATTTTTTAAGATAAATAAGCTAATTGTGTTATTGGACAGCCAGTGCAACACTAATAGACACTAATAGACAGGAAGTTATTTTTTTACTTATAATTTAATTTTAAAATGTCAACTTTGATATTGCAATATTTTGCCCATTATTTTTTGGATTGTTTGGATGTTTTACTGCACGTGATGAAATGTACGTTTTGATTTTTTCTATCAGTGACATGTCAACGTTTTATTCTTCTCACATTGTAAAATCCATTTGTTCAGCTATCTTTTACACTTTTTAATACCATTTGTCTTTTTTTGATAAAATATAATTTTTCTTTCTCTTTTACTCTGTATGTTGGAAATATCAAGTCACAATTGATTGTTTCTGCTTATAATAAATCTTTACTTTCACAGTTGAACGAGTCAAGGAAGAAGGGCTTAAAGTAGTTTGCATTCCTACATCATTTCAAGCTCGTCAACTCATATTAAATAATAACCTGTTCCTAGGAGACTTGGAAACTTATCCAAAGGTACGTTTTAAATGTTTCTACAGAAGTTTTTTGTAAGATATATAACTTGTAAACACATTACTTCGATATGTGGATGTAGCTTGACTGTGCAATTGATGGTGCAGATGAAGTCGACGCTGAAATGAATCTCATTAAAGGTGGCGGAGGATGTTTATTGCAAGAAAAGGTTGTTGCTTCCTGTGCCAGGCAGTTTGTTGTAATAGCGGACTATACGTAAGTGTATATGACGTTTATGCATACAAATATTATCTATAGCTCTCTTACATATATATTTCTTTTCAGAAAAAACTCACAAAAGCTTGGAGAGCAGTACAAAAACGGAATTCCCATTGAAGTAGTTCCAATGGCATATGTGCCAATTCAACATAGGATTGAAAACATGTTTGGAGGAACTGCAAAAGTCAGAATGGCTCTGGCGAAAGCCGTAAGTGTGTTTTCATTGTTCATTTTAATATCTAATAAAGCATGTGTGAACATAGTAATTTGTTATTTACAGGGTCCAGTGGTGACGGATAATGGTAATTTTATTCTGGACTGGCATTTCCCTGAAGACACACACTTGGTTAATTGGAAACAAGTCAATGAGAGAATTTCTCTAATACCTGGAGTCGTGGAAACTGGTCTGTTTATAAATATGGCAGAGAAAGCTTTCTTTGGCATGCCAGATGGCAGCGTGAAGGAACAAAGTTCAAACCGGAAGATTTAATGTGTATCTCAATGAGAGATATGTATGATGATCTTGTATAAGTCCATAGGTCACATCTTGCCATATGCGTTGGTGCTGTTTTGTACAATTGGTTTTAGGTTTGATCTGTTCTTTACTTTATTTTACGTACATATCAGACTTTACGTCTGTGATATTTTTTTTATTAGTTATGTAAATATGTGATTTTTTAAGACAACCAAAGACTATGTATTGCTTTTTATCTTATAGCAATGACAGTTTTGTTAAATATGTAAAAAATCTGTAAGAAAACATATAGTACAAAATGGTTGTATCTCGAAAATATAAGCCACTGTAAGAATTCCATGTTCTTAAATCGAAGTATCCGTAAAATTCGAAAATAAATATATACATTTTTGTACGATGCGTTTTTTGTTTTTATTTTACCATAATTTTTATACCATTATTATAAATTATTATTCAATTTTATTATAATTAATAAATTTTTTTTTAATAATACATTAAAATATCAAAATTTATAAACGTTGCAATATAAATACGGCAAATAAAATATTATTTGATTTCTTGCTGTAAAAAAAAAAAAAAAAATTCGCCCGAACAGGGACTCGAACCCTGGACCCTCAGATTAAAAGTCTGATGCTCTACCGACTGAGCTATCCGGGCGACTTAGAACGTGAAGTGTTTGATATGATACTCCTTTCTCTCATTAAAATATTATACATATATATGTGTACAATATATACATATACACACATTACATCAATTAACGTTAGTAAATAAAAACATTGTTACTAAATAAAATTTACGATGCAAGTTATTATGTGCAATCTAAAACTTTAATCGCAAAAAAGCCAATAGGAATAAAAATTTAATATTTTAAGATTAAAAAGAATAGACGTAATTTGTAAATTATTTTTGTGTTATTATTTTTTTTTTTTCTATTTTATATTGAACATTAACAATATTTGTCAGTGATTGCTCAAAGACTCGCCACTGTTTTGAATGTGTCTCCGTATATGAAATCTGTCATAAACGTATTTATAGCATTTATTCTTTTATACGCAAGACGGTCACATGTTAGTGTTTTCGTTACGCCTTTTATAAAGCACATCACTTATTCATAAGTGAAGCTATTATCCAGTAGCTGCGAGCGCACTATTGATGATTTACTGTCTCGCATTATTATTATATGTGCGAAAACACATTTATACACATATTTCTCGGAAGAAGAGCTTTCAAGGTGCGTTCACCGTCTCGCGTGAGATAAGTAGTAGTCGAAAATTCAGACGAAGGTGGGAAAGGAAGAAAAAAAGGAAAAGAAAGAGACCGCCAATCACCGGCGAACTAGGTTGAACGACCTAATCGTAACTCAGCGGGTTCTGATGTGGGAACGATGTAAGTACTTAACCCCAGCTGCTTTTTCTATGATTTTTACACGGTGACTCTTACCGGCCGACCTCCACTTGGTTTCTTAGCATCGATTTTAATCGGCACTAATCCGCTTGCTTCCACCGATTATTTTTTTGCATATTTCAGATACTCGTTTGTTGTACGTAAGGAAATGTGATAGATCACACACGCGTAGCGCATTGGAAGAAAGAGGTAATAAATTTATAAAGTTGAAATAAAAAAATTATTATTTGCGGTTATTTCTGCCATCCTCTCGTCATCTTTGATTTGCACACCTGCAATTGTTTACAAAATTATAATATACGTATGTACATATATACATACGTTTATTTTCAGTCTCTTTAAATGCAGGAATATTGGAATGACGTCGATGAAGGCGCGGAAAATCAATCTGGGAAAAACAATATTTCAGCAATATCATATTTCACGTAAAATAACACAAATTTTAAAATAATGATAGAAATTAGAGCGTGTTTCATAAAACAATTAATATGTCGTATATTTGATTCCAATACTCCAGGCAATGCGCAATCAATCTGTATTTCACCGTGTTATTAAGAGATAGAGAGATACGAAATAATCTTTATAAACTCTCTCTGCGTTACATGAAAAAAAAAACCTTTAAATCGCTATTGTATTACGTCGGATTTGAAAACACACGCGTATATCGATATTGTTTGATATATCTGTGATCAATTAGTGCGAAATCTTAACGAATAGCAAAAGCGAGAAATTCCTTGCGTGAACGATAGACACGGTGAAATATTGTCGGGTATGTTGTCAATATATGTGGTTTAACCGTGAAATCCGGTAAACCGTGTAACTCATAAACAACTTATGATCCGTGAATCTTAAGAGGCAACGTATACTGGATCTGCTCAACTGCATAAGATGCAGATCCCATGAATAGTCACGAAATAGACGTACGGTTATAATCTCCCACGTTGAAATATATATAGAAGTTATACATTAATTTATGTCACTCTTTCGGAAGAAATGTAAAAAATACTTTTACTATCTTCTCTACATTCTTCACAGGTAAATATACCAAGTATAAATAAGCACAAGAAGTGTGCTAGTATATTACTTTTAAATTATATCAATTAGTTCAATTTTTAAAAGGGTACAACGTAAAAAACAGTATTTTGATTTATCTCAAATAGTAATATACATAGAGATATGATATATATAGACACACAGATAAAGATGCATACTTATATACAATGGGCAAGAATCTCTTCCGACAAGTATTCTCCTGTACAGAGTTTCGTAATTACACCTCCGCGTCTGGAATCGACAATGAAAAAAAAAACCGGTCGCGTTTCGCAAGGGTTAAACGGATGTCCGCAAGTCGTCCACAAAATCGCAAGTCGTCCGAACTTGCATCTTTGACGAAGAAGTGTTTTGAGGTGTGAAATATGATCGTCGCCCGCGCCCTTGCGGTCATGCGTTCTCCAAGCGCTTGCATTTACCCCCGCGGTACTTACCGCAAGTAGGCGGGGGTCGGTGAGACTCGTATTTGAAGAGCGGACGCGGGATTTCACCTCTCAAACGAGAGCCAGAAGCCACGGCTTCAACCGCGCGCGAAAAATCTTTGGCGAACAAACGCGTCTTCCGTACCGGCAGTTCCAAAGCGTATCTTTTTCGTGTTCATCTCTTTCAGAAGTGTGTCTCGAAGAATCTTAAAGATCTTTTCTGAAACGGCTTGATTCGAAAGAAGGTTTCGACATGAAGGTTGGTTGTGTATTTGAACTTTTTGTTCTGACGAAAATCTCTCTGTAAAATATTATAAATTTTCAAATCCAAAATAGAACCGGAAGTCATTCTTCATCACATTATCTTGTTGACTGTGAATTTTATTTGCAGTATTAAATGATATGAATTTTATGGATATATAATGAGTTTTCTTTAGATCGGTTCTTTTATATTATAGGATCAAATATTTAACGATGAAAAGGGTAATTAAAGTTATACTTAACTTTTTATGCGTGTTTCTTTGAAACACGAATAAAAATGTTTTAAAAAATGTTTTAGATTTTAGTAAAAATACTTCAAAATAAAATCTAGTTAAAATATTTTAAATTCTAGTAATAAAATGAAACATATATTAATATATAAAGAACTTTTGTGTGTGTACATTTGATTATAAGAGAAAGAGAGAGAATGACAATATATTTTGGAAAAATATAGAAGAAAATATTTATCAAGCATGAATCAAAAAAGAAATTTTAGTAACAGAAAATTTCTAAAACATTTCTTCACGAGAAACATTTTCTGTTGAATGCTGCGCATACGATATAAGTTACACAGTTTGCACGCGCTCATTGAATAATAGAATTGCGAGTATGTGCAGAAAAATTCTGATTCAAAAAAATATGCAAATTATTACGGGAATTATTTTGCGGACATTTACGACGGGATATGTTAATGGAACAAAATGTCTAACCTGCATACGCCGTTGGTGACATTTTTCACCAACAAATAACGAATGGCTCCGAAAGTTTTTATAAGAACACAGTTGCATATTGAACACAAACAATGGCTTCTATTTTTCAACTATGATATTATGAAAATTAATTGCAACTCGTTACGATGCAAATTGATTGTAATTCACTGCGAAGCGAATTACATTAAGAGATATGTTATAATATCTATATGGAAAATCGATTATCTGCGTTGATTATCTAAGTTAATTGAATTAAATCAAACGCGTGTTTTGTACGTATATGCATAACGCGACAAATAACGTCACAACTTCGCTAATTGTTAATTAACCATAAAAGTGATCAAGAGTATCTAAGCAGCTTAAGGGTAGGATCCACGTGCTCTGGATGATGCTTATATAACGAAAACATTTGTTTGCAAACTATTCGCATATGATATTCGTCGCCACTCGGCGAGTCCGTTATTATTTTTATTATATCATTTATATACGTAACGCTATTACAACCTAGAACGTTTGTAGAACTTTGCGTTTGTTAACCTCTTGTTTGTTTCTTGTTTTTTTGCAGATTACCGAATATCTTTACTGCACATTGATTTGCATGTGTTTGCTGAAGGCGGCCAATGGCGAGATTTCGAGAGACAAGGTAAAAATGCGCGTTTTTAACAAATAATCTTTTCAATTTGCACCGATCAGCGCGCGTATGCGTGTGTGTTTTAAAATACGGACTGACTCTAAAATTTTTTAACTTATATGTGTATAAACGTGTGTATATAAACGTTAAAAGCATAAAACAGTTCTTTTTTGCACAAATATAAATTTTAAAATAGCTTTTACGTAAATGCAAAAAAATATTCCTCTTGACATTTAATAAAGAGAGAGAAAGAGAGAGAGAAAGAGAGAGAAAGAGAGAGTATGTCAGAAATACAATATATCATAGGGCAATTTTTTCGTATAAACGCTTGCATTGATATTTAGAAAATAATTTGCATTTAATGATCTATTTAATAATCTACTTGACTTTTCACCGAAGTTTTAAATAATAATTTCTGATATACGAAAACGCGGGGATAGAATTCACTTTTACAGTTCGAACGAGAGCTTCTTGACGACCTTACAGCGGAGAAGACAATCAAACCGAAGCGACCGTTTTGTAATGCTTTTACCGGTGAGAACAATTATTTCTCTACACAAAATTATATTATACTTTTTCGATATAACAAAATATAACAAATTAACTTGTAATAAACGATGAAATTTGATTATTTGTAGGATGTGGCAGATTCGGTGCGGAAGAGAAGAGACAGAAGAAAAAAGTATCGCGTGCTATTGACCTACGGGACTTGCAAGACTTCCGCGCGACGAACGATAACATTCGATTCCCGATTTCGTTGTACAGAGCCCTGTTGAATGCCGCCAAACAAAACAACGTCGGTCGGGATGAATATGATTATCGATTACAGCAAATGCCGCAGAATTATTTCTCCGATTAGATTACGTCGCGACGTGATGGAAAGCTAAATTTTTTGACGGACATATAATCTGACAAATGGGCGCCGCTGAAACTTTCACCAGACGGAATCATTTTATTATTGTCATTATGTGTATGATCTTCTAAAATAGCGCACAAAAACATATAAATCTCAAATGCCGACAAAAATTATTCGATGCACAACTTATATGTTAAAACTATTCAATTCAAAACTTGTATTTTCTCACAATAGAAAACTCGATAGGAAACATTTGTACACACTTTGTGACGCCCACGTCTTGATACGAATATTTACTTTATAGCTTATTGTTTCTCGTCATAATTAAAGAAATATGCGAAACGGGACAGAGAGGTCATAATTGTACACGCGAGACGAAGATAATAATAATAATTTGTGAGACAAAATTCATCGCTGCGAAATGTGTATCGTTGTACGACAAAAAAAAAAAAAAAAAAAAAAAAAAAAAAAAAAAAAAAAAAACGAAAATCATATAAAGTTTAATCAATGCGCAATATTGGTGCTACATATATAGCTAGACAAACTATGTTCAGAAATCTTCATTTTTTTATGAGAGCAATTTAACAGCGTATAAGCGCTGTTAGCCTGTTCGTATACATACCGCATACTCGGTCAAGAGATTGTAATTAATTTGCCACTAGCAAGTTTAAATCGTATAATTTTTAAGTGAAATTGTTAATTGTTTTTTATCTAGTTTTTATTCAAAATAAATTCTATAAAATCTGTTATACCTAGTCAATCAATATACGAGACAAAATGATTCTTAATTAGTTCGCTCGTTCTTTTAATAATTTTTCCTTTACCACGTACACACACAATAAGTTGATACATTTCTTTTATAATTGTGATAGCAAAAATATATCAAATTTGCTTTCTGAGATGATTAACATATATATCTCAACACGCTATAAATATAATCTACAGATAAACAGTAAGTTTTATTATTACATTACCGTTCCACATGTACTTGATATTGTTTGAGTATCGTTGAGACGTCGTTGATTTTGACAGAATAACATTTCTGGGAATGCTCAATCCTACGCACACAGGATTGTCCGCTTTTTCCGCAGGCCTGCCCCAAAAACTTTCCGTGCAGAGTGTAGCCGGATCCCAAATTCGAGATCGTCGATCATCACGCATCCCGTCCGGAGATTGATCTAACATCTGCCAAACGTTATAACGATGTATTAATCACGGTTTGTTAATGGTGTAATACTAAAAAAAAAAACATGTGTTAAATATATTTTCTTATAATTTCAATTCCTCTGATAACTGTTTTTTTATTTAATGATTTATAAACTTGCACAAAGCTCCTGTAATATTTATAGAATAGTGTAAATACAAAGTGAGACAATTCGCTTTATTTATTCTTTTTATAACAAAATTCACTGGTGCACTTGCACGAATGACGAAGAACCATACTCTACATAGTCGAACTGTTTATTTATTTAAAAATAAATTTGATTCGTATTTTCTTCGAGACAAAACACCTTAAAAATTCTGTATACGATCCTGCACATGACGCTCTTCTCTCCATCAAAAGACCGTGGACCCGCACCCATATAACTTACATTGTATCTCTTTGTATACTTCTGCTTCAATTTTTTTTACTTTATTCTTCAAACCGTCCAATTTATCTTACCTCAAGACGGATTTTATGTGAAAAAGGCCACGCGACAATAGAATCATAACGTCCGTGCGTCAGTCCAACTCCTACGAAGATCGTGCCGTCGGGGAAATATTTCGGTGTGATTTTTAAATACATAGCGTAAATCCGATCCGCGTAAAATGTTGAGCTGCGCAACGAGCGACCGGTTCGCCAGGTCGCCAGCATCTCGTTCAAGTTGTTCACCCGCCAATAATAAATGAATGCCGAACCTGAAAAACAAGATTTATTAAAAAAAAAAAAAAAACTAAATTTTAACTTTTGAAGTTTAGCAATTTGTGTGCGTGTGTTATTTTTCCTTTATACTGATAAATTTTATCAGTTTATTAACTTTTGCACATCGCAAAGATTGTTCGTTTTCGACTTTTTCTGGAGTTTTACGAGAGCTCTAATTGAGAAGTAAACCCTTTTGTGAGAGTTCCAATTACGAAACTCACTATATTACACAGGATCGAAAATTACTAGGTTTGACACAAAGTGAGCTCTTCAGATCGGACGCGACAAAAATCTCACATTTCACTAAACTGGAAATAGACAATGTTCTTTGACACATAAGTAATTCGATAATTGCCAAGTAAACTGTGTAATAATCATTGAAAATAATAAAACTTGTTTGTTTTTTTTATTTTCAATGTCAACTAAATGTCAAACGTTATTCGCTGGGCAACAAAATTATTTATTTTACACGTTGGAGAAGCATCGGATGTAAGATATTTCGTCATTTGTATTTTTCTGTTTGTTTGTTTTTCGCTCCAAGAGCGGTTGAATGGCATATGAAAAGCATGTATTTTATGTTTTGAGATAAAGTTTCGTTGGTGACTCGACTATTATTCGAGATTTCTAGTCAGAGAATTTTGAGCGTTTGCCCCGCGAGTATCGGAAAATGAAATCCAAGATTTATTGAATCACGATTCTGTGTTACCCGTTCTATTTATTACTCTGTACTTTGCAAATATCTAAGTTGAAAATATACACGTTGTTCGCGCCTGACAGCAGTGTTTCGTTTCTTTTCGACACGCAACCCCCGAATTAATGTAGAAAGTAATTTACATACATATATATATATATATATGCATATATATATATACGACATATGCTTAAGTCATAATGCGACAGCGGTACTGCTTTTACAGATTTCTCTCTGGATTACATACACTATTTTTAAAATAGACCAGAGTTAATCGTATTCCACAACTCGGAGAGAATAAATCTTACTTCGTTGAACTATTCATTTTAGCTGAATGTTTATCCCGACTAAGCTGTAAGCTTTGTTCCGTTCCGCGGCGATCCTTTCCGCAACACACACCCTCATATCAGATATTTGCATAAAACCGCACATCTCTTACATACAAATGTTTAGCGTAGGCTCCGTTGCGATATAACATTTGTAATATATTATGCAATAAGCGTAAGACTTTCGTATGTGCGAAACTACGTATGTTACTCTTATAGCTTAATGGATTACACGTTTTCCCATATCACTGCAAACGATTGAAAAGTGGATCCTTCAATTGTTTATTATTATTCTTTAGTACAAAAAAAAACAAAATGTGAGTTAATTGTTAAAGATGTTAAAATCCAGGAGTTTTTACGTGTCGTCTGAGTGACGTACATTTAATTAATTAGTTGTTTGAATAAATTTTAGTTCTTTTTGTGAACAAGTGCATATCGTCTACAATTAATGCCACTAATACGTGTAAGACAGAATGTTGTATAGTAGAGGCACTCGTAAAGTTTTGAGAACTTTAGATCTATATCAGTTACCGAAGAAGACGCACTTCGTGTGTTTGAGAGCGTAAAGTTAACTTTGGACTATCACACACGAAGCGTGCATTTGTAAATAATAAATATGTTTTTCCTTTGTGGCAAAAGTAGACGTATTTTAAAATTAATTCGAACGAGGAGTTGTTTTGCCAACCAACCGTTCGATGTTGATAAGTTTTGCACGGTGTTGTTGAATTTATTGATCTCATCCTGCCTCGGGGACAAATAACTGTCGGTCGCGTCATATAGTTTAGCGTTTCGTATGTTGTTGTTCAAGTGATCCGGCTGTTGCTCCAGGACGCTGTAAAGCAACCACTTGATATCCGCGAATTCCCTGATTAATTTTTCCTCCAGACTCGCAAACTTCTCGTCCATTGTCTCTGAAATTAATGTTTCATGCGTTCCCATTGTATACTTGCGAGAATTTTATCTTTATATCGAGAGAGTAAAATGATCTAATGTAGTGGCTGTGGTATGTATAAATAAATCTTATATCGATTTTCAAAGCTCAATTTTGCGCGCGTAATTTGCAACTGAGATACTTTGTTTGCAATGCGGAGATTTGAGATATTCCGCACATGCAATATTATGCGCGTATATAAATCTTGCATGTAGTTATGCAAAAGAGATGTTAAAACTCTGGTCTGGAAAATCGTGATGATTTGACGCGTAAAGATTCGAACGCGTCTGTGTAACGCAAGTCTAAAAAAAAATTTCCCGGTGCTCCTGACACGTCGAATTGTTAATTTAGAGTTTGGTTTTCCACTTACTTGCCTTGCAAGCTCCGCCGAGGACTGTTGTGACGGTGGCGCGTGCATTTGCGACCACATCCTCCGTCGCGATTTTGCAAATAGTGTGCTGCGTTTCCGTCACATCGTCGCTGGTGACATTGGCCTCAATTGCGGCTAAAAATTGCACAGAAATTGGGAGAAAAAAAAAAACATGAAAGAAGAGAATATTTCTTTAGAGAGTCTAAAGAAATTTGAGATTCTGAATGTTTTTACACTTTTCGATCGTTCGTTAATTCAATTAATGTTTGATTTTTTTTTTAACAGATCGCGAGTCGCGGTGACGCGCAACGTTGAGATCAAAATTATTTTTTGGTTTAAAAATCAATATTTTCGGACCGAAAAACATTCGCGCGAGATAAATTGTCTCACTTACGCGGTTTCCGCAAAGGTTCGCTCACACCGCCTCTTGCCAAATAGAGCGCACTGAGATAAAACAATGAAATGAAGTAAAAACAACACGCGACCGCTGACATTTTGTCACACGTGAACGGCAAGTTGTGAATTTATCTTGTGGCGCGCGGCCGAAATCACAGTCCGCGGCAGTGGCTTTCGGCCGCTCTCAAAAATAGATTTTATCATCTTTTTATTGTACGCAATAAATGCACGCTGGAGATCAATATATAAATACAAACCATCAAATCCCTCTCGAGAATGTTATAATCCTGAGAACTTACGACCTTTCTCTTGATTTCGCAAGCACTCTGAACTTAGGAACCGAAAACTACAGACGAATCCGATAAACAATGTCAAAGTGATAGTTCAAATAACATACGCATGCGCAATGACGACGAACACCGTTTGGCGGGCGATTTGCAATCAGCTGATCTCTAGTGCTCCTCCTCGTGTGTGCTACCGCGTTTTCTGTGTTCTACCGATGATACCGAGTTTTCCGGATAATGGCTGAAAATGTACAAGGAACGTTTGTTTCGGAGAAAATTTCTAAAATAAGATGGCAATACGACGACTTCGCGGAAGCGAAAAATTTCTTAACCGGCAGTTGGGACAACCCGGTAAGACGCTTAACCTAAAACAATCCCACATTTTTTTTTCCTGATTTCGATTAAGTATCTGTCGAATTTCTCACGCAGGTGAATAAAATAACGTATTGGACGTTCAAAACCAATTACGATGAAGAACTGTCTCCGGATATTTTATCGTCGCATTCGTTCCTTGGCGATGTCACCGAGCTGAAGGTGATTGACTGTTATACTTCTTCGCCATTCGACGCCATTCATCCGGTAAATTAGCGAGTTGTAATGTAAAATGCGAAACTGTTTTTAGTTCGTCAGCAGAGATTTCTTCGTGGCTTCCTCATCTCTAGGCTCGGTGAGATTGCTGCAGGTTGACGAGGACACCTGTTCTGAATTCAAGGAACACATGGCGTGGGAGTTTATACATAGTTTCAAGTGAGAGTAGTTCGATTTGCAGTTTACGTTTGAAGATAAGAGAATAAATTACGAGTCTTTCTGCGCATTTGTTTTTTTTTTTTTTTTTGCACAGAACAACAGACTACGCTTCTTGCACAGCCTTGTCTACTTTCGAACAAGACATAGCTTCTGTGGGAGAGGATGGGAGGCTCAATCTTCTCACAGCCGCGGAGAAGAAACCAGTCCGAGTTATTGGTAAGAGAGAATGCAATTTATATTACCCCGCAAGGGAATAAATCCTTCTTTAAATTCTTGCGTGTTATACAATTCTCAGAAAATGCCGATAGCTGTTCCATATATTGCGTCGATTTCTTGAAACACAACGAGGTGCTCACGGGCAATTCCAGAGGACACATGAAAATTTGGGATTTGAGAAACAATCGGGACGTACCCGATAGCACCTTCATGCTTTCCGATCAGGTTAAAGTAAGCAGATTGCAGATCTGCGTTTTGCAAATTCGTAAATTTTTTTTTTTGTCAACTAAAAACTCTTATTTTCGCAGACCGCGGCTACGAGCATTACGCATCATCCCACACAGAGACACATTGTGGTCGCTGGCGGAGGTGACGGCAGTTTAACCGCGTGGGATTTGAGGGAAAACACTTACCCGATAGTGCAACTCAATGCTCACGCCAAAGCCGTCAGCGAGATATTCTTTCATCAGGACAGACCGGACAACATCTTCACCTGTTCCGTCAGCGGCGAACTGTGGCATTGGAACAACGCGCCGAGCTCAAAACTAAAACTTAGTAAATCACACTCGTTTACGCATCATCATGTGTTGCAACATTGGGTCGCGCTAAAGAGCAAAAATGCTAATAATATTTTTTTTTTTGTTTTTCGAAATATCAGATTCCGTATCGGATGCGCATTGGCTGAAGCAAACCGTCAGCACCAACGCGAAAGTCACCGCTACTTCGTTGTGTCCTGTTATGCACAAACCGATAAACAGCATCGATATCAACAGATCGCTGCTTCTCTTCGGGTGCGACAACGAAGCCATGTACATAGTAAAAAATGTACCTATTTAACGACGCAACACGTACATTTTATAATTTTTTTATACGGTTTTGTTTATTGTTTAATATACGTTGTGATAAAAAAAAACAAAATATTTACCACGATCTTCCTCTGCTTATCAAAGTCGTTTGAATTGCGCGTTGAGAATTTCTTAATTTTTATTCTGTCGCGAAAAGAGCTCAACCGACTACGATTCGTTCGCGGATCGAGTCGATCGTTTGATCGGATCGCGAAATTGATCAACTGCGATTGAGCAAAGAAAATTTATCTTTTGAATCAAAGGATCATTTGATGCGTGTTCACAGAACTACAACCGCTCACTAAGCGGCTAAGTAGCGATTTATTGTGATTGGTTTGTGATTTAAATCGAGAACCAATCACATTCGATTGTTACTTAGCTTCCGCTTAAAGCCCGTTCCCACATTAAACGCAAGTCGCAGGTGTCTCGTGGAATTGACTAATCACATTGATCAAATCAAGGCAATTGATCAACGCGATTGGTCAGTTCCGCGAGAGACCTGCTACTTGCGTTTGCAATTTGCGTCTGATATGTGGAATAGGTTTAGGGTTGGTTTATAATAGCCGCAACGTAAAAGTTGAAATATGAAAACGCGCTTCTGTTCGTACACGCGCGTTTCCACGACGCGCCAATCGCGGTAACCATCAGCGCTATCTACCGTCGTCTGGCGTTAACCACTAAAATAGGAAGCATCGGATCTGCTGCTGGCGCCTTGGTTGCCATTTTGACTGACGCCTTGTTCGGAGTATCGTAAACAGTTTTGACTTCCGCTGACCACGTTCGGTGCGGTTACGACGAGGACGCTATGTCGAAACGCAGGATCGAAGTTGTGGACCCTTACGTTAAACGAAAAGCGTGAGTATCTCGATCATGTTTCACTTCGTTTTTTTTTTTTGCTCTTCAAGCGCGTTGCGACGAACGGCAGTCTCCCTTTTTGCCATGTGCAACGTCGCGTAGGGCAACGTCGATGCGGTATTTAGATACGCGGTGCCGCGCACGTTCGCTCGGGTTCGACTTTTCGACATCGCACGATCCTCGAAAACACGACCTCGGTCTCGTCGAGATCATTTCCTCCTTTGTTCTTGTCAAGATTCTGACTGCTATGTTCTATAACGGTGTTTCAACTAAAATGCAATGTTTTGCAATTTGCAAACGAGTAAAACTTTTCTCTCTCTCTCTCTCTCTCTCTTTCCCCCGTTTTCCCTATCTCTTTCTTTCTCTTTCTCTCGAATTGTCGAATACATGTGATCTTATTTGTTCATATTAGTCACTGCTTCGAATATATATGCAAGCCATGAATCATATATCATAAAAAAGATATGATTTTTCGCGATTGCTTTGTATACCGAAATATGCGTTTGAAGTGAAATGTTACAAATGATTGTGAAATGCTTTTGCAGAGATGGCTCAACATCCAACAGCGCAACTGCCACAGGATCCACGGCGGCCAAGAGTCAAGTGCAATTCAATCCCTATACTTTGCTACCGTACACACCAAGATATTATGAACTTTATAAGAAGAGGATAACTCTACCAGTATTTGAATATCGTACTGACTTCATGAGATTGTTATCTCAGCATCAATGTATTGTTCTTGTTGGAGAAACTGGTTCTGGCAAAACCACTCAGATACCACAATGGTGTGTAGAGTATTCAAGAGGTATTGGAAACAAAGGAGTTGCTTGTACTCAACCCAGGAGAGTAGCAGCAATGAGTGTGGCTCAACGAGTTTCAGAGGAAATGGATGTTGCCTTAGGTATATGTTCTTACTATATCATATAATTGTTCAAAAATTCTTGCTTGCATAATAATTTTATGTTATATTTATTTATTAATAGGTCAAGAAGTAGGATATAGCATTCGCTTTGAAGATTGTAGTTCACCAAGAACTGTATTAAAGTACATGACAGATGGTATGTTACTTCGTGAGGGTATGTCTGATCCCATGTTGGATGCATATCAAGTGATATTGCTTGATGAAGCTCATGAAAGAACGTTAGCTACTGACTTGCTTATGGGTGTTTTGAAAGAAGTGATCAAACAGAGACCAGACTTGAAACTTGTGATTATGAGTGCTACCTTAGACGCCGGCAAGTTTCAGCAGTATTTTGATAATGCACCGCTTATGAATGTACCTGGTAGAACACATCCGGTCGAGATATTTTATACGCCAGAACCGGAAAGGGATTATCTGGAAGCTGCAATCAGGACTGTCATTCAAATTCAGATGTGTGAGGAAATTCCTGGTGATCTTTTGCTGTTTCTAACTGGCCAGGAGGAAATCGAGGAAGCATGCAAGAGAATTAAAAGAGAAATGGATAATTTGGGACCAGAAGTCGGTGAATTGAAGTGTATACCATTATATTCGACCCTGCCCCCGAATCTTCAACAGAGAATATTTGAACCTGCTCCATGCACCAAGCCCAACGGTGCTATTGGTCGTAAAGTTGTAGTATCGACTAACATCGCAGAAACGTCCTTAACTATCGACGGAGTTGTCTTTGTGATAGATCCTGGTTTTGCCAAGCAAAAAGTAACCAATCGCTTTAATCTTTTGTTTTTATCGTATCGCAAACTCTTTTCTAATCAAATATATATTTCATTTTAATAGGTGTACAATCCTAGAATTCGTGTTGAGTCACTTTTAGTGTCGCCTATTAGCAAAGCCTCGGCGCAGCAACGAGCCGGTCGAGCTGGTAGAACACGGCCTGGAAAGTGCTTTAGATTATATACGGAAAAGGCGTATAAAAACGAGATGCAGGATAATACGTATCCTGAGATATTGCGTTCGAATTTGGGAAGTGTCGTGTTGCAACTGAAGAAACTTGGTATCGATGACCTGGTGCGTTTGTCGAAACAATTTAATATCTATTAAAATACTGACTGACTGATAGAGTAAATAAGTTTTTTGTAACATATAAATAATAATATCCATTGTTCATTATGACAGGTTCATTTTGATTTTATGGATCCACCTGCACCTGAAACTCTTATGAGAGCTTTGGAATTGTTGAATTATCTTGCGGCTCTTGACGATGACGGCAACTTGACAGATCTCGGAGCAATTATGGCGGAATTTCCACTCGATCCTCAGTTGGCAAAAATGCTTATAGCGTCTTGCAATCATAATTGCAGTAATGAGATACTCAGCATCACAGCTATGCTCTCAGGTAGTGTAATATGACGATATTGTACGGTATAACATTTTACTAGTTTTTATAGTAACTTATTCTATTTCTCGTACATTCTTAATCTAATTAGTACAATACACACACATACACACACATAGAGCGAAAGACTAATTTATGGTACACAAAACTTAACACTTCATATAAGAAATACCTGAAAACTTTAGAAATAAAGTGTTAGAATCGTGGTAAGATGACATGGTAGTATATTGATGATTGATATGGTATTAGTCCCACAGTGCTTTGTGAGACCGAACGAATCAAAGAAGGCCGCAGATGACGCAAAAATGAAATTTGCACATATCGATGGTGATCACCTCACGTTGCTTAACGTGTACCATTCCTTTAAACAACGTAAGTGTCTGTTTTTTTTTTATATATATCGTTTATATTGGTGTAAAAACGGTTCACAATAAGTAATGTCTAAACTATTTATCGCAGATATGGACGATGTTCAATGGTGTTACGACAACTATGTAAATTATCGGTCTTTGAAGAGCGGAGACAACGTGAGACAACAGTTGAGCAGAATAATGGATAGATTTTTGTTGAAGCGCACGTCGACGGATTTTAATTCGAAGGATTATTACATTAACATTAGAAAAGCTCTTGTTAATGGCTTTTTTATGCAGGTAATTTAATATACGTAGTTTACTGTCTCGCATATGTTATTTCCGTTTCTTATTTAATATTTTTTTGTATTTAATATACTCTATTTTTGTTGAAAAATAGGTGGCTCATTTAGAGAGGACTGGACATTATCTAACTATAAAAGATAATCAGGTAGTACAGCTTCATCCCAGCAGTTGTCTGGATCACAAACCGGAATGGGTTATTTATAACGAGTTCGTGCTCACTACTAAAAATTACATAAGAACAGTCACTGATATTAAACGTAAGTTTTAATATTAAGTATTTATTATAATCAGTATATATTAGTTTTACTATATATATATATATTGCTTTTTTGTTATTTTATTTATTTTTATCGAAGCAAATTTTTTGTTTCAATTTTGTATTTTTTCTTTTACAGCCATATGGTTGCTAACGATAGCGCCTCAATATTACGATTTACAAAATTTCCCTCAATGTGAAGCAAAAAGACAACTGGAAATGATCCAGGCAAAGTTGGAGTCAAAGCCGTATCAAGAAGGCTTCTAACCTCTATATATTTTAGATTGGAAATCACGAGAAACTGTCAAAAATGCTCAGTCAACTTGCTTGTATCACATCAAATCTTGGCACATAATTTTTTCACGTATCAAAACATATACATACATCACATGAGAGAAACACAAAGGGAATTTAAATTTTCTGTCCTTCACTTGAGACAAAACAAAAACACAAAATATCTTTGTACAAGCCTAGAAATGCTTGTATAAAGATATGTACAAAAAAATGTGGGATGTATAAAAATTTAAATATTTAAATATTTTCGATGCTTAAGCTCCAAAAATCGAAAAAAAAAAAGCGAATTATTAGTTCGAGGCACAGCAAAGGAATAGATCAATCAATCAATAAAGGGGGATTATTTATGTATATTTAAGTAAGAAAAGAATTATATAGTCTCTAAGTAATTTTAACAGTAGAGTTCGTTAATCGACGTTTATATTTGGACGCATTCGGAATATCGCTAGATAATATAAAATAGATTAATTTTTGTATTAAATGTTGATTATATATCATGAAGAAGGTAATATATAAAAATGGCCACTACATTAAAGATATGAGCATTCTATATTTATGTAACATTTAAACAAATTAGACTTTTAGTGTAACACTAAATCGTCCTCTCCTTTTTGTTTGCCACTTACAACACCATTTTAGTGACTTGATGTTTTGTGCTTTCGAATAGAACAAATTCAAACTCACTTGTAATTACATTAACAACAAATTGCAGAAAAGCAATGATATTTTCGAAATAAATGAAAAAAGAAACTTATATGTAATATGATGAAGAATAATACGCTTATTATAAATAGATGTGTGTGTGTTAACTTTTGATTTAATTTGAGATAACAAAAAACGAGAAATATTGAACAAATTAACTTCTAAGTGGATCTGTCGAGTCTGAGAGAAAATAAACCGCTGAAGAACTTATATAACAATATAATAAAAAAAATACGTATATTTCTCAGAATGTAAGATATATTCATCGCTATTGAAACGCATTTAACAGTGGCCAGTTTATGGAAAAACGTTCAGTGTAACGCATCATCTTTGTTAGCACTCGAAAACAAATAAACTTGAGTATCCTAAGAGTGTCGATTAATTTCTCATTATTGATGTTCTATATTTTCTAAGTGTGTATAATAAATATACGCAACATGTACATATATTTTGCTTTAATCGCAGAAAATGTGATAATGTAACAATTAGTGTCTTTCAATTATTATATAGCGATATAAGTAGACGCCAGGGTTCATTCTGTTTTTGTTTTTCACTGAATATCGAACAAGGACCAGAATGATTTTATTTTCAGTCCCTGATATTCTAGTGAGTTTTTTTTCTTGTATGACACATGTTGGTAGAAGTTTCCCGCGTCATGGCGTAATATCCATTGTGTGTTTATCATTGCAACGCGTACGTTTTGTAAGAAGTGACATCGATATACACGAAAAAAAAAAAAAAAAAACGCAAATCAGCCGTGATTTAATTATATTGCACTTATCGTAATTTCACTAGCGCATCAAAGAGTCATCTCGCAAAATCCTAACGTGACACGAGCAACATGTTCAGTCTTAGCGAAATTGAGGAGCAGCTGCAAAATGCTAGCCGACAGTTAGTTGGAGTCTCTTTCGTCGGTCAAGCCCTTGTATTAGATACCGCCGATACCGGTAAGATAATTGAATTTTTCCGTAGTATTGTTTTCAGTTGTTTCTCATGTGCGTTTAAGGTTAGTATAAATAATCGCGCAAGCTTGACTTTTTGTTGTAAAGAACAGCTATTTTTTACAAAACAATATTGTTTATCTGAACATTTCTTATTTTTTTTATTGATTGTTTACTACGTGATAGCACTATTTGCGTAATTGCTAAAATGGTCTTTGTCACACAGCTTCCCCAGTGGTACAAGCGATAAAAGAATGTCCGTGTTTGGAGTATTTAGACTTGGAAGGAAATACTCTGGGAATACCAGCTGCAGAAGCTATAGCAGAAGCATTGCAAGAGAAGGGAGCTCCTCTGAAGAAAGCACTATGGAAGGACATGTTTACTGGTCGTTTAAAAACAGAAATTCCAAAAGCATTAGAGCATCTAGGAACTGCATTGTGTATTGCTGGCAGTCAACTCACTGAACTTGACTTGAGTGACAATGCTTTTGGACCGATTGGCGTACAGGGTTTAGCAAATCTGTTGACATCAAGCCCCTGTTACACTCTTCAGGTGTTGAGATTGAACAATAATGGTTTAGGGATATCAGGAGGAAAAATGTTGGCTAAAGCTTTGGAAAAATGTCATGAAAATAGTTCTAAAGAAGGTATAATATACAGAAAAAAAATAGATGAATAGAATTAAAGAGTTTTTTACAAGCTGACTCGAAATATTTAATCAATTTATGTTCTTATCATAGGTAAGCCACTTGCTCTGAAAGTTTTCATCGTTGGCAGAAACAGATTGGAGAACGAGGGTGCGCAAGCACTGGCAGCTGTGTTTGAAAAGCTGAAAACATTAGAAGAAGTTATAATGCCACAAAATGGCATATATCACGTAGGCATTACAGCAATCACGAAAGGATTATCTGTCAATCCTAATCTGCGAGTGTTGAATTTGAACGACAATACAATTGGGTTAAAAGGAGCTAAAGCTCTTGCGAACGTTCTGCCAAATTTTCGAGGTCTGGAGGAGCTAAATCTTGGAGATTGTTTGTTGAAGAGTAAAGGAGCTTCAGTTTTAGCAGAGACACTGACAATTCACGGCAATCATACATCTCTCAAAATTCTGGATTTAAGTAACAATGAGATACGCATGGATGCTGGAATTATTATTGCTCAATCCACGCACGATAAAAGTCTGTTGACGAGTCTGCAATTAAACGGTAATTGTTTTGGATCAGAGGGAAAAGAAAAAGTTGAGGAAGTTCTTGCAACAATGGGAAAAAACGACATATTGAGTCCGTTGGATGAGGATTACAGTGAAGATGAAGAGGAAGAAGATGAGGGTGACGACGACGACGACGATGATGACAAAGAAAAAACAAGCGAATGCGAAAGCTCCGTCAATGAAGATGAGGAAAGTGATGAAAATAATATGACTGTCAAAGAAAATAACAAAGCACAAGATGGCGTTACGCAACGTGCAGTGGTAACGGTACCAGAATTTCTGGCATCACCAATAGGAGAGAAACTATTGCTATTACAAAACGATAGTGTACAAGCTTTTGTTGATTATGCAATGGTACGCATTAACTATCAATGCATGTAGAATTAGTTTCATTGTTCAACTTTATGTTTTTACTGAGATTTTACTTCTTATTTTTTTAGAACTTGGCAAAACAGAGCGAAGACAATACGAAACAAAAATTTATACAGGAGCTTTTGCAGATAATCATGAAGGTATCAACATTATGCGGCAGTGGCTACATGGATGTGAGAATGAAAGCAGAATCCTTGTCGGATGCTTTGTACGCAAAGCTCTTCTCTTATGCTGTAGAAAACAATCAAATTCCGAATTTAAATAACGCATTACTAGTAAATCTTGGCTTACTGAAAGTGAGTTAAATCACAAGAATTATTTACTCATTAGAACAATTATTGCGCACTAGAAAATGTTTTAAAACGAAGAAAATAAATAACTTGTTTTTTTTTTTTTTCAGGACGAAGACAAAAGCTACAGAAAAAATCAGTGGAACTTAGAGGGATGTTTTAAAGCGTTGGAAAAAATTTGTCAAAGAGATTATTTTCCGGTACAAGTAAGGAGTACGTTAAAAGTATTCTTAGAAAGACCGATGAAAACTAGTCGCGCGAACGTGGTAGATCCATTTAAAGAGTCTAAAGTTGCTCTCAAAACTGTTTTAGACAATATTCAAATTACGTAAATTTACCTAAATTTACTATTGATATATGTGAGACACATAGTTATTTATTTTTATACATTTGTGTATGGGAAAAAAAAAACATCAACATATAATTGTGTAAAATTTAAAAATTGTCGATATTTTACGAAGTATGCGAGATCTGCAAGTTACAAATTTTTTAAAATAAACTTTTGTGCGTATATATAATTTTTTTAAATTAAACAAATTAACATTTTTTATAAAGTTACCTATACGGTAAATTATTCTCTATTTCTTTCTTGGAAAGTTAATAGAAATAAAAAATTACGAAATAAAAACGTTCATCTTGTTCTTATTACATGTATGTAAATGTACACACAGAGTGACAGTTTTTGTAAGGAAGTTAAATTTCTTCATTTCGTTGGATGCCATCTTTTTTCGATTACATTATACATTCCTTTGAAAACCAGGAGGTAAGAAAACAACAAAGTCGCATTCTAAATTGTAATATTTATATTTGTAATAAAATTGAGGTATTTTGTACACAACAATTGTCTAATGATGTGCAACTTGCATGATCAATTAAAAAAAAGCAATTTATTTACTATTGTAACTTATCTAGAATGAACGTCAACTATAAACGAAGAGTGCGAGAGTTAATGTGTAGTAACTTTACACATCAATTTGTAATAATCGAGTCTGTGGATTAATGTCGAATAAATAATGTTTTTTTTTGCACGCGCGTGCAGCGCATGTTGTGTGTTAGGTAAAACGTAAGAAAATGCAGTGAGAATTGTAACTTCCACCACTTCCACATATTTATATTATTTTATACAGGGTCGTGCAAAGGTACTCTTTTTTACCCGTCATTAATTTCAATCTATCGCGGTATGCGTCGCATTTGTTGCGTCCTTCATTTGCACGACCTTGCAAATGTCAAATATGAACATGAATCTCTTGGGAAAGATTCTGATTTGTTTTGTTCAGATGTAACACAACGAAATCTACTTTCCGGTGATTGCAGATTTCGGATTCCAACCCGGATTAAAAAGATCAACTGCCAACGGATTACAGTGCGAAGACGACTGATCTTTCATGTAAACTGTTGCCTGAAACAAAGAACCGTGAAATGATATATTCGAAATGCGACAATTTTGCTTTCTTCAAATTGATAAGCGCGTAAAATACATACTAAAAAAAGAACCAACTGCAATTTTGTCTTGGTGCTACAATCTTCGCCCAAAGTAGACGGATAACTTATTACTCCGTTATGTTTTTGAATATCGGCCGCTATTAATTCCAAGCAACGTCTCTCGTCCACTTTTAACGATTCCAATATCGATGCTATAATAAATTCGATAACATTGTTTATATTTCAGACGATCTCTTTATCAAACACGTTGTAATCTGTTTACCTCTATCGGAAGTTTCGGCAGACAAAAACCTTGACAACATCGCTCCGGACTCGGAGGTCTCGGAAAACAAATGTGGGTAACGTCTGAGAAGCAATTTTGTTAGCAGCATGTTGCCTCGATTCCCCGCTAAACAATGGCTAGGTATACAAATAATTTCATCGTCCGTTCTTCTTATTAATAACACGGTCCCGTCGTATCTGTTAAATTAAAAATTTGCTGCTTAACTTTGTTGAAAATTAGATTTATATGCAGAATCGAATCGCACGCGCGTACCTGTTCAACTGCTCCGCTATGTTTAAATTGAAATAATCTCTGATTGTACTCCGAACTAAACCCTCTAGGGACGGATTCATCGTTTTGACAGCTAATGGAAGTATATCGTCAAATGTAGCGTCTAAGATCTACGAGATATAAGTGATTAGAGAGTTTTATACAGATCGTGTTACACATGTTCGTTTGCACTTGTAAGGATTACGTTACCAGGCTTCGAATAGAAGGATAATTCATAGCAGCCCATGTAGCGGTGTACCCTCCGATGCTCCATCCGTACAAGATAATTTGTTCTTCGGCGAATCGAAGACGCTCAATCGCGAAGCGCATCACGCAATCAATAGCGTTTTCTTCTTCTTCTGGATAAGGCGCACCCTTTGTGATCATGACTTATCGTTACTGTTATATGACGTACAAGTCAGCCCAGAGGAGAGAAGGCTTGCCATTACTCCAATGTTACAGTTACTGTCTATACATGAAGCGAGCAATAACTGCAACATTGGCAAAATTTCATTGTTGCAAAAAAAGATAAATCTCAGTGTAAAAAAAAAAGTAACAGCAATTCTTCTCGTCTGTTTGTGTTATTGTCAAATATAATGAAAAAAAAAAAACTGGGCTTTTACGCAAAGCTTGTTTACTTACAGTGCTGCTACCAAAACCAGGATGATTCCAGCCTAACACGGAATAACCTTTGCTCAACGGCGTGGGAATAATACCGGATTCGTAAAAGCCACAGTTTCCCTCGCAAGCTATGATCAATACGTCGCCATTGATATTCCTGTAAAAATGTAACACACACAGTTAGAGGATAACGATTTGCTCTATACAAAAGTAAAGTTTAAAGTTAGTTCACGTTACTTGTTACGCCGGTCGACAAATATCGCGTCGATTAAATTTTTATCAATCGTCATTAGTTTGAATCTTTCTCCACCTTGTGTTATCAGATCCACTCTTCCCTTCATTAACGTAGAACCTTCAATATTGCAACACACACACAGAATAGCATAAGAATACGAAGAAGTACAATAATAATATTAATAATAACGATTTGTTACATACCAAGTGCCAAGTTAATGAGAGATAAACTTCCTGGATAAATTAATTTAATCGCAACGGTATGTGCTACTATAAATGAAAGCAATTTACATGGTATGGCAAATAAAAATTCTTTGCCACTTTGCCGCCTCAGACGACCAGCCCTTGCGATCTTTTTTAATGTTAATCTGTCCGGTCTGTCACTGAAAGAATACACAAAAGGTGTGTAATATTGATCAATATGGTAGAGAATTTGTACCAAAACTCTGATCTTAATATATTGGTCAAAGTGACATCAAGATTCAAAAGTTCTGAGATCTCTTCAAAGTGAATTAAAAAACTAATACGTTACTCTTTAAATTTGGACACATCAAAGTCAACAGGCCACGCAGAGAATTCAAACTCGTATTTGTGAAGTTCTTGTTTTGTCTTGGCATTGTAGTTCAAATGTGCCTCATTTAAGGTTTCCACAAATTTCACATATTCCGGAGTATTGGCTCTGGAATAACCACGTGCGGCCAATGAAGCAATGAGAAGCGCGCTAGCTCCTGCCGCCAATTTGCTCAAACAGGACATATTTTCCGCAAGCAGGTGACTACGCTGATACATGACTATGGCGAAGAGAGGCGCCGCGTATACGGCGTAGAGTCCTATAGACCAGATTGTTGCAAACTGTAACAATAAAAATTAAAAAAAACAATCTAGTTTTTCAAACATATACAAAATTATTCAATATTGCCAATTTGTTCTTCTCACAGAAGACTGAAAAATTTATCGAACGAGCTGTAACGTAATTTTTTCGCGCGAATAAAAAACCAAAAATTTATACGTACGGAAACGACAATGCGATTGCCCCATCGCTCGAGACTCTTCGGCTGATAGGTTTTCTGCACAAACACACATAACCTCTTTTTTCATATAACCTTTACATCGCGCGTGTATGTACACACAAAATACTCACGTCCACCAAATGACCGATCCACGTTACCTCGTAAATCTTGAAGAGCCGCGGACTGAACGTGCACTTCCACAGCATTCGAATCAACGACATTTTTTTTCGCGAATCGTCTCTCTTCCTTCGGATTCCGGATTTGTTAACGCAACGCAAAAAAACACTGCACTGCGGAGTCACGACGCGGAATAAAATTCTCACGCGAGCACGCACAAGGATTGAAACATCTCTGCGATTTGGGCGACTTGTTCGTCAAACGAACGTACTAGCTAGATAGACGACAAACAACCGATCCTTGACAGGAAGAAGAAGAAGCTTTGCGACATCGCGCACTCTAAATTATTCGCACCGCGAGCGTGTCCTCTTACCTTTGTAATTTGACGTGCGAGAGTTGTCGTGTGCTCGATCGCATCGCGACCGGAAAAATTTAAAACGCGCGTTATGCAAATGCGCGTGTTGCTTGAAACACAATCGATATTCAGGGACGACGGTCTATACCGTCCGTCCTTGTTTTCCGTCGAAACGTCATATCGTTTCGTGTCGATGATGTCGATCATTCGTGCGCGATAAGAACGAAAAATTCGATTCGTTCTTCGCAAACTTCGTCGCTTAACGGAAAAGTGACAGAAATATTCCGATATCGAAGATTTCGGTGTAACCTGAGCGCGCCTCAATCAGGGGCCGTTTGGGCTTTCGCAAACGTCGCAGTTTTTCTTTCGATTTCCGATTATTCGCGACAAAAAAATGCGAAGATCAACGTGAGAGTTGAGATTTTTTCGCAAGTTCGTTCGCGCAAATTCGGCAAAATCTATCGAAATCTCGGCGTTTTGGATCTCTCGCGTCAACGATCGAAGGGACTCGTGGTTCTTCGTCCAACTTTTTTTTTTTTTTTTTACAAATCACTCGCCGATCGATCGCAAGTGTCGAGAGTTTCGCGATTGTTGGCGAATATTTAGCTTCGTCACGACTCCGCAATCTCGTCAGGTGAAGAAAATAATGCGCAGCCGACAAGTAAAATTCGAAAAGGAGACGCGCACGGATTTCGCTTCTTGGATCACATGTTTGTGAAATCGCGGCTTCGCGTCGGTCGATCGAGCGGCTGCGGCGCCGCATGATTTTCGGAACTTCCGCGAGGAGAAGAGAGTGAGAGAGAGAGAGAGAGAAAGAGAGAGAGAAAGAACATCAGGAAAGCAACGATCAGCGGAGCTATCGGTGTGACACGTTGTTTGATACGGAGATATCAGCTGCTAACTCGGCTAGTGCGGATTATTTTTTACAATATGTCAGACTGGGATACCGCGCCTATTACTCTGCGAAAACGTGTTCCGAAATCGTCGACTCTGAAAACCGAGAAGGTAATGCGAGTTGGGGTGTTAGGTCGCACACGGGTTAGCATGATCGCCGATGCCCGTATATGCGCCGCAAGATTGTGTAACTCGCACTTGTGTTTGTTTACAGGCGGTAAACGACGCACGACGACAAGGATACCAGGTAGAAACCCAGGCGAAATGTAAGTGTACGTTTTCGAATTTTCAGTATTTTCTTTATTTTCGTCACCTTTTAAAATTGCCTATATTTCATCGCGAGTGCGATAAAAACAATCTTGCTGCGTGTTCAATTGATGGACTTTTTGGAGCAGGTTCTTATCAGTGCTTGAAAAACAAACAGTAACACAATTGTGTGAATTTTTGTTTTATATAATCATCGCAAGAAATTGTAATCACATTATTATCAAACAGTGTCATGTGAATTTCTTTTGGTAACATTGCAAGAAATTGCAATCCATTCACTTTTCATTAGCAAAATCCCTAGTGCTTGGAAAAATTGCAATTGTTTTGAAACAACACAATGAATAATCAAACATTTGCCAGAGTTAAATATGTTAATATAAACAATATTTTAAAACGTAAGCATTACATGTATTATAGAAGTTTTAGGATGAGAGATTTCCACTAAGGCTCAGACAGAAGATTCAAAATGTGTACAATAATGTAAGCAAGAGAGAGAAAAAGGAAATGTTAAAAAAATTTCTAGTTTAAATAATTCAACTATTTACACAGTGAGATATGATATCAAGTTTGTACTCTAGATTTATATTGTTCTATAAATGTGTTTTCTTATTTAGTTTTATTTGCATAATATGTAAATCTCGAGATAACAGTGTTATTAAGTTTTCGGAATTTTTCATCTTTTCTTCCAGGGGGTGGTGGAGCAAATAGGCAACACGTAACTACAAAGAACACAGCCAAATTGGATCGGGAAACCGAGGAATTAAAACATGATCAAATCCCCCTTGAACTTGGCAAACTTATCCAACAAGGTCGTCAGAGCAAAGGATTGTCTCAGAAAGATCTTGCTACGGTAAAGCATAATATGCTTGTATCTTATTTGTGAATTTTATTGTTGAGTAAACGTTTATATATATACATATATAGTTTTTTGGACGTAGTTTTGTTAATAATTTTTATCCGCTTGATTTTGCAGAAAGTAAACGAGAAGGCGCAAGTCATCAACGACTACGAAGCGGGTCGCGGAATTCCAAATCAGATGGTGATCGGCAAAATCGAGCGAGTACTCGGAATTAAATTGCGTGGTAAAGATCGCGGCAAACCCTTAGTGGCCCCCGGGACGAAGAAGTGAATCTCGGGGGGCAATTTGGTACTTTCGATTCTTATACACTGTTCCCGTGGAAGAATTATGAGGAGGATGGTAGAATGGAATAATGAAAAAAAAAAAAAAAAAATGCACAACAGACAACTCCTACCTTTCTTTTTCCTTAATTTTGATATTGTTGAACATTTAGAAAGAAAAAAATTATGACTTATAATTCACACTCGCCTTTATCAACGTGTAATAAAAAGAAGCATATTTTAAGATATCAAAGATATATATATATATATGTATATGCATATATCTTGTAAAACAAGAAAATACAGTACACAAAGTAACAAGTAGTGTAAAGTTAAAAAAAAAAAAAAAACTGGCAAACACATTAAGTTACCTTTACGTAATTATGTTTATTATAGATTTTCAATTGTATATTGCTAATTCTGAAATATGTGAGCGAACTGTGTGCTTGAGTGTTGAAATAAAATTCTTAATTTATAACGAAGTATCTGTTTATTGTGCACCGTACTAGAGAAATTGATAAAATTTTATATATATATATATATGTATGTAAATACATATATATGTAAATATATATGTATATAATATATATATATGTAAAAAGAAAGACACACAAATATAAGAGTACCAAACGCAATATCTCTTGCACACTTTCATTTCAACAGTTTTGTTTGCAAGCTATTCTTCAGAAACATACGGAACGAATAAGTTTTCTCACATATATTTAATAAATTATACAAATTCATTTTAAGCAGTATTCAGAAGAAATAATTTGGCCGAAGAAATGCTGAAATACTTAAAAATAATTTAATTTGCATAGATACAATAGTATTAATGTTTCTTTTAGTCCCCATTTAATCTTTTCTCAGCGAGAAATTGGAATCTTCTACACCGTCTTTTGTGATAATTTTAATTGTTATTCCGTCACCTGTGTAGATATCTCTTTCAGCCGCGGAAGTGAACACATCTTTTAAGATTGCCACGGCTTTATCTTTCGTTAAAGGTTCCGGAGTGATGTTGTCTTGATTCTTGTAACCGATCTAAAGAATGGCAAATGTTATGCGATATCAGCCACGTGATCTTTTATTTAAACGCTATCGAGGATACTATTTTTTATATTAGACAAATATACCTGATTGTCTAGAAGTGGTTGCAGAAGTGCACCAGCCGAACCGCCTGCTCTATATGTGGTTTTTTCACAATGTCCAATCGGATCGTAACTGTATATGCACCCTTTTCCGTTTTCATCCAAACCAGCAAGTATATTACTGACATAATAAGGAAAGAATCTTTTGTTATACAACATTATTGAGAGCATCTGTGCTGCTGCTGGAGTTGTCATTTCTTTCTGATGTTCGTGTTTATACATCTAAAACAAAGGGCAAGTTTTTATATTTTTGACAACTGATAGTCACGCATTGGATTTTATGATATTTGAAGTCAATGTGAACTCCGATGTTGTTCAATGAGTTCATATTACTTCATAGAATTGCTTCAATCAATTTCATGAATTAAAGTTAATAAATTAGAATACCAAGTTTTTTTTTTTACAGATGTATAAATCTGTACCTGCATTCTAGCAGACAAGAGACGAGTTAAAGTCAAGGTATCGCACCAGCAACCGGAGCATCCCAGAACAGTGGTATTTGACAGAGGAAATAATTTATCCTGCTCTCGAGTATAGATCGAGAATCCTGTACTGAGACGCGTGTCCGCACCTATGACGCAAAAGTCATCTCCCGCTAGCGCAACTACACTCCTGAGGACAAAATAATAATGTAGGTGCATGAAACTTTATAAGAGAGACCGAGACATGAATTTGTTATTTACTTTGAAAAATTCAAAGTTAATCAAAACTATCTAAAAAAAACAAAATATTTAATAACTTCGTCATACGCTCAAAAGCAGCAAAAAGAGTACAGAGTTACCTACCCTCCGTTATCGGAGTACGGGCTGAAGTTTACTTTTCTTATTCCTTGCATCTTATAATCGAACAAATGTCCTTTTCCATTGTCCGTTACCAATGCCATTGTTTGTTATTTATATCTTCTGTTTAGAACTTGAAACGCTGTAGGGTACGTTACTTATCGGACTTATTCCGTGCGTGACACTACAAATTTCCAAACGACCGACGTAACCTCGCTTAAACACTTGTAGGTAGCTTACAGTAGTCGCGTTCCGATATTCGCTGTCGGTATTAAAAATCCACAATCTCACGTCACATGTGTTATAGATTTAGCAGTACTGGAAGCGAATGTCGGAACGTAGCCAGTGGGTGCGTTCAGACAACTCAACAGTTGCGCAACGGTTGAGAGACAATCACTTCTGATTGGATCATACTTTTGGAACCGCAGCAGATTTTTGAAGAATAGTCCTATCACAAGCGACGATCTCTCAACCGTTGAGTTGTCTGAACGCACCCAGTCGCAACTTCCGATCTTTACAAAAATATGCGCACACGCATCCGTGGTATCTAACCAATGGCGCGACATGTGACACGCGTGTGTACACACGTGCATATCAGGCTTTACAATTCAATGTGACAACAGATCGTTGAACTTACGTCAGTGACGTGGTGTCGAGTCAAGTTTTCTCACAATTTTACAGTTTCGATGAACAAACGTACAAAACGTTATAAATTCGAACGCGTAAATATTATTTACATGCACAAATATGCGAGCACGTATTTGTGTATATAAAAAATATGCAATATATATTGTTGGAAAAAATACCGCGCGCAAATTAAATTTATTTTGATCGTGTTTCGATGAAGGTAACTCCGCTCTCACTTTGCGTTGAAACAAACTGCATCAGATAGCAACCGCGACGATACGGTCCTGGACGTCGGCGGTGCTGATTTGACTAGCGGCGTGTTCGGAGAGCGACGGAAGTGACGCGCGTCGCGTCGTTACGTTTAGGCCTGTTTTACAATACAGTTTTAAGATGTAATTCTAAGAAATCGACCAATCACAGACAAGTCACAGAAGAATAATCGATTGTGATTGGTCAATTTCTTTTCGACTTACCGCTTACGACCGTGTTGTAGAACGGGCCTTAGATTCTGTTCCGCGACGTCGCTCGGTAATCGTACGCTGTTAAGCGGGACAGACCACAGAGAGACCACGCCATTTTCAGCCTCCTAGCAGCTCAGTGCCATATTTCCACTTGCGGCCCTGATTTAACGTTGCTGCAGTAGTTTTAAGTGAAATATTATGCGCGTGAAGACCGAAATGGATGACGATGAAAAGGGGTAAGTACGCTCGAGCACGTCTCATCGCCGTGTTGCTTGTTCGTGTCGTTGAATTTCCCCCAGAGCGGCCCCGTAAAAAGAAGGACCGGAACGTCGCGATCGCGGTTTCGTAGCCATTGCTTTTTCGTCGCGCACACATCGTCGCTCGTGTACGCAAAATAACGCCTTGCACGTGACAATTTTCGAATTTTTTCAGTTTTCAATTTTTCTTACGCTACAACACGGGAATATATCCGAGCGATATAATATATACGTACACACGTACACGTAAACGTATGTGTATGTGAAATATGTATGTATAGATATGCTTTTTGCGGCTTTTTTATTTCGTGGCAATGGAACAATCTGCGTCCGTATCGAGATCGGCACGTTTCTAAGTCGCGCGAATAAACCGGCTCTAAGGGATTGTTCGGTGTGTTCATTAACTTCTCTTTCTCGGAACGGATATTTTGGCTTCGATCGTGGGGAGACTCGATCTGTTTTCGCTTATTCTTCGAACAGGCCACGAGAAAGTCCGGCATATTCTCCCGCCACACATGCATTCTCTTATGGCAATACAAAAGCGCTCTCGCTTTGCTTCGCTCGCATCCTTACGACCGTCAGATATTTTTATGCTCTAATTCCTTGTAAACGGACTGTGATCTACTTGGGGAATTACGTATATAATCCTTCACAGTTAAAAATGTATAAATAAAACTAGTGGCTTTTGAAGTCACTTGCAACTCTTGAATGAGCACGGGAGAAAAAATTAATATGTTAGAAACATTTTTTTCAAATGTAATATTAATAAATTATCTTGTAGATTTTTTTTTTTTTTATTTTTTATTTTTATAACATAATTTTGTTTTGTTAATATTCCAGAATGAAAAGAATGTGATTTTATTTGTTATTATCACACATCTAGAAATATTTGAAGATAACTTTATCAAGAGATAGTTTTTTTTTTGTATAATAACTCAATCAGACTATCTTTTTATTGGATTTGGACCGATTTTTTGTATTCTTGCTCTCTCCTAATCAGTGGCGATAAGGAACAATTAAAATTATAGAGAAAATTTTCAATCAATATGGAGAATGTAGAAACGAAGAGTAAAAAGAAGTCTAATCGCATAAATTATAATAATTTCAAAGAGTAAATAATCTTAAACAGTTATATCTAATAATAAACACAAGTACCTGATATTAATAAAAAAGAAGTAACATTGTTTTCTTATCTCATTTCAGTAAACTCTTTGTTGGTGGATTATCATGGGAAACGACACAGGAAAATTTACAACGCTACTTTAGTCGTTATGGAGAAGTTATAGATTGTGTTGTCATGAAAAATAGCGAGTCAGGCCGAAGTCGCGGATTTGGATTTGTAACATTTAGTGATCCGGCAAATGTTTCTATGGTTCTTCAGAATGGTCCTCATACACTTGACGGAAGAACAGTATGTATTTTGCACAAGAATGTATTATATCATAAAATTAAAATTACTCATTAAAAAAAATCACAGGTGCTACAAGAAGTTGGAAAAAAATACAATTTAATGATTTGTATTACAGATCGATCCAAAACCATGTAATCCCAGGACTTTACAGAAGCCGAAGCGTAGTGGCGGTTTCCCTAAAGTTTTCCTTGGTGGTTTACCAAGCAATGTGACAGAAACCGATCTCAGATCTTTCTTTACACGCTTTGGCAAGGTCATGGAAGTGGTTATAATGTACGATCAAGAAAAGAAGAAATCTAGGGGTGAGTAAGAATTAATTTTTATATCAAAATATACAGTATTTAGTAGTTTTCACATCTTAATAATTTTTTTGATACTTATCTTTTTTATTACATATATTTTGTAAAAAGACATTTTTAAAATAAATTTTTGATAAAATTAATATGTACGCTGATATTGTTAATGTCAAAATGTATATTTTATATTGATAAAAATATTGTACTTATTTCTAAGATAAGGGATATGTGTGTGTGAAAACTATTAATAATAACTAAAAATGATGATGATGGATTATGCTATTACAGTTATTGGCATAATAGTCAGAATTCGTTAACAAAATATATTTTGTTTATTTTAAAAACAAAATTTATTTACATGTAAAACTAATTTTACAAAACCACATGTAAGATATGTATAAACAATTCTGACTAGATTGCACAATTAACAGTGAAAAAATTGAGATGTTAAGATCAATTAGAATTACTGTTTTATGTGATTAATATAATAATATATATTATTATATAAGATTAAATATATTATATTCAAATAGCAGACCAATTAAAATTTATTGAATATTGCGCAATTTATTCGGATTTTACTTGCGTCTTTCGTAATTGTATTATACATATCGCGTGACATTTTGTCACATATGTGTCACACGTACACATAAATGGGACAATTGTTATGTTAAATTAATTGAAATTTATACATGTAATAACAAATATAATGCGTATAAGATTTATCAAAGTGCCAATTGTAAAATGAATGCTTTTTTAATTAATATATAATTTTATTTGCATGATATTGCAATAGTTTTTATTGTGTAATTAAGTGAGTGTAAAAGTTTTGATGAGTTTTGTTTATATTTATATATAAACTCATCAAATCTTATACATTTATCTTATAATACAAAATTTCATATAGTTTTATGATGTATAAGTTTATTGAAAAACAGAATTATAAGAACTTTAATATATATAGAACATAGATATATGTTATTATATTTAACACAAAAACATAGATTATATTTAACACAGTATTTAATCTTTAATCTTACTAGTATTAAAATTAGCACTTTTTGCGATTACTGATAAAACTTTGAATATAATATAGTTGTGGGTATCTACTTTAGAAGAAACGTAATTTATATAATTTAGGTAAAATAATTATAATTTTTAAATCAACATATATATTTATGATTCTAAGCTCTCAGATATGATGTCATAACAAATCAATAGCAGAAAAAAATGTGTTCAGCCAATAGTTCTGCATCATTATTATTTTCTCTTTCTCTCTTTTTATACATGTCTCTCTTCCTCTTTTTTTCTTCGCTTTTCTCCTTTGTCACTGTTATTTATTCTATTTTCTACGTTAAAAACAGTTTTTAAGTACAATATATTGTAAAAACTGCTTTCTTGCGTAAACATTTTTTTGATTATACTCTCACGTTTGGACTGGCAGGATTTGGATTTCTCAGCTTTGAGGATGAAGAAGCAGTGGACAGATGCGTAGCGGAACATTTTGTCAACTTAAATGGAAAACAGGTATAATACCAAAATTGACCAAATCCTGTGTGTGGCTTTAAACAACAGATAGAAAATATGTTTATTATATTGTTTCTCCTAAGGTGTAATATTATTTATACATAACTATGTAAATTATTTATTTATTAATAGAAATAGTGATTATATACATGTAAGTTACATGTTGAGTTAATAGGAAGATTTAATAGAAAATAAATTAAAAATAACAAATGTGGAGAGCTATAAGTATAAACATTTTAATTAGTTTTATAGTTCGAATAATAATAAGTGTAAAATAAAGTATTTTTGAATGTTTACTAGTATATTAAAACGTGCTTAGTTTTTATGCGACATAAGTGTATCTATTAATCCCATTAATAACTTAGAGATAATATTTTTATATAAGGACACACAGGAGAGCGCACGCACGTTGTATAATATATACAAACCATAGAATATAAAACTATTGATAGCCTCTTCTAAGTCTAAAATACAATAATTTGTAAAATTAATTATATATAAATAATAACACATATATATTAATCCAATATATATTTATGTATATATTTATTGTTTTCAAAAATTTATAAGTAAGAACTTTGGCAACTTAATACACATCTTTGAAAATTCTCTTTGTTTCTACTTAAAAAAAAAATTACTTATATTTATATGGTTTTTTGTACATGTATCTTTTCTTTTCAGGTTGAAATTAAACGAGCTGAACCTCGGGATTCCTCAAGCAAGATGAATGACAGCCATCAGGGTCAATGGGGTCCGCCTCAACAAGGAGGACCCCCAATGGGAATGGCGGGTAATATGGGTCCTATGGGTGGACCGAACGGACAGATGGGTGGACCGATGATGGGAGGACCGATGGGTCCACCTGGAAATATGATGCAACAATATCAAGGTTGGGGCACCAGTCCGCAAACGGGCGGATATGCTGGTTATAGTACGCAATACAACGCCCAGGGTTGGGGCGCACCACCGGGACCACCTCAACAACAGCAGATTCCACCACCGCCACCGCAGTGGGGAAGTAGCTACAATGTCCAACCGGCTGCAGCTACTCAGGGCTATGGAAGTTACGGTAAGTTTTATTTTTTGCAAACATAATCTGAGTACAACAAATATTTCCTTTCTTTCACTTATCTTCATGTTGTAAGTGATGTTATTTTTTGAGTATATAGAGTATTGTGCTTGATTATATAACAGAAGAATATACGATAGTTAACGTCTTTGTTTGGTCATATGTGAGACAAAATTGTTTATCGCGGCAAGTACAAATGTAATAGGAGCAGGGTATTATTGAGAATCAAGCAGTATTCGTGAAATATATATATCAAACTTTTCATTGCTGCATAGTATATATATTATATACGTGGTACACACGTTAAGATAAACGGATTATCAACTTTAGAGAAATAAAAGAAGTTGCTGACGCATGCGTGCATCATTGTCATCGGAAAGTTCCTAATATGATTTCGATTCTGCTATAAATTCATACTTTCATCACATACACACAGACACAAACAAGTTTCGGTTTTACATCTCAGAGGTACATCATGATTAGCAAAAGTTCTGGCTAGGTATTAACACAACTTTTTCATCCTCTTTCCTTCCCTTTCCATCCTGCTTGGAGAAGTTAGAAGAGAACAAAAAAAAAAAAAAAAAAAAAAAGATAAGAACATGAGAATTCTATAAATCGTAATACATGTTCAATTCTTACGATGCCCCCTGGAGGTTTAATTTAAAAAGAGAATCTATATAACAGTTTGATGCGTAAAGAAAATTAAAAGAAGCAATAATTATGTCAGTCCAGGCTTACGTGCATTTTTTGTTTATATAATAAATAAAGTGCAATTTATAGCATGTGCATACAAAATGTATTTTTTTGAAAGAAAAGAGAAAGAAAGTTAATATTTGTGTAAATATAACTGGTATTTTTCATGTTGTAGCTTATCTTATATAATTTATATAGTTCTATATAGTTCTATATAATTATATAGTTCTTTCAGATTTTTAGTAAATATAACATTTTCTGTAATCGTGCTTATATAATACCTATAAAATAATATAAAAGTAATTTTAACCACAATATAGCAGTAACGAAGTATCTTAAGTAGTGTGAGATTCCAACACTTAGTTTGGATTGATATAATATATATACTTTTAACAAGTACATGTATTTGCAAAAACAAAAAAAACATTGAACCTCATAATCTTATCTCCTAAGTTTATGCTTGATTCTCTTCAAGTTGATCCTTTTCACTTCTTTTTGTACAAAATTTCTGGGCTCAGATCTTTTCTCATTTGGATATTCTGCTTTTACATATTAAAGACATTCTTGCTTTTATTTCGAAACGTTTTATCTACAACATTCTAAAATTATCTTGAAGCTCACACAGTTGCTGCGTTAAAAAAAAGAGTAATGCTTAAGTAGTACTAACATGATATTGTATGTCAGTACGCTTTCTACGATAAAAAAAAAGTATCATATGTACTCACATGCCACTAAATAGTAAAGCTATACTTAATACGCTGTTTTCACCAACAGACATCACGTGAATTGTGATGTCGGAAGTTTAACATTCTTGCAAGAACAACTTTTGCACATCTAATATCATCCATCGCTTCTTTCTTATTTCTCTATTTACTAAGAGAACCAAGCATGAACGTTTGAATCGCCGGAGAGACATGCTTCACCTACGCCGATGAGGTAGAAACATTTTAAGACACTTTTTTTTTTCAAGTAGAGAAAAAGATAGTGATATAAAGTAAAGAGAAAGAAATAGAACAGAAAAGTGAAATTACGTGTGACATTCGGTCGGTGACACGTGTTTTGTGTGGTTGATGATCGCAGGTGGGCCGGCGGCGGCCGCTTCAGGGGGCTACGGGCCCACGGCGGGTACTGGCGGGGCTGCGGGGGGCGGGCCTGGGGGCTCTTGGAATTCCTGGAACATGCCACAGAATGGGCCTCCTCCTGGGACCCAGCCTCCACCCCAGCCCCCCCAGCCCAATTCCTCGCAGCCCAACTCCAACTCGAACCCCTCTGGCCCGCAGGGTGAGTCTTCAAGCATAAACACTCTCCTCTTTCCACCCTTTGGCGTCGCACAGCCAAATGTTTTTACTCAGAATGTTTTTACTCGTATAGCATTCAAAAGCTAATGCTTTCAAAATATAGAATGTTTTTTGCTATTTTTTTTGTTCCTAGCTAGTATAATATAGTTTGTTCAGTTTTCTCATAATTATTTAATAAATATATTATTACATATATCAAAAAAGAACTGTGTTTGGCTCGTATTGGATTTCTAAAGTTTTAGTTATAATTTTTTATTTATGACAAACATAAATTTTTTGATATATATATTTAGTAGAATTTTTAATAACAAAGATAAAGTTTGTTTTTCCACGCATAGTTACATATAGTTGAGAGAAATAGAATATAAAATTTGATATATTATACCTGTAATGTGTTAAGTAGTATATAGGGCTTAAAAGTCATTGTATTATACAAGTAGTTTCACTTACAAAATAATTGTTTGAAGGATACAGAAGCAGAAAACGCATAGATATTTCTATTTGAAGCTGAATTAAATGGGGATGCACATTATTTCACCCTTAGATCAAAAGTATAATGCTTGCTATACGTTTGCTGTACGCACTGCCATTTTTTACTATTCCCATCTATCTGTATCTGCTTTATTGTCTTATGTTTTATTCGCTAGCCGATGATTACGGGTTATACACCTTATGTATTAATAACAATTATTTGTGAACTGTAACACATAAATTACAAGCTTTTTGTGTTTTTTTATAGAAAGAGATTTTCTAACATATCTTCGTTTATTCCTTTTCTTCTCGAAATTGTGTTACATTTATTGCTTCTTATGTGTACCTTGTCTCGAATTTACTCAAAATTCCTCGAGAAAAGCGTAGAAAACACCAAGAAAAATAAGAGAATTCAAAGTTTCTGACCTAAAGAAATTACAAAGAATATGCTCGAAGTTCCTACACAAATAAAGAAATTCCGACTCAAAGAGAAAAATCCGTTTATAACTTGCAATAAAATACAGGGCAGAAATTCTGAAGCATTTGGAAAAGAAACAGTGATTGTGACTTCAATAGAAAACATTAAAAGAATTCATTCAGCAACAAATTCGGTCATTCTGTTATACTTGTTTTTCTCTTTTTATGTTACTGCTTTATATGCTTTGGATTTACGTTGCCTTGCATTATGTTAGACTAATAATATTAGTTTATTGTATTTCTAATTTTTATTTTTAAGCTTAGTATTTATATTTTAAATGAAATGATTTGCATTTTATATGTGTATATATGTATATATATAACAATTAATATAATCTTATATTAAATTTATTAAGTTGAAATATAATCTCTTCTATTTTGCACAAGATATATAATATCATTCTCTTTTATGCATTTTAGAAATAATTCATTTGCATGTTTAACTTTTATAATACTAACATATATTTATATTGGTTTTATATTCTTATTTTATTTATATATTTACGCTTTATAGTTTTACTTTATTTTATGTAAAAAAAATAACACGACCACGATTAAACTACTCTGCTCTATGCAACCTTTTCTTTTCCCGTTTGTTTGAAGACGATCTCCGGGCAATTATCATCTCATTAATCATAGGTAACGAACCTTTGTGTGTAATACATGTATATTAGTGCTTGTTCTTGATTATTTACAGTGTGCATATATAAAATTATACATATGAAAACAAACAAAATATGTTTAATGTTTTAAATAATGTTATAAATTTTTTTCGGGTGAAATGTGCTACTTACACATAAATGTTTTACGAGTGTTTTAAAATAGTTTTCACAATCGGTAAATGGTGTAAATACGCAAATATATGCGTTATTGCGTAAATAAATTTACATAGTGGTTTAGTGTATTTTACACACTATTTGTCACAAGTAGTCAAAACCATTTTATTATATCTCGTTATTCTCTCTTTTCTGATAAACAATTCTTTGATATATAAAACAAAGTCAATATAAAAAACAAATGTAAATAGCGGTAACAAAAATAGAGACAAATATTATATAAATATTACGTTTTTCACAAACTTCGTTTTACATATGAAGATAATGTAACACCTACCTGTACATCTTTTTTTAATTTGTTATATCTAATGTTTATAGTTTTAGTTTTCTAATATTTAACATTCAAATATTAGCGTGTACAATAAATGTAGTGTACTGTGTAAATTATACGCAAAGGATTTAGCTCCCACAAAGTAGTAAGTTTAACAAGATTAGATTTGCGCGATGTAGATAATCTAGTGTTTACGAACTGATGTTGCAGGTGACATGTACTCGAGACAAAACACCGGTTCAGGTGCGCCCGGGTCTAGCAGCAGTTCGGCCAAGACTCCTGATTACACTGGGTACTCTGCGTACAGTAATTATACTGATACCACTTATCCTCAACGATCTTACCAAGGAGGAGAAACCAACCAAGGTGGGTATGCTGCCGCGAGCGGCCCTAAACCCGGCCAGCAAGGCTTTGATTTCAAAGAGTGGCCCACCTCATGACCATTTTAATTGATTCGTGGTGGAGAGATGCGCTGAATGGCTTGGCCTTGCTCGTGGGTTATTTCTTCATATTCAAAAAGTTCAAATTGTACATTGATCGTGAAATCTGCGCGAGACATTCTTTGTCGTTTTGCATCGCGCCCTGCATATTACAGAATGCATTAAAATCATTGTTTAAAAAAATCTTTTATTTGAGACTTTGCTGATCAAAAACTTGGTTACTTTTTTCTATGGCATTTAGTAGTTTATGCCATTCAGTTACATACAGAATATCAGTGTAATGTTCAAGAATAAATAATCTTGATAATGCCGATCGACCTGCATGTATACACATGTATGTTTTGTTAGTGCGTAAAGAACAGAATCGTGTGCCAAGAAAGTAAAAACGCGTCAGTGTCAGTTAAAGAATGAATGACACTGTCGATGTTAAGGAAGCAAAAGTTCTTAACTAACTATGCTTGGTAGGATATTTAAATTTGGATTTTTATTGCCTTTTAAATTATAAATTTTCTCATTCTTAAATTTTCAATTTGTATATTATAAAACTTACGGAACTTTGCAAATCAATTATTTTCACGTGCTAGATAAAAACAAGCCGATGATAATATTCGAATTGATCAGTCTTATTGCATGCTCAAGAGAAAGATAAATTATTTGAGAATCTTGTACTTTTGTGTGGGAAATTTTTTCTGTGGGAATAACAATGCAAAGTTACAATTGTAAAAAAGAAATAATTTATCAAAAAATGTTTATAATTTTAGTGACGATAGAAGACGCAAAGAATGTCTCTCTGACAAGCCGGAATGTCGTCAAGCGAGCGGTCGTATATATTGACATTACTACAATACTTGTATTGATAATTTTGTGTCTATATATATGTATAAATATATATATATAAATATATAAATACATACATATGTATATATCGAAGTATATCTTATTTGCAAGTTAACAAAAACGGAAGCGTCAAGAAAAAGTATTTAGTTTTTTCATGTTTTCATTGATCGCTCGCGTGAACGGCTTAGGATCTTCAAAAAAAACAAAACAAAACAATTAATAATGCATGTTTTTAATATAATATTAAGCAAAATGGAAAAAAAAAAAAAAAAAAAAAAAAAAAAAAACAGTTAGGTCCAAAAAGTTAACGATAACACGGTTACAAAGAACTTAGGATACGCACCCATGATGCAAGCGAAATCTGTATGTAACACTGGGATAAAAGAGAAAAAAAGAAAGCGCGTAGAAAAATGAAAATGATGTAGGAACTATTATAAGAATATTATACAATGAATTAATATTTGTGAGACTAAACACGTAAATAAAGCGAGCGTAAAGGGTCCGAAATACTGATCATTTAATCGTTAATAGCATTTATTATGGAGGTGAATAAGATTTCGCTTGAAACGAGTTCTTCTAGGGCACAAATTTCGATGCTTGTTCATCTCCTAACCGTTAGCAGACACTTCGCAGATGATAAATGAAAGAAATATTTAAACCTTATGGTCTCTTCGATGGAAAGTCAGCACGAGTGACTTGCACATTTTCGAGACACTCGTCCCTCCACGATTTTGTATTTATTGAATAGTTGTTACTACCACATATAAATTATACCAGAAATTATACAAAAATAACGAGTTAATGAAATAATTAATGAGATAATTAAGTAAGACGATCACACAGGCTGACCTGCTACAAAGAATAGTGTAAAATATACAGGATGTGTCCTATTTGTAATAAATATCTAAAATATTTTCGATGCTAATAAAAATATAAACAAATAATTAAGAAGTTCTTGGAGATGATCTTGGAGGAACTAAGGTTTTGCTTTTTATTGTCAAGAGATATCAATCTCGAAAACTATAAATTTCTCTTTTTTTATATTTTCATTGTATTATTTTTTCATATTTTATAGCATTAATTGTTTAATAATTTTGATGGCAGTGAAAATAGTTTAGATATTTATTATTATACACTTTTTTATATTTTGTACAGCATTGATTGCTTAACACTTTCGATATCAATGTGAAAAAATAGTTTAGATATTTATTATACAAGCATATGATAAACATCTAAATTCTTATTTCAACGTAGATATTTATTACGAATGAGACATCCCGTATAGATCCATTTTAATACGACATATATATATATATAATCTATACAAATTGAAAAAACACGGAAGATGCGGATTTTGGGAAAACGCGTCCGACTTTTTACTTTTTATGTCATATCACTAGTACTTCAAATACGTATATTTTTCAGTTCCTTTCTCTCTTGTACTCTTGTCTAAGACACTACAATTTTTCTAAATTATTAGTTTAGCGATTGCTTTTCTATTCTTCCAACAATTTGGAAAACAAATGATATATCAACGCGCGAACGGGAGGGAATATGAAGAAGAAAAATAAAAGAATATTAAAAAAACGAAAACAATCACACATATTTTTACAAATTGTATTATAAGAATTTAGTGTGGTCGTCGGACTGGTTTCTGTTCGACCATGTAATAATATGCACATGGAAAAAAAAAAAACTAGTTTATTTTTTACCTCCGATTTACGATAGCTATTATTAGGCACGTTTATAAGAGTACGACTTATATTGTTACTATTACAATTAATTCTATATTATTATTACTATTGTATACAAACTATTATTACTCGTACGACTCATCACCTATTATCTGCTATCAGAGCTATTGTTATTGCAACCGCACTATTACTCTATTACACTATTATTACTGTCTACTGATAATTACGTAATATATGTACGAATGAAATGCTTGTAAGTGTTTAAATTTTAGATTTAATAGAAAACGTGATCACGCTAATAGATAAGGTGGAGGGAGGGGTATATTGTAATCGTGTGGATGCATCTCGATAGGGGACACCGACCTGAAAAGTTTACCTGATTAAATATATGACTTAATTGTATTTACTCTGTAGGATTTACCATAGATCTAAACGAGACGAATATTTCGGAAGAGTGCTCTCCAAATGCTCATATTTAATTACCGAGCGGGTCGCGTTTTGTGTCTTACTTTGTCGATGAGAATGAGTATTATGCTAACGTAATTCATCAAGATATAGATCTTATATCTCACTCTCACACACACACACACACGTACACATCACACAAACACATACACACGCACATAAAGATATATAATTGATAGATTACAGTTACTGATTAAACAATCCAGCAATTTCGTTAAGCGTTATAAGTGTGATCTCATATAATAAAACATATTTTTATCGTGATTTGCCCATCAACGTTCTTGTCCATCAACGAACGACAGTGCAAGACTCTTTATTACATCTATGTATTAAATGCGAGGTAATTGTTCTTCGATTTTTATTTTTATTTTTTTATCCTACATATATATATATACATATATATGTATGTTTCATGTTTCTAATGTTTGGTGTGTATATTGACAATAAAATGTTGAATTACATTTTCAAGCTGTAGAATTTAAGCCAAAGTTTTTTTTTTCTTTACATTAATCATGTTCTCACTCACCGGTGTCAATCACTTCCTCGAACGCTGGCAGAGTTGTTATTAAATTTTTACATTGCGATCTGTTTTTCTTTCGTCCGCGACAAAAAATTATCATTGTGAAGGAGAAAAGGTGTTGTAAACGCCGAAACCATATACGAGGATTACTGATATGTAACGTGACGTGTTGACAAACGCGACTCGTGCAAACTTCTGGGATCAACGCAATAACACACGTAAACTATAAACACTTAAACGAAGTGAAAACAAATGCGACCAGGGAGCTCAATCAAACAACCAATTTTACACATTATTAATTGTTACGGTAATACGAGTGGGAAAAAAACAAAAACGTACGGATATATAACATACATACACTCACGAACACACATATTCACACGATACTGTACGCGCGTAAAAGAGGTGAACTACCGAGAACAGGCCACATATTATCAAAGCAATTTACACGTTGAAAATCCGTAAGGGCGAAAAAATTTATATAGATAAAAAGTAATCGAAAACACTACAGTTGTTCCGAATAAAACCAAAAAAAAAAAAAAAAAAAGACATAAAAAGTAAAGTAACACGCGTTATTTAATACCTAACTTGCAAAAGGAAGGAACGAATATAAATAGCGAGGTGTTTTTATCTATGACTGCTACTTATGTATATGTACGACTTATTTCATAAAAGTGATACTGATAAATAAAAACGACGCGTTAATAAAGAACCACTAGTATATCCAATTTATAATTATTACTACTAATAATTGTATTCCTTACTATTATCGATTTTTGACTGAAGTTAAAGCGTAAATTTTAAAGAGTCTTTAAGTGTATGCAAAGTGTTATAAGGAAAACCTGATTATTAAACTCTGGTTATATATTATACATTTAATTTGTATAGGGAACGTATATATATATATATAAAAGTAATCAATACGTTTGTTGAAAATTGGTATAAACGAAGCTAATTAATTTAATTATAAAAAAAACCCAAACTGAAATAGAATTTATTATATATACATGTATATTAACGAGTCTTTCTTATAAAACAGATTATAAAGTAAATTTAAATAAATATACTAGGACGGAGGAGAGAGAGAAAGAGATAGAGAGATAGAGGAAGAGGAAGAAAAAAAGAAAGGTTTTAACGACTACAAGTTACAATACAAAGAGTTATAATGGCTGCCTTTGGTGCAACACACTGTATATATACGTATATTTTAGACCGTGGATATAGTTGAATGTGCGTGCAAGAGCAAAAAGCCGTAATACGGAATTTTAGGAGCGTCGCGGTTTTTTTTTCTTTTTTTCCCCCCTAAACTAATAAATACACATTGAAACAAAGGCAGAGAGGTCGCGCAGAAGCACACAGAGCGGAACTATTCGAATATATATATTTGACGATTACCAAAAATTTATAAAC